GGTCCAAGGTGTTATGAGAGAACCTCAACCCCGTAATTTGCTTTTAAAAACTTTATGTATCTTTAGAGTTTATATATTATTTGATTTACTTGTATGGATCGAGACTTGTTCTTTGCTAAAACTTAAAACCTATCTAATTTATACAAACTTTTGTAGAAAAAGGTGTAAACTGAATCGAATATCGTGTCCTGTGTCGTCTATTTGATTGCAAAAGAGATTTATAAATTAAAGCACATTATTTTTTATCTGTATAAAGTTTGACGCGAAAGCTTTTGACCTGAAGTTAACCGGTGGTTTTACCATGCAAACCGGTCACGAGGTCATCTTCCTTCCTACCACAAACTATCGCTTCGCCATTAACACTAGAAACGCACAGTACCCAAACTGCGTTTTCCTTCATCGCCAAACGCTCTTTACAAACACGAAAATGACAGAATAAATGAGGCCAAAACGCTTTCCCCTCTTTTTTTGATTGATTGATATAGTCGTATAAAGGGCTACCGTTAATATGTCGTATTATATATTTTAAAGGCCTGATACTGTCTTCATAGGCCCATACATTTCCTAAGCCCACATTAAAATAATTTAGTCAAATTGTTCAAGGACAATTCCATTATCCATTTATCCTAGGCAACAACTTTCGTAAGTCCTAAAAATCACCAGTCACCACTCACCAGATAACCCTAAAATCAAACAACAATGATTTCACCGACACGTAAGTGTAAGTAAACTATGTAATACCAACTCCAAAAACCTTATGCTTTATTCGAATTATTGAAAATATTAATATTCCAGTGTCCACACTCTCCATACGTATTTGCTGATGATAACAAGTGTTTGACGAGGTAAAGTGTATGTAAAATTAACAACAACTTAGGTGATCCGTCACTACCCACTCGTCAACCTCTCTTTTAAGTTTTATCAACAATCCTCATATTCTAAACCCCTAATTCTTATTCTAATATATATTTTTTAAATCCTAATTTTGTGATTAACCCACTCCAAAATATTTTGACCTTTTCAAAAGCCAAAAAAAAAAAAAAAAGGCAAAACACGAGACTCAATTGCCACGCAAATTAAAAGACCGTTAGAAAAGAACAACGAACTTTGTTTAGCTCACCAAATCACACCCAATTTCACATTTGAGAGCCAAACACGAAACTTATGCGTCTTAACTTCATTCTTCTTTCATTTCACATTCTTCACCCACTAACTAACTAACTACATTATTTGTAATCTCTCTTCCTCTTCTTCTCTCTGCAAATTATTCCACGCTCTGTTTCTTTTGTTCCCCTCTTTGTCACTATGAACTCTAATTCTTCTTCTTCTTCTAACCTCACGGATACTGCCGTTTTCCTCTCCTCTTCTTGTTCCTCAAACAACGAGTATCTGCTCTCTTCCCGGAGGCTGTTTTTCTTGAGAGATGTTCAGATTCTTGAGCTCTTTATTGCCCTTTTCGTCTTTGTTACGATACATTCCTTGCGCCAGAAGAAACATCAAGGGATGCCCGTTTGGCCGTTTCTTGGCATGCTTCCTTCGTTGATTTTTGCAGTTCGAAGTAACTTATATGAATGGTTATCTGAGGTTCTCATCAGCAGGAACGGGACTTTCCGGTTTAGAGGTCCTTGGTTTAGCACCCTCAACTGCGTCGTTACCTGCGACCCACGAAACGTTGAGCATATTCTCAAGACCCGTTTCTCTATCTACCCTAAGGGTTCTTACTTCCGTGAGACCATGCGAGATCTACTCGGAGACGGGATCTTCAATGCCGATGACGAAACGTGGCAACGGCAAAGGAAAACAGCAAGTGTCGAGTTCCATTCGGCTAAATTCAGACAACTAACCAGTCAATCATTGCACGAACTCGTGCATAATCGACTCTTGCCGGTTCTAGAAACTTCTGAAAAGATTGATCTTCAGGACATTTTGTTAAGGCTAACGTTTGACAATGTATGTATGATTGCTTTTGGGGTCGATCCAGGCTGTCTTGGTCCAGATCTACCAGAAATCCCTTTCGCAAAAGCCTTTGAGGATGCAACAGAAGCAACAGCTGTGAGATTTGTGATGCCTGCTTTCGTGTGGAAGCTCATGAGGTCCCTTAGTATAGGAACAGAGAAGAATCTTAAGGAATCGATAAAAGGTGTGGATCATTTCGCTGAGGAAGTAATCCGGACGAGGAAGAAAGAGCTGTCACTAGAGACCGATATTGCGAAGAGGTCTGATCTCTTAACTATTTTTATGGGTCTACGAGACGACAACGGAGGAAACTTTTCAGATAAGTTCTTGCGAGATATTTGTGTGAACTTCATACTTGCTGGGAGAGACACTTCATCTGTGGCTCTAAGCTGGTTTTTCTGGCTAATCGAGAAGAATCCGGAAGTGGAGGAGAAAATCATGGTGGAAATTTGCAAGATTCTTGAGCAGAGGGATGATCATGGAGATAAAAAGAAGAACATGGAATATGAGCCTGTGTTCAGACTAGAAGAGATCAAGAAAATGGACTATCTACAAGCTGCTTTGTCTGAGGCTCTCAGATTGTATCCTTCTGTTCCAGTCGATCACAAAGAGGTATCTGCTCTGTTTCACTTACCTGTTCTGTTTTTATATTCGGTTTTCATCATGAGGTTATAAAAATTATAATAAATTTTAGGTACTTGAAGACGACGTATTTCCAGATGGGACAAAATTAAAGAGAGGAGAAAAAGTTATATACGCAATATACGCAATGGCGCGTATGGAAACGATTTGGGGGAAGGACTGTCGTGAGTTCAAGCCAGAAAGGTGGTTAAGAGAGGGCAGGTACACGAGTGAGTCAGCCTATAAGTTCACGGCCTTCAATGGTGGTCCTCGGCTCTGTCTAGGCAAGGATTTTGCGTATTACCAAATGAAATATGTGGCGGCGTCGATTGTTTACCGATATAGGGTTAGGGTTGATGTGAAGGGTAGTCATAAGGTTGAGCCAAAGATGGCTCTAACTATGTACATGAAGCATGGCTTGAAGGTGAATATGGACAAGAGGAGTGTCTCTGATATAGACCGTTACTACTTTTGATGCCCATGAATTGGTGTATAGTGAATAGTGTGATTCATGTTTTGAGATTTTATGAATTGTAACAAGTGATTGTTCTTTTTTGGGTGATTTTGATTTGGTAGTATGTATTGTATTATATTGTATTCTGTAAAACGAGTTCTTATATTAAATTTTCTATAGGATTTCATATATTTCAGGGCCGATCTTCAATGGGAATATGGGATTTACTATGACTTTTTGCAAATTGTAAAAAGAAAGAAGAGAAAAAACCACATTACAGTTCGAATGGGTCATAAAGAAAACAACTAAATGAAGATGTCCAACGTAGAAGTTGGAACGTGGACACTACGATATTACTTTATATTCGTTTATGATCAAAACTTTACTTTGGTTTATTTTATTTATTAAACTAATCATTCTCTTAAGATGAATATATTCTTCGTTCTAATCTTCCCACCGTGTTGAATAACGTGGTTCGTTATTGTAGACGTTTTTATTCATAACGTATGGATTGGTGATGAAAGCGTAATAAAGACCAAGTTTATTTATTTTGTCACTATTCATATATATTTATTAGTACATTATGCATACTTGATTAGTTGATTATAGTATAATTCTTCTTGATCAGCAATAAATCTCATTTAAACATGGACTACATACCTCTATTCAACATTTCTGCAGTATCCCAAGATCATTCATTAACATTTAGTAGTGGTAGTTCAATTGGTGTATATTCTAATTTTTTTAATAAACATAACCTTCAATAATTCGAATTTAAATATTATAGGTGAAAGGATATTTGATTTAATGATTTAATCTAATTATATAACATGTTTTAATTCCCGGTCCAACAATGTTGAACTTTGTGGTTACAAATATATAATAACATTTGATGTGTTGATAAATAGCGTACGTTTCTGAGTTTACGACCAAAATTAATTAATAATATTTTCATAGAAAATGATATTTGAATTCTACTATCAACCCCTGCAACTCTTTTTCATGGTTGTATCTGTTGTTATAAATATATCTTCAGTTGATCAAAAAAAAAGAATTCTACGATCAACCAACATTTATCACATTTGGAAAAATCATAAAAATGGTTCGATCATCTTTTTCTTTTATTTTTTTGCAAACAGTTAAATTTTATACCATTTGAGTTTCTTACACGCAGGAAAAAAAAGAAGAGATTAAACAAAGAGGAAAGAAGATTGAAAGATCGATAAATTGGGATCGTAGTGCATATGCAATGGTCCACCAATGGGAGTTAAAAAGTTTCCACAACATTTGGGAAATTCCAACTATAAGCAGAGCCATTGATGGTAATAAAAATATATTAGTATACTTTACTAGGCCGCATCACCATTCAAGATTATTATAACATTTTTAAAAAAATTTAAGGCATTATTATCAAATAAGAAAACAAGTAAAGAGTAGGGTGAATTAGTTCTGACAGATATGTTTTCATTTTTGTTTTTTACAAAATTGACATCTAAATGTATATCTATAACCATTACTTATTTTAAAAAATCCCCTTAATTACTTTTCTCAAAAACAAATAATATTTAATTGACATCAATGTATATCTACATATGACATCTAATTATTTCAAACAATCTCCTTAATAACTTTTGTTAATAAAAATCCATAATTGGCATCTAATATTTTCTCATTTTTGTTTTTACAAAGTTGACATCTAAATGTATATCTATAACAATTACTTATTTAAATCAATCCCCTTAATCACTTTTATATTTTAAAAATCCATAATTTATAGTTATAAAATTTGATTTGGTAAATAAAAGTTGTATTATAACAATCCACTTTTAACCTATCTTTTTTCTTTTATATAGATCTTATCTTGTAAGAATTTCTATAATAATTTTGTGCTTGGATACAACTTGTTGTACGTAGTCCCGTCCCAGTTTTCATAATATGATAGTAATAATTTATGTCACCGTGATACATCCGGCGATTACTTCGAAACTGTGTCAACACTGATCAATATTATTTTAACTTATATTAATTAAATAAAAATAAAGAAGAGAGGATAAAAATCCAACCGCTCTGAGCGATATTTCAAAGTCTTCGCACGAACACAAATAATTTCTCTTTCTTACCAATTCGACTTGCAATGGCGAAAACAGAGAAGCGAGTACTTGGATCGTCTTCGTCTTTCCTCGGCTGTTTCGGAATTTCCAGGAAAATACACTCCGACAAGCCGGTGGTTGCGAAGGAAGACGGTGGTGAGAAGAAGAAGAAGATGAAGACGAAGACGAAGAACAAGAAGAAGATTAGTCATTGGTTTCTGTGTTCGAAGTTTCGCCTGAAGAACGGCGAGATCAAACCGTCGCCGATCGAGGAAACAGAGAAACCGACGTTGAGAGTCGAAGATGAAACTGATGATAAGCAAAAACCCCTCTCGGTGGTGATACGTCACACTACCGATCGTAAAAACATTCCGGTTGATGATAAGTCCGTGAATCAGGAGACTAAAGAGGTATCTTTCGTTGAATCTTATGAGTTTGAGACTTTTCACTTCTTCTTTTTTTCTGGGTCTACTGTTTAAAAAAAAAAAAAAAAAAACATTTTCAGGCAATTTAATTTTCTTTCATGAACAATATGATTGTCTTTTTGCTTCTTGGTTTTTGGATAATTTAACAGATTTTATTATATTTTTTCCCGCGGTGTGACATTTAATCAAATTTGCGTGGTTTTGTTCGTATTTTGTTTTCAGTCAAAACCGAAGGACTTAATAAGAGACATATCCCCCGAGCGATCAAAAGCCATGGAACCTAACGGTTCATTCAGAGAAGACAAGTGTCAGAAGCGGGTATCTACTTCAAAACCCGACTTGAAACCAACTCGGGCGAATAACGGGTCAAGGGTCGATAAGTTTGACCCGGTGATAGGTATCTCGATCATTATACTGACGTTGATGATAATGCTGGTTTGGGGTCGACTCTGTGCGATTCTTTGTACATCCGCTTGGTGTTACGTTCTACCTCGTGTCAGAGACGCAGCCGCGTTGGCCAAACGCAAACGCAACGGTACCGAAGGTTCTGCGTATGTGTCTTCGGATTTGAATTCAGAGTCGTATAAGAGAAAAGTCGTTTTGGACGGGTTTCTTGGACGGCCAAATCGCGTTTCGTTGTCATGACGACTTTTATATATATATATCTTAATGGTTTGGTCATTTTTTTTTCCCGTTTAATAACGATGATTGATTTGATCGATTGTGAATTGGATACATAAGTATAATAAAATTTTCAATTGTATTTGTAGAGGTCAGTATCGAGCAGCAAATTTTAATAAAATTGTCAATTTGTATTTGTAGAGGTCAGTATTGAGCAGCAAATTTGTTGTAATCTAGGAGTTTTCTTGGTTTTACCATATATTTGGATTGGTTTGATTGAGTTATATATTCAGTGCCGATGTCACATGATATCGTGATATGAATCGAGGAACACGTGCATGAGTTTTTCTTTCTGGGTCCATTTTCATTTTTCTGTGGGGTTAATAAGTAAGTAGATTCTCATAACTGATATATAAGGGTTTCTTTCTCTGGAATTTAAACGATAGTCGCAAGTCCAACTAGTTTGCTTATTATAGAAGGACAAGAAAATTCGAAGACTTTGAATGATAGCCGTGTTTGTTACTTTAGTATATTTGTGTGATATATACTTGGGGAACATTCAAAAAGAACTTTTTATATACTTTGTAATGGGATAACAAAATTACACAAATGCATACGAGAGATCGTTATCTATCTATTTACCTTGTATGTCGAACTTTTTGATTCATGTCTCTTCTTTAGTTTCGCTTAAGTAATCAAATAAAGGTATCCACAATTGTTTATAACTTTATATGGTTACCACATTAACCAATGTTTAAAAGTTGAGAAAATTGTCTCCACTGATATCACGTACATCTTCTACACACATATATCTGATTGCAAGTCAGTTAAATTTCAATATGAATATTATACCCTCTTCAAACTTTAAGAAACTAAAATTGTATAACGTGTTTTATGATCCAATTACAATATCTTTAACAGTCGGGTGAGCTGTAGCCACCTTTGAATCTGACGACATACATATCTACAACAGTAACTATATAATTGATCAAACCAATTTAAATTACAGGAATCATTTGGTGCAGCACGAGTAACGTTCGTTGTTGTTTAAATATATATATACTTGTTCTTTGGTACGCACGTTTTCCCGTTTGTCTTTCGAGCACTAGACTAGAAGAACAAGTCAAGAACGATGGTGACATATATAGTCAAACAGACAAATTCTTAAAAACAAAATCGAAAACATGCATCAAGGGACCCAAATTTCAGTATGTGTTGACCAAGACGAGCTCTTCTAACAAGTCGCTTCCTCAGTTCCCTAACTTTACTTGATCATATAATAGGTAGGTCATAGGTTGATTGCCATCAAGAAAATATTGGGTTTTATATATCAAAATACACTTACTTATATTAAGTTATTTTTCCTTTTTGTTCTATTTGGGTTACCTAATCGCTTTGTATTTGAAGAAGTTTCTCCGATATACATTATTAATCACAAGATTATACATGCCAAAAATTTAGCCAGCGTCGCTCGAGTTTACCAACAAAGATCAAGTCACTAACAATATTTTACGTTTATAAAGCTCTCTCTAAGCTTTAAAAGCATATATATAATAAATATCAAGCATGGGATGTGAGAATCAAAGAGAATTAAGGAAGACATATGAAACCCAAATAAATAGCACTTGATGCTTTAGTTTTGAAGCTTCTACCTACAAAAGTGGGAAATCACTTGACTTTAATTTTTGAGCTACCCGTAAAAATGGATCTTACACTACGAGAAAAAATGGGAAATCACTGACGTTAATTTTAACTTTTAAGCTACCAGTAAAAAATGGAAATTTACAATTCGTTAATTTTGTTAACAATTCAGTTTATTTTAACGGCCCAGTCCAATTCATATTGGGTCGTGAGAAGCCCATCTAGAATTTTTGAAAGACCCACTCCGAGATAAAACTAGCCGGAGACTCAACCGACGGCGTCGATTTCATCAGCTCCCGCTTCACCCGACGTGATCCTCCACCATATTTAATTATTTTTGGGATTATAAAATAAAAAATAAAAAAAGGAAAAATAAATAAAATAATGAAGTGCTCAAAACGTATATAAAAATAAATAGAGAAAAGGGAAGATAGAGGAAAACGCGGCGACGAGAGTAAAACCCAGTTTCTCTGTTGCGTCATCTCATCTCTCCGGCGAAATTTTCTCACCTTTTTGCCCTAAATCCCATCGCCACTCTTCCTCAAATCACTTTTTCTCCACTGATTCGACTCACATCTCTCGCTTCTTTCTTCGTCATTACTCGTTACGTTGAGCCCCTTTAGCTGTTTCCAATTTCTCAACGGGTTTGGGATTACAAAATCTCCGGTGAAGAAGACTTGGAGTCTCTTATTTTTTTTCTCCGGATTTGTTTGGAATTGGTGATTCTGCTACGTGTTTCTATCTCAACTGAAGATTAGGGTTTTGTAGCCACTCTCGCCGATGGCTCCTGGGCGTAAAAGAGGAGCGAACAAAGCCATGGCCAAAGATGAGCTGAGATTGGGTGATCTCGTTCTTGCTAAAGTCAAAGGCTTCCCTGCTTGGCCTGCTAAGGTTTGTGTCATGCTCTCTCTTTCTCTCTCAGTGTTGATACTCGGCTTCATGACGTTTTCATTCATGATCATGTTTTTTTTTTTTGTCGGTCTTGCACACACTCTTCTTTTTGGCTAATTTTGGTCCACGTTCTGTTTCTAATATCTCACATTAGTAGGCTTTCATGATTAGGCTGGTTTTGTAGTATGCCAAAGTGATCTCCTTCTGTGTTGAAGTTTGAAGCCACCAGTATAATCCTTCAGCTTATTGTTCTGCTGTATCTTTTTTGTTCAGAGCTTTGTATTTGTCTAAAGTACTGCTAACACTGATTGAGTTGTGTGGAATTGTTCGTTTTGACTTAATTATCTCGTGTGTACTTAATGGTTTTAATTTTCAGATCAGCCGGGCCGAAGATTGGGATAAGGCTCCAGACCCAAAGAAACACTTTGTTTATTTCTTTGGAACACAAGAAATGTAAGCTGGCCTCTTCTGTGTTTACTGATTGTTGGGGGATCTATTTTATTATGACCCAAAAATCTATATGTATATTTTGTTAGTCAATACATCATGTTACTGTGATTCTTTGTTTTGTTTTCTCAATACTAGTTGTTGACCAAGTTATCTTAATGCAGTGGTTTTGTTACGCCACCTGATATTCAAGCATTCACTAGCGAGGCAAAGGATAAATTATTACAAAGATGTAAAGGTAAAACACTCAAGTACTTTGCACAAGCCGTAGAGGAAATCTCCGCTGCATTTGAAGAATCGCAGAATCACAAGTCAGATATATTAGGCAATGAGGCGCTTTTGAATTCTGCTGAGCCTAGCTTGACCAAGCCTAAGATATTAGATCCAGCAGATCACAGAGAAGCTAGTATTGATGGAAAATCTGATACGTTTGATTCTAGGCCTGATCCTTGCCTCGGTAAATTAGTTGAGAATAATGCTGCAGAGATAAAGCCTGGCATAGGAGAGCAAGAGTCATCAAAACTAAATGACAAAACCACATCCCCGAGTAGTGAGCTGCTGGAGCATGGATCACTTGACCCTATCTTAAAGGTAGCAGGTTTTGAGGATAAGATTGACGGTGTCACTTGCACTGACCATAGTGATGGTACTGGAAAGAATTCGGTCAGCGGTCAGAGGATAATCAAGAAAATAGCTGGTGACACGAAAAAAAGAAGTAAAGATGAGGTTCATAGAGCTAAACGTGTGGCTGATAGTCAGGCGGCTACAAACAACCAGAAATTAAAGGAAAATAAAAAGGGACAAGATCATGGCAGTAAAATTGACAGTAAGGTGGTTTTGGATCTTAACATGGCTAGTTCTAAAAAGCCAAAAGAGTTGCAGAAAGAGAAACCGACCGCCCTAGTCTGTGGTGAGGTTTTAGGGAAGAGAAAAAAGTTTCAAAGTGAACTAGGAGAGGCTGCAGCAGGAGCAGATGAAAGTAAACTCTCTGCTAAAATGCCACGGTTGGAAGATGTGAAGTATCAGAAACAATGTGAGAGAAAACGTCTTCCTGTTGGGGAAGGCAAGGCGGAAGGATCTAATTCTACTGGCGTTGTGTCTATTCTAAAGCGTGAGATTGTCTTAGGGTTAAGTGCCCAGGGAGGAAAAAATCAGTCTGATAAGGAAGTGGTCGCTTATACAAAGCGTCGCAAACAGACTGTGGAGCACACAAATATTTCCTCTTTTTCGGGGTCTCTCAATAAAGAGGGGACAAATCGTCCCGAACAGAAGATAACTTCATCTTCTGATAGCGATGTGAAGGTTCCTGCTGCTCAGCTGCCGAAGAGACGGAGGGCGGTTTGTATCTATGACGACGATGATGATGATGAAGACCCAAAGACTCCAGTGCATGGAGGACATACTAATGTTCCCAAAGCTAAATTAGCTTCTACTGATGGTACTACAAGTGCTAATGCGTCCCATAATACTTCTATTAAAGCAAAGCTATTAGCTGGATCTGCAGAAAGTGTGAAAACAGGGAATGTACCTCTGTATAAACGTAATATGGATGCTTCAGTTTTTCTACCTGACAGCATGGAGGGGTATAAATCGTCTGTGAGAAAACCAGTCAAGACTCTTCTCCCTAAGAATATCAAGCCAAACTTGAGATCTCCTAAAAATTCCCATCAGTTGGTTTCATTTAAGAAACAGATGACAGGCCAGAATAAAACTGCAAAAGTCTCTGGTACAGGAACGCCAGATAGTGTGGAGGGTCCTTCAGACAACTCCTCCATGGGAAAATCATTCATCAAGTTGCCTCCACAGAGTGTCGAGCAGATCTTGAGATCTCCTAAGAAGTCCCCTCAGCTGTTTTCAACTAAAGAGCAGGTGGCTGGGCAAAATAAAATTGCAAGAGCCTCTGGCGAGGGGATGCCAAAAAAATGTCAAGGTGATTCTTCCAAGGACGCAATGGCTGGTAATGATAGAATAAGCTCTTCTCATTCAAAGACAGCACAACAGAGAAGCAAACCAGCTTTGGAGGAAACCCCAACATGCATTCCGAAAGTTACAACTCGTCTGAATGATGTTGGAGTGTCAACAGACATTTCTGTGAACTTTTCCGCTGACATGTATGTTTTTTTTGTCTTTCCCTATGCCATTAATATGTTAGTATTTTTCTTAGAGGTTATAATCTGTGTTTTTTTTTTTAATTATCATAGGATTGTTGTCAGTCAAGAAAATGGAAGTGCCCCATTGATCAGTTCTGGGATGCCAGATTCTTCATCTATGAAGTATTTAATTGCAGCTGCCCAAGCAAAAAGGAAACAAGCACGTTCACATACTTCACCTATTGTGAATATGGACAACAATTCCCTAACCATCGATTCAATGCAGATGAGTCAAAGCCCTTTCATGGTTCAAAATATTTCATCTCCTGCTGGCGATGCCATGCTGATTGTTGCTCAGGAACATCAAGCAGATCTGACTCCGTCAAATCATGGCCACCAATCCTCATCAAGTAACCAAGCTGGGACTGAAGAGAATGGAGAGAGAAGATTTAGTTCAGGGCATAGGTCGGTTGAGGTATCACTAAGTAGTGCCACCGAGGCTGCTATTTCTCGAGATGCATTTGAGGGAATGATAGAGACCTTATCCAGAACTAAGGAAAGTATTGGACGTGCAACACGTCAGGCAATTATTTGTGCCAAGTATGGGATTGCCAGTGAGGTGAGTTACATTGTGTTACCTCAGGTCAACATTTTTCTTCTTTCTGTGGTTTCCTCTTTTCTTAAGGCTGACAGCTAGAATGTTCTATGAGTTACCTAGGAATAGACTGCAAAATAAGAGTCAATATAGTAATGTACCTATGCTAGCTCAGAATATTTGTTTGTGTAACTTGGTCAAATCTTTTGACAAAATGATTTACAGCGTTTGATGGGGAAATTTTGTTGTGCTTGTTAGGTTGTGGAACTTCTCATTCGAAAGTTGGAAATTGAGCCTCATTTTCCTCGTAAAGTGGATTTGTTTTTTCTTGTTGATTCGATCACCCAATGTTCCCATAAACAAAAAGGTAAGCCTTCCTCCTGAATGGATGCAATATCTCTTTCGAAATTGTCAATTTTCTAAGGTGCTCACAGTATTTTCCTGTAATGTATTACTGTCTTCAGTCAAAGAGAATTTCTTTGTATGTCTTTTGTATAACTAATAAGACTAAAGTGATAATTCGTGATGCATGTGAATCTTCTTTAGGTAAAGCTGGCGCTTTGTATATTCCTACCGTGCAGGCAGCCCTTCCACGCCTTCTAGGTGCTGCTGCTCCTGCAGGGACTGGTGCTCGTGAAAATCGTCATCAATGTCGGAAGGTTCTTTTACTTTCTATTTGTTTTGAGGACAGTCTCATGTTTTTGTTGTTCAGAGTCAGTGATCTCTTGCTCCTGCTAGGTGTTGAGGTTGTGGCTTAAGAGGAAGATTTTCCCAGATTCTCTTTTGCGTCGTTATATTGGTGATATTGGTGCTTCTGGTGATGATAAAACTGTTGGGTTTTCCCTACGACGTCCTTCTAGATCTGAGCGTGCGGTAGATGATCCTCTAAGGGACATGGAAGGGATGCTTGTTGACGAGTATGGGAGGTATGGATTACGCTTATCTAATTATCTTGCTCTGTAATTTATTTTTTCAGATTTGATATAATTGATGGGCATGTAGAAGCTTAGTGGGAAAAATATAATCTGAAAAGTTATTTTGTTTTTTGATCAACATCTGAATAGTTTTCAAAGACAGTTTTAGTGCAGTTCTGAAGAGTGCTATTAATTTATACGTTAACGAGTTTTTTCTGCAGCAATGCAAGTTTTCAGCTGGCAGGGTTTTTATCTTCTCACATCTTTGGAGAAGATGAAGAAAATGAAGATCTTCCAAGCACATCACATGAAGTTAAGGACACACATATGGAAGAACCAGTCCATGCGTTAGGCAAGTTAGAGGCACATGATAGTTCGAGTGATAAACATCACTGTGTAGTTGATATCAGTGGTGTGCTTGAAATGGAATATGCTTCTTGTCAGCTGAAAGATGGCGTACCTTCGTATGTCTGTGGGCTTGGAGTGAAGGAGGACTCACCGGCTGCATCCTGTCCAACTGAGCCCCCTCCTTTTACAGAGGGTTCTCCTCCGCTACCCCAAGAATCGCCGTTATCTCCGCCTCCTCTACCTCCTTCTTCACCACCACTGTCCCCACCTCCACCCCCATCATCTTCACCGCAGCTGCCTCTAGCGCTACCTCCCTCTGATCATTGTTTACCTCCACAATCTATAGTTCTAACTCGACCATCAATGCCTAGCCATCCTTTATTACCAATAAAATCAGGATTCGCTCCCCCAGCACAAACATTATTGCAGCATGAATACCAGATATCTATGCAGCGGGATCACTACAGTATTGCGACTGTAAGCCTTCTGATTTTTCTCATTTCTAGATTAGTCATCTTTTAATTTCTCAAGCTCATTGTCCCGTACTTTAACTTTATACGCAGAGTAATCAAGTTATCCAAATGCCCGTAAACGTTGCACATGGAAGGCATGCTGACATTGCCAAAATTGAATATTCAGTGCCTCAGTCATCTTGTTTTGCTCCAGTAGGGATGTGCAGCTCCAGAGAACATTCGTCATTTATTTCCTCAAAGCAACATGGAACCATGGAACAGATTGTTCAATCAGAACCCCAGCGTTCCTCCTTCCCTCATCCTTACCCTCTTTCTTCTCAGCCAGTTGATGGACAAATGAAGGAGGAAGCATGGCGGATGCCTTCAAATGGACGTAATGCAGATACTCAAAATGGAGCCTGGATAAGTGGAAGAAACCCATTTCCAGGCTCTCTTACAGTTACAGACGGTATGCATATGTGAGAAACCTTTGTATGTCAGTCTTGTTCATATACTTGTCTGCTTGTGGGCATTATGCTACTTCAGTTGGTTATGATTCTCCTTTAGTTAATATTGGTGGTTTATTTGCAACGATAGGTTTCTTTCACCCACCTCCCGAAAGACCACCTTCAGGGACAATGAGCTATCAACTTGCTGCTAATAACTTACAAGGTGGCCCTACAATTACAGGTGAGCCGATCTAAATCAGTTAACCTGCTTTAAGCCGCTCAGAGATGCAATTAGGGGATTCAATGCGTTTTCCTACAATAACGTTTTAATTTGCCATTCCAGGTCATATTGCTTCGCATATGCCTCCTTCTCGCCCAGATGTACCTTTCATGGCTCGGTGGAGGCCATCCTGAAGTTAGGTAGATTACCTTTTGATTATTCACTTTCACTTTGATTAGCAAGCTGCTAGTGTCTTTTTTTGCTTGTTTGACTCTGATTTACTATTTTTGGATTGTTATTATCAAACAGTTCGAAATAGAGAACCTGCATCCTCTTCCGTGAAGGAATTTTTGGCGGTATATTCACTTCCAGAGGCATCACAACTCTACAGACTATTGCCAGGATATTGCTATATATTGTAATTGTTCCTGACAAATGTATCACCGGATCATATTCGTCACAGTATATGCCCTAGTTTCTAATTTGGTTAGTACTTCTGTTCCTCAGCACCTGTAATTAGGCCAATAACCATACACAGCTTTGTCTAGTTAAACAAATGTCAAGCTTTTAAGTCCTAATATATAGTGTCTGATACAAACCATCTAACTAAATTTTTTCTTTACTGGTATCTGAGGCACAATCTTAAAAAAATGCACATCCAATAAGTGTTGTGTCTGCACACAGAAGTAATTAGGTTCTAAGGTAGTTACAATGGTGAGGCAATGATAAGTTCCAAAGTATTAGGTGCAAGTCTGTCAATTTGCTCTTAATAGTGGTACCCTAAATGGAGACCTTTCTAGTGTTTCTTGTTGTCTGTGGGGAAAGTCACTTAGAAGTTACTTGGTGAAGTCTCTTCAGTTCCTTCTCGACGAGATTACTGTATGAGAATTCATATTGTTAAATCACTGTATAGCTCTCCCAACATATAGTGAGACGATGATACCATTCTTCTAAGTAAGATTCTTGATTGTTGTTCTTGACAAATGTCTCTTCTGTGCATAACCTAGGTTGTCTAGCCTAAATGCCTTACTGGGAACAATGACGCATGCATCTCTAAACAATTGTGACTCCATTCAGCCGGTTTTACAAGAATATTCGTATCGATATCTTGCGCACTGCTTATCTGACGTTTGTTGAGGACTTTGAGGTATCTGTTTTTCTTTGTTATTTGAAATATATATATCTTTTATTCTTTTACACCAAACTTGTATATGGCTACTAGTTCAATCTATATGGTTTCCAGCTCTCGTAAATCGCTTATCCTTTCGAAAGGAAACATTCAAAAGAATCTCCAGAAAAATAACAACTTAACCAGCATTGTGGATTGATGATATTAACTGTAGAATTTGCTGTATGAATGATTTAGTTTCTTGATCTACCTGGTCTCTATGTTGTGTACAAATCCCTTTGGTCTTTCTGTGTGTGGTTCCTGATTTTGTATGTTGACTTCAAGTACGAGTACATAATCACTCAGCTGCATTATCTCTTGCTAGGTTTAAACTTTTGAACCCGGAGTGGTGGAGATGGAGTCCTGTTTGGATAAAGTTTCGGCGTAATCTCGAGGTAAAGACTACTAGTCTTAAAATTTGAGAGGTTTCTTCAAAGTTTGAAAACTAGCCCGGGCTTGGCTTGGTTAATCCCGTAAATTTGTGGTTCACTACACATCTCTGTCTGAAAACAGAAATGCAACAGAACTTCATGTTTACTTAGACTTCAATTGACTAGCGACAATCTCAAGTTTGATGTGTGGCTGTTTCAGGTTATTTTTGTTGAGATTTTGTGGAACCGGAGGAGTACCTAAGTGATTGGGAACTATCTCAGACTAAAAAGCTTATGATTGGTTCTCTGAAGTCTGCAGGTTAGGTTTTTCTTTTGCATTCTCTCTTTGAAAAGCACAGTGTGTCGAAGATTCACCATTTAGTAAATACTTGTTTTAGCATTTTTTTTCTGGTTAGAATGACTTCCAATAAAAAGCATTGAGCTGAAAATGAAACATGAGCCTAATGAATATGGAAGATTGGAATCTTATATAGTTCATGTTTAATAAATTTGAAAAGTATTTTAAAATTACGTGCTCGTAATATAGCAACAAAGTGTCACAGCCTGTTAAAACGTATTTCTTTATCATGTGAAACGATCTACTAGAATAATTCTTGGTGGGAAAAAATGTAGCGCATCTCACTGTCATACAAGAATATGGAACTTTGATAAAGTGATTAGAAAAACTAATGTGAGGTGAAATTGGTGAAATTAGATTATTACAAGCAGAAATGTATTTCTTCAGAAAATTATAGGGAGAACAAATTAATATAAAACATATATGTTGCAAGTTGTGCTATTAATTTGTTTTACAGCAACAGCCAAAATCACCGTCGCTTCTGCCGCCAACGTGTTACACAATCCTTTTTACGCGCCGTCACGAAAATGTCTATGAGCGGAAGTGGGTGACGGTTGCGGTGGTGCGACACGTTGGTGGTAGTAGCAGTAGTAATGGCGAAAGCGTGAGCGATAACAGTTGTGAAGTAGTAAGGAGCCATGGAAGCATTGGTAGTGCCAGAAGCAGCGAGGATGGAACAGTGTCTACTTTTTGTTTCATGACTTTTTGAGATAATATGATGAAGTCGAGGATTCAAGTCTGGTTAGACTTGTATGTATCTTTTTGTATCTAACACTCATATTTTTATATATACATGATTATGCTTTATATTTTTATACCTGCTCGTAAAAAAAACTGGCCCATATTTGATTTTAATTAGTCTGGAATAACTTGTATTTAATTTCGTTTGGCTCGTTTCGATTCCAGGATTTACATAGCGGTGTGTAGCTAACACGTCGACACTTTTACTTCGACAGCACAAGCCCGACAACGTCTGGAAAGCATTCTTCTCTTTTCGTCAGTAACTATGATTCTGACAGAACACGCATAAAGAACGGTTTCAGTTTGGCTCAATTCGAGTTGCTATTCAACAACTCAACAACACACAGCAACATACAGATTTACAAAGAGCTTTTGCTTTTGCACTTTAATAAAAGCATTATTAAATAAATGCATGAAAAATACAATTTAGTAATGTGTGACACAATGTATCATAAAAGATTTTAACTACGCTACGGATATTGTCGATACAACCCCACCCAGAAATGGTACAGAATATTTTTATAACTTACAAAAAAAAAAAAAAGACCCAATCATTACATCATCAGAAGCTTCTTCCTTCTTTATAAATTTCAATTTTTGGAAGTTTTTCTTTCTTTCTTCCTTCCTTCCTTCAAATTTTCTCTAATCTCTTTTTACTTTGTATTTACTCCGCATTAAGCTAAAATAGCTTCTTTTGCAATTGATTTGTATAGTCCCCAAAAAACAATAAGGCAGTTGCATAACGATAAACTGACCTTTAGTCCAGAGCCGTTTTGTTTCTCCGACCTGTTAAAGGCTTTGGTAATCCATCAAAGATCGAGCTTGTAATAACCGCAGGTGTCAGCAAATCAGGTTTCAAGCTCCATTTTGAAGTTGGCCACAGAGACAACGAACCGTTACTGCTGCTGTTACCGTCTGGATCTTGTAGACTCGATGCACTCGAAGATTTTCTTACACTGCAAAAGCTGTCTGAAACTGGCCCATCCATCAAGTTGATTGGTACCGGATTGAAATTACCGTTCTCAGATTCTGCTAGATTGGTTCTGCTTGAAGCTTTTGATCTCAAAGCTAAGCCCTTTCCGGCTATTGATAAAAACCCGCCACTGCTGCTGCTGTTCTCTTCTTTCAACACAAGTTCTGGAGTCCGGGATGAAAAGTCGGCTTCAGATTTTTGGCGTCTTTTTCTAAACTTATCGGAATTCGATTCTTGAGAATTATTATCGGGTGACTGGTTAACCTCTTCGAGAAGTGCATTGACCAAGCTTCTGGATTTCCTATGGTGATTTAAGGGAGTATTTGTGGATGGGAAAGGTCTGAGATATTGATTATCATCTTTGTCAAAGAGATGATGAGAAATTTCGGTCTTGTAACTTCCCATCTCGAAGCATCCTCCATCAGAGACTGTTCTGTCTGCTGGTTTAAGTCCGTAATAACCTTGCAGTGAGTACATAGCTGGAGAAACTTTCTTTTCCGAAGATTTTAATCTCAGAGACTGAAATGAATCAAAAACTTCCTCGTTGCTATGGTTTGGTGATTCCGGTTCGTGGCATGAACACCCCTCTCTGCAAATAAAATTCCATGCATTAGGAGCCATGAAAAGAGGATTACATGATAATGAGAATATACAACCAAGGTTCTAGTTGATCATCTCAATTCCACAGACAGCTTTACTGTTAAAATTGAAGAGACAAGACTTGAGGTAAGTAGATTGCAGGCTTAAAAAGGAACACAAAATGCAAACAACGATCAGCAATAAGCATCAATCACTGGAGCTCAATGCTAGCTCGTAAATAAAAGCTGTGATTTGCAAGGTAGCATATTGTAAACCATTTCCAAAAGTATAATAAAAGAGGATAAAGCTTTTTAAAGTACCCATGATTTAAGGAGCCATTAGATAAACAAGGAGAAGGAGGATGTCTCCCAGGTAAGGGAATCTGAAGGGACTTGAGTGCAAACATTTGAAGATCAGTAACAAGGTTATTCATCTTTTTCACATCTGCAACCTGAAGTAGAAAGTTTTTTTAAAAAATTAAAAAAAACATCAAAAATCAGATAACAATTAGGAATAATACAGCATCAAAAGCATAGCTTAAAAAAATTTGAAATAATCCAGCTCTCTGACAAACAACTTTTTGATCATGTGTTCTTCATCATGCCTCAATTTCAAAGATAAAAAAAAAAAAAAAAACCTTTATACCAGTATCCTTTAATTCTTCCTTTTATCCTTAATCAAAATACCGTTGTATGTCAATTTTACACAACAACCTTAACCAAAATCAAATATTCTCTGGAGCTGTACAATGGCAAATGACTAGAGCGTATACAAAATCAAACCTAAGTTCATCGACAATTACTGAGAAAATCTAAAGAATATTTACCTCAACACCGTATTTAATAGCAATGCCGGCGAGAGTATCAAACTTGGAGACGCGGTGCTCGATGTATCCACGGTCAGGGGAATTGGAGCCATGAAATGGCGGTGAAGAGCTAGAAGGTGGAGGAGACGAGTTCGGAGAAGGGATCCGAAGGATCTTCGATCTAGAAGGACTCTTCTCACGGCTATTATTCTCCAATCGATCTAAGAACCCGTAACCATTATCATCGCGAAATTTCCCATTACTGTATTCAGGAGTCCCATTACGACCAGTAGAACTCCGTCTCTCTCGATCCATAAACATAATCTCTCAGCGAAGCGAAGCGAAAGAAAGAAATAATCCTACCTATTCTAAACTAGATCTGATCAAAATTTCATCATCAAGTAAGGCAACACAAATCGAAACGGTCAAGGAGGAGGAGAGATTCAAAATTTTGAGAAAAAAGGGAGAAAAAGTGAATAATACAGGAAATGACGAAGCGACGATGAAGAGAAGAGAGAGGTGAAGGAATAAAAAAAAAACTCGTGGACTAGAGAGTCGAACTTTTTCTCTCAGAGGATCGATGGTTTGCTTAATTTTTGTTTTTTCCCAGATTTTCCGGGAAAAAAAAACGAAAACGAAAACGAAACGAGAGATCTCTGTGTGCTCCTCTCCTCTCTCGTCGCAGCAGCGGTGGAATTATACCAAATTTTATTTAATGACCTTCATAATAGGGTGTTAAACAAAAACAAAAAAACTAAAATCGGATTGTAATTAATTATTTTGCATTATTCAGACTATGCTTTGAAAATTAAACTGCTATTTTTTAAAAGTGAGCTGAAACAGTAACACTTTAATTTATTTAACGAAAAAAATTGGTGAAAATATAATTATTATTTAATAATTATATATTTACAAAAGATAAGGGTGAGATCTTTATAAGATTATCAGAAGCACGTTATAAGTAATCAGTTTCATACATAAAAATATATTTATTAACATCAACTAAACAACTTTTTCTAGAAGAATAATTATAATACAAATAACTAAAAGTGCTCAAATACTTTTTTTTATAAAATTAATCAAAAAAAAACAATTATTGGAGATTCTGATTACGTAAAATTTGTTTATCAACTTATAAAACAAAACAGCTTAGTTCTACTGGATAAAAATTAACAGCTTCTAAAGTCTAAAAGCAACGTGTGTGTATGTTTGACAAATAAGAAGTCTTCATAATGTCGGCGAGAGTGTTTAAAATCCATTCTTCTTTGCCTAACCAAAGATTTCACTCAATAAATTAAAACATCCAAGAGTGGTCCAACCTCCTCCTCTAGCTCTTTGGTCTTTGGGTTAATATTGTTTTGTCGAGAAAGAAACAAAATCGGGTTAGTTTCTCCGGTTTGGTTGTTTCAGATATTTTTATTGGCTTTGAGCAAAGGAGATTCAGAAAACTATTACATTTGGTTGTCAATCTAGAAATCGATTCTAGTATTTTAGTTTTATCAAATTCGAAACATAATAATGTATCTAGAGATAATCATAATCAGACTGACGGCAGTTGCTAAGATTAAAGATAAACCCTTACTAATTACATCTGAATTGATTGGAGATTCAAAACAAAGGAAGAAACAAAAAATAGTAAAATACAAATCTAAGTTAAAAAAATGTAAAGAGCATATCAACACCAAGACGCGACGAATTTTGCACTTTACAGAGAAAGAAGGCAAAAAAAGAAAGTCAAAAGGATATTGTTAAAAAAAGAAAGAAAAAAAAGGTCCCCTTGCTGCTGTGTTGTTGATTAGCTTTGTAGACTTGTCTGTTGGGTTTCTTCTAGTTGCTTAGGTTGAGGAACTGAAACACCTCCATTCATTCTTGCTCGAGCTTCTGCAAACATTCTCTGTTGTTCCGCAGCTGCTTCTTCTTCCGTCATCTCTGCTCCGCTGTTCATCTTCACGCTTCTCTGTGAATCTTGCTGCAGAATTTGCAAAACACAAAAGGAAACCGATTAATATTCTTATAGACTCAACTCTGGATTTTGGATTAGGATATGGGTAGTGTAAATGGATTACCATGGTTTCATATTTATGTTGCTCATAGGCTGCATAGACTTCTTCTACGTATTCCCCAAAGCCGAGAACCTGCATCACAGGTCAAGTCACATGATTTAAATCACCATTCCGACACATTCACATGGATAATAAATCTGAGTGAATGTAACACCAAACCTGTAAAGCTTTGAGTACATGCTCAGGAGCGATTGTTCGTTTATCCTCTTTGTTACAAACTTCGTTAGACTCCGATGATATAAGATTTATGAACTCTGCAGTTTACACCCAAAAAAAAGGGGATAAGCAATCTTGAAACGATGACCAGTTTCATTAATATCTTGATAAAGGTTCATTGAGATGTTGAGTAAGACAAATCTTACCTACACAACACTCGATCAGAAGATCCTGAGCATCTCTAGCAACACGAACATCTGCTGGTAACATCTCCTTTATAATTTTCGTCATGGTAGCTGAAATTTTATAACAACAAACATATATTTCTTTTAGCAGAAAAGAACTAGAGTTAGGTGAAAAATCTAATGCAGCTACTATCTCATATATTCCATTGCCCTAAACAACAGTTTCTAATGCTTTCTTTCATCGTTTCATTGAAGCCATGGATAGAGCTAGGTTTACTAAATCTTTTCAGTTTTACCCAAAACTTCTTAAGTTGAAAGAAAGATCCCCAAAAAAAAAGAAGAACGAGAGGCCAAACCTTTTGGAAGCGAAGCATCTTCCTTAGATTTACCAACTATATCCATCGGATCCATCGTTTAGCTCTACATACAAAATCGCAATTCAATAAAACATTCAGATTAACGATAAAAGATCTATGGCTGCGAAGTTAATAAGATGAAGAAGAACAAGGAGAAAAATAGAGACGTATATATATCTACTTTACCGAGTTTAACAGGGATCGAAACGGAAGCAGATCAACGACGGAGATCAGGCAAGTTAAACGAGTCACGACACCGAGTCACGGCGAATCGGACGGAATCTTATCGGCGGGTTTTCTCTCTCTCCTATTTCGCTTTCTCTCTACGCCAGAGATCGATTAGGGCAAAACAGAAGACCAAACACAAGCGCGTGTATCCCACTTTCCCCCAAAGTGATCTACTGCGCGTAAAGATAAATTTCCATATTTTCAAGACGTGTGAAATGGGCTTTTTAGCAAACATTACATATGTGACCCGACCCGTTTTAGCCCAATCATTCGCTTAAAAGGCCGTGGAGTCCTTTTTAGTTCACTGGGTTAATAAGAAATTAGTGGGTCTATTGGAAGAGTTTGATTTTTTTTTAAAAAGGATAAATTGTTATAATTATCTTTCTAAAATAAAATACATTTGATTAAATTTTTAAATTTACATGTATTTTATTTTCTTTTTTGAGCATTTTATTCAAGTTACATGTTATAGTTTTGGTCAACTAAAGCTAAAGCTATGTTATAGAAATAATAATATTTTTAAAAAATTGCTTTGCAAATCTAATGTTATTCAACATGGAATTTGCTTTAATAACTCAAAACAGTTTACAAATTACAATCAGTTTTCTTTCTAGAATGAATGTAACAGGATCTGGTTTTATTCAAAAATTAACAATTATGTTACCAAATCTTTTTTTGAGATTTTGAGATACATTTTAGTTTTAAAAATATTAATTAAAAAATAAATAGATCACATCTCTAAAGATAAACTTGGAGTGATTTTCTAGAAACAAGACTGATCTATGTTAATGTTTTATTAACTGACGATACAGAGAGAGAGAGAGAGTGGAGGGAGAGACATAGGCCAATAGGCCAATAGTTTTGCTGGTTGATACTTCATCACTCTCTCTTCCCTTTTCCTTTGTTGTTGTTATTGGATACATAGATTTGACATTTACTTGAAATATCTGATTCACTTTTTAGTCATCGTAGAGTTTATCTGCAGATGCATTATGTATTGGTCCGTTTGATTGGTAAGGTAACAAAGATCCATCTCTTTACTACTTGTGGTGTTTGTTTTGACCATTGTGTTTCAGATCTGGTATGTTTTGTTTGCTTCGATTTGGAAAAAAAAATGATTCTTTCTTTTGCATTTGGATTTTAACTGAAAAAAAAAAAAGAGAGTAGTGAGAGTTCGTTCACTGGAGGCAGCGGTTCATCGATCTTTTCCTGGGAAAAAAACCTTATGTAAATAAATAAAACTATAAAGCATGAAGAGATCGATAAACCTCTGCATCCAGTGTTTGCCTCCTTCATCCTTAATTATTTTGACTTTAATCTTTTGGTTTACTTTTTTGGTTCTTGAAATAAAAAGGTGAGACGGAAAACAGATAGAGAGGAGAAGAGAAGAGACTGTTATTGTTTTAAGTCAAGTCAGATAATTGAGGATTTGTGTGCTCATAGAGAGGAGAATGTTCAGAATTCAATATCTTTAGTTCTTAGGTGAATTTTGCTTGTTACTTATGATTATGTAGTTGTCTGATTACCCTTAGTTTTATCAAGAAGATGAGATTCATTTGTATGAATAGGTTCTTCTCTTGGTTTGACCAAATAACTGTCTTGCTAATGTGGTGTTTTTTTTTTTGGTTTCATATTTTCTGCTTTTCTAACACTATATGAAAGATTTCTCTACATGCCTATGGGTATATAAGATTCTCCTTTGTTGATAATACAAGCTAGTTTACATCTCTTACATGACATGTAAGTTGAGAAGCCATTGTTTTTGGCATCTAAATCTCTGTTTTTTTCGAGTGGTTAAGAGAGGTCTGCAGACGCTTGTTCTTAACCCGACCATGCGTTCGGCTGCTGTCAAGATTGTTTGTTTTTACGCTTAAGTAGTCTATTGTGAATTTTGTACTGTAGTCAACAACAATAATTGTTAATTGTACTTTCCTACAAGTAAGTAGTTAAAACTTAAAACACCTTGCTGGTTTTTTTTAGTTTTAGAATATTGTATCATGCTATTTTCACTAGTCGATCAAGCAAAACTAATGACAAGGTGAAGTTGTCAAAAAAGTCTTTCCCTCTAAGATCTCATCATACTAATCTAATCATTAGGAAATTATTTGCCGAAAAATATGGTCAAGTAAAATTCAAAATCTAGTCGTAATCGATACAATGGTAGTTTCTTTTTTATCATAAATCATCGTCTTGACTCTTGAACAACACTTGCAAAAGAAATTTTATTTTATTTTATTTTTATTTTTTTTTTGTGAACCCACTTGCAAAAGAAGCTTAAAGCTAAGACCAACATTAACATTATAGGCAAGATCTTAGACCATTCTTAAGATTATTTGTGATTTAATTAAATCAAAAATACATCAAAATGACTAAGAAACTATCTTATTTAAGATCTAAATAGTGTGCTAAGAAGCGTACATGTGACATGATTCTATTGGGTAGTAGGATAAATATATATATATATATATATATTTATTTATTTCTAATTTTATTAAAAAGTCACAATAAAATTTGAAATTTATATTTATATAAACAAATAATCTCTATATATGTGTAAATTTAAAATACCGCATAAATACATTTTAAAAACCTTTTAAAAATTATTTAAAAACTTTGTAAAACCTTATAAATGTCGTTTAGAACCTTTTAAAACCTTATAATAATTTGGATTTAGTCTTCCCGTAGTAATGATGATCTTGATGTACATTATCAACCATATAAAAGTTTATAATTTTTCATATTTGAAAAGTGGTATTTTTAAAAATGGATAGAAAAGAAGGGTATTTTGTAAAAAGCGATACATTAAAAGGAACATTCATCAAAAATTCTCTAGGATAAGTAAGGGGAAAAATCAATTTTCTTAATTTTTCTCTTCTTTCTTTCTTTCCTTAATTTTATCTTATGTATGTTTTAAATTTTAAAAATTTTCAATAATTATAAAGTTTTTTCAAATTATAAATTTTAATTTAATTTAATTTTTATATAATTTTTATTTTCCTAAGATCCTTAACCTAAGATACTACCAATAAAGATGTCTCAAAACTAAAAACACAAATACATCTCTTAACTCTTACTTTTTCAAATTTATTATTAAACTAACTCTAAGATTAAAATGTTAGATACCATTGATAATCTTGCTCTAACAACTTCAATGAATTTACAAATCTTTGAAACTGAAATGGGCCTTTGGGCCATAATATGTACTTTTATTGTACATACTTCATGCAAGCCCATATGGATTAGGGTTTTATCTGGTCAAGCACTTCTATAAAACCTTGAAGATCACATGGTTTCATATAAACCCTAATTATTTCCGCCATTCTCTTCCGCCATTTTTTTTCTTTCTTTCCCGGGAGCGTAGCTAACTATGGGAAGCGATACCGAAGCAGAGAAGTCTATTCAAAAGGAGAAGAAGAAGTACGCTATTTCTCTTGCTCCTATCGCTAAACCTCTCGCCGGCAAAAAACTCCAGAAGAGAACATTCAAACTCATTCAAAAAGGTACTAATCTTACTCCCGAGCTCGATTCATTACTTTTATCTCCAGACTCTTTTTTATATATTGATTAGTAGCTTATGTCTGTGTACTGCCTGTGTAATTATTTGTCAGCTGCTGGAAAGAAATGTTTGAAGAGAGGTGTTAAGGAAGTTGTCAAGAGCATCAGACGTGGCCAGAAAGGGTTAGTTTTTTTCTTATCATTTTATTCTCATGATTGTGTGTTAGCCATTAGCTTAGTTGATGTTAAAGCCGTGTACAATTAAGCCGATGCTCTGGATTAAAATAATGAATGTAGCATGGTACTGTACTCGGAAACTGAACTTGTGATCGACATGTCTGCCATCTCTGATTTCCCTGATGAGACGGCCTGGTTTAGATCCACACTCTTTGTCTGTATTTGTGATTATGATTAGTAGTAGTGCTTCATGTTCTTCTGTCTTTGATAGTTTATTATTGTTAGCTGTTTGGTTAGTTGATATGAAAGCCGTGTACAAATAAGCCGATGCTCTGGAATAAATAGAATGAAGGTAGCATGGTACTGTGCACGGAAACTGAGCTACCGCAGATCGACATGTCTGCCATCTCTGAACTCTCTGATGAGACGGCCTGGTTTAGATCTATATTCTATGCTTTGTTTTGTTTGTGACTATGCCTTAGTTTAGTGTTTACTTAATCCGTGTACAATTAAGCCGATGCTCTGGATTATACAGAATGAATGTAGCATGGTACTGTACACGGAAACTGAATCATGGATTTGAAATGTCTGTGCCCTCTCTGAGTTCCTATTTGGTTCTTTGATTTTAGGGCCTGATTTCAACCCACATTTTCTTGTCTTATTCTTGCTATTAAGCTCTGTTTCTGTATTTGTTATGTTTCTGTTTGTTGCATCTTCTAAAAGGAGATTTGCTTGTGTTTGTGCAGACTATGCGTTATAGCTGGAAACATATCACCCATTGATGTGATTACACATCTTCCAGTCTTATGCGAGGAGGCTGGTGTTCCTTACGTATACGTCCCATCGAAAGAAGTAAGCTGATGTTCTCCCTTTGGTTTGCTCTTGTTATCTCTCTAGTCAGTTTTTGGGTGTTGACATTTTCAGTTTGAATGTAAAATCAGGATCTTGCGCAAGCTGGAGCAACAAAACGACCAACTTGTTGTGTCTTGGTGATGCTTAAACCGGCAAAGGGAGAGCTAGCTGTAGACGAACTCGAAAAGTTAAAGACAGACTACGAACAAGTCTCTGACGATATTAAGGAGCTTTTATCTACTGTAGTTTGATTAGAACGTAGAATCGAAAACACACTTAACATGTGTTTCTGTTGTGCCGTGGTGTGGTTAAATGAATCTCATGATATTTAAGGCCTTATCAATTTTTGTGGACAATCAAGAGTTAAGATTTCTAGTATTGTAAAATTTAGAATCAGAAAAATCCAATGTTTCACATATTGGTAGTGGACTAGTTAAGTTTGCAGTTTTTAAGGGCGTTTATCAAGAGTGCAGTCTAATCTCCTTAATACTGTTCTTTGGTTATTGTTACACTAGCACTAACTTTGTTCTTATCTCCTCTCAGGAGGTTATTATATTTATGAGGTCTTTGGACATAGGTTAATAGACTAAGGCTGTTTTTCTAAAGTAAATTATAGGATTAATCTATGGAGGTTTTAAACTGGATATTATAGAAAATATCTGACCATGGAGGTTTTAAATTGGATATTATAGAAAATATCTGACCATATGTGATTATTGATAGTGTGACTGATTGCTGTGGTTCAGTATAAGAGCATCAGCATTGGCGACTTATTTCACCGTCCCCCGTATTTCAATGTTTAAAATTAAATGTTTAACCGATGAAATACGAAGAAACGTTCGTTAAAACGCGACGATTTACTCCCGTCCTTCTTGCCACGTGTGTCGTCCGGATTGGGTGTTGGATAAGTGAAGGAAAAATATTTTCGGGGGTCTCGTCGTGTTGTTCTTTCTCTTCTTCTCTCTCTCTGTCGTCTGTAGCTGTCGAGAGAAGGCGAGTGGAAGGGCGATTTGAATCGATAGCGAGGTTCCGTCGGTGGTGAGTCGAAATCGTGTTCCTGACCGGCTTAGATTTCTTCCGGCGGACGAAGCCCCCAATCGGAAAGGCGTTATGAAACCAATCGGTAAGTTTTCGAAATCGTATAAGTTTCTCGGTTCTAGGTTTGTATAAACATCTGATTTTTTTGGGATTTGGTTAATATAACCATGGATTTTGAAAGGGATTTGGTTTGTATAAGCAAGGAATTTGTATAGTTGGTTGTAATAAATCGATTAGGGTTTACTATATGCGAATCGATTTTTGGATCTACATCAGTTTTATTGATATCGGATTGTTTCCAAATTTCCGATTTACTTAATTACATGATGATTGTTGTTAATTGCTATTTTTGTAAATTAAAATTATGATTAATTTAATAGAAGGACCAATCTTGGAGGGACACCAATGCTCCTACCCTAAAAATTTTAAAAAGTCCCATGATCAAACTAATCAAAAAATATTGGAGGGACCAAGATTGGTCCTTCACCAATGCTGATGCTCTAAGGACCTAATTGAATTTGTTTGTTGGGCTTTCCAGTTTTTTCCAAAATGATTTGTTGAAAAAGCCTTTTTTATATAATTTTTGTTGTTAAATAGTCAAAAGAAAGAAAAAGGAAAAGATGTGGTAACATACGTTTGTCGTGAGGTGGCCAGTAGCAAAGGTAGGTTGGTTGGGTGGGTATAGGATTCCGATTCTCTAGTTTTGTCGTAGGAAAGAAAAAAGGATTCTGATTCCACACTCGCCATATGTTGCCCCTGTCGTATAAATGATAGGTGGGTCCAACTGTAAGAAAACTATGTTAACGTCGTGGCTCTCCCTTTGTAATATTTTTTTGACGGAATCTTTTATTTCTGGGTCATGAAAAGTTTTATTTGTTGAACAAAAAAGGAAAAAAGGAGAATCAAAAGCTCAATTTATAATTTCATCACTAAAAGCTCTCTCCTCACACCTAAAAGAAATATGGAGGATTCACCAGCGGAACACGGCTACTACATGCCGGCGGAGTGGGAACCTCATGCTCAAACTTGGATCGGCTGGCCTGTAATTCTCCCTCTCTCTCTCTCTCTTTTTCCTTGTTTGGTCCCTGATTGGAGAAACGTTAGTAATCGACGGCGATTCTCGTTAACTGAATCTCGTTGTTGCATCGCAAAACCTTTGATTTCGATTTTTTTATCTATGTTCGAATTGCTGTCTTTCGTTTCTGGGTACGTTTTAGAGTTCCCAGTGATTTTTTATTCTTGTGTTCGTCTTTTTTTCTCCGTCGCTTTAGGAATGTTTCAATTCAAATTCAAACTAGCACATAGACTTGATTTTAGATGAGATCTGTTACGTTGACCTCTATGTTACCGGCAAATTTGTTCTTTACTGGTCACTACAGCAGACCATATGAATATGTTTAGATTTGAATCAAACAGTGTTCATGCTAAACCTCAGTCTTAAAGCCCTTATTTTTTGTGTGATTTTGGATCTGGGGTTCTTTTCTGACCTACAATGGCTGCAGGAACGGCAAGATAACTGGCGTGACAATGCTTTACCTGCACAGCGAGTTTTTGCGGATGTTGCAAAGGCCATCTCAAAGTTCGAGCCTGTCACAGTCTGTGCAAGCCCGGTTCAGGTTTGTGTACAATCATACCTGAAATAAGAAAACATCTTTGAGTTAGTTTCTACAGACAGATGTACCACTTCAATTAGTCTCTGATTGTGTTTGGTATTATTAGTGGGAAAATGCAAGGAAACAACTTCCAGAGGATATACGAGTTGTTGAGATGAGCATGAATGATTCTTGGTTCCGCGACTCTGGACCAACTGTGAGTTGTGTTTTCTTTGCTTCCCCCCTTCTCTCCATCTCACAAAGCCTTCTCATATCTGTTGTCACCGCTCTCTTTTCACAGTTCATTGTGCGGAAAAGACCATCAAAGCTTAGTTCTCTGAACAGAAACATTGCTGGAATCGACTGGAATTTCAATGCTTGGGGAGGTTAGGATTTGCACACCTTTTTCTACTCTCTATTATATGTAGTTTACTGCTTAACTCACTTTCCAATGGCAGGAGCTTGTGAGGGTTGTTACAATGATTGGAGTCATGACCTTCTAGTTTCAAAAAAGGTATTTGGAGGAAACAAACCAACTCATTATTGGTCCCATATCACTCTCAGTTGCATGTTTCAAATATTGATTTGGTCAATTCTTCTTTCTATCAGATTCTAGCAGTGGAACGGATTCCAAGATTTCAACATTCGATGATTCTTGAAGGAGGCAGCATCCATGTCGACGGGGAAGGTTTGCAAACATTGCTTAGCAACTTCAAAACTCAGTAACTTGAAAGTACACTCTCTGATTAATTCCACCTCATGTTTCAACATTCTTTCAGGAACCTGCCTTGTCACAGAAGAGTGCCTCCTGAACAAAAACCGAAACCCTCATATGAGTAAAGAGCAAATAGAGGACGAACTCAAGAAATATCTCGGAGTAAAAACATTTATCTGGCTTCCTCGTGGTCTTTACGGTACTCCACTTTGCGTTATCGATTAGAATCGCCATCACTCCCATACTAAATCTCTAGTATTAAAGTGTCGGTCTTCTGTGAATTATGACAATTTTCAGGTGATGAGGACACAAACGGTCACATTGATAACATGTGTTGCTTTGCCAAACCGGGAGTCGTGTTATTGTCATGGACAGAGGATGAAACTGATCCCCAATACGAAAGGTCAGTCGAAGCTCTTTCTGTATTCTCAAAGTCTGTTGATGCTCGTGGAAGGAAGATTGAAGTCATCAAACTTCATATCCCGGGACCGCTTTATATGACCGAAGAAGAAGCGTTTGGAATCACTCAGGTAACATATTCTAACTAAAACACACACTCAAACTTGGAGCTGTCTTTTGAATCGAGTTGGTAATGTGGGATGCCAATGTTGCAGGAAGGTGAAGCTATACCAAGGATTGCAGGCACAAGACTCGCAGCATCGTATGCGAATTTCTACATCGCCAATGGAGGAGTAATCGTTCCGCAATTCGGCGATCCGAAACACGATAAAGAAGCTCTTCGTGTTCTCTCGGAGACATTTCCTTATCACTCGGTATATAACCATCCATCATCTCTGTTTCAACATTTTTCTATAAATCCAAACCAATATTATAAGGAAGAAGAGATTTTGATTCACTTCTTATTTTGAAGGTTGTGGGAATCGAGAATGCAAGAGAGATCGTTCTAGCTGGAGGAAATATACACTGCATAACACAGCAGCAGCCGGTGGAGCCTAGTTCCGTCGCTGAGAACGGCCACGCGCCGTTGCGGGATTGATAATAAATCCTGACCGTTGATTCTTTTTTATTAAATACAGATTTGATTCGTGAGGGCGAACGAGAGCCGTTCGAGACGTTTTATTTGGATCCTGTATTTAATTATATATGGTTCGACTGGGAAATTTATTAGTGGTCATCATTTTGACCGGTTTAGTCTGATAAACTACTCAGTACCGATCATACAATGCTTGCATAATGGCAATACAATTAGATTTGTTTGTTCTGTTAATTATGCAAGCTCGATGATGTAAAAGCTTAAATAATGAATGTTGTTTGATTTTCTACCTTTTACTCTTGTTTAATGTAGTCAAAAACACTAATGGCTTGGTCATTCAAATCTCTAACGTATTTTGTTGCTGGGTAGTGACTAGTGATGATATAAATCAAACCTACAATGTTGAGTTCCATATATTAGATGATGAAGAAAGGATGCAGATTATAAACTGGTTGGCTGTTTGGTACGACTTTTCTGGTTAAGTTGAATTTAAAATTATTATGTTGAAAAATATATTTGCGTTATGGTTTTGTACCTGAACCAAATTAGCTAAACCGAAATTAAATTAATTAATTAGTGAAAGAAACACGGAATTGTGTGCCTCTGTGTGTATCGTATAGCTGACATGAATGCTTCAACTCCAAATCTCATCACTTCCATATAATTAAACACACAGAATAAGAGAGAGAGAGAGACGGAGAAATTTTGAGATCTCGAATAATGCGAATCTGAAGACGGATCCGTCAATTCTGTAGATCGAAACTAGAAAGGTTTCATCGATCCGTTTGGTCAAGAGAGAGAGAGCCTGCGTAGTGATCCGTGAGTATGGGGTGTTCATTTTCGGGATTGAACGCGCTTTACGACGCCGTAAACGGTGGAGGCGATGTATGGATCAATGAGAATCGATTCAGGGTCGTGAGGCAGCTCGGCGAAGGAGGTTTCGCTTTCGTCTTTTTGGTCAAGGAGATTGTCGCCGACGCTTCCTCCGCTACATCCGGTGGTGGCCTTGCTAAGAAAGTCAAGGATCCGGCTCATCTCTCCGGTTAGTATTTGATAATCTCTCGAAATAGTTTTTGTCGGTCGTGATTGCTGATTCGCTAGTCCTTGATCTGCGTTATCTCGATTGAATTAGTAACTGCTGTGTCTGATTAGATTTGCCATACGGTTTGTGGTTTTAAGGTTGGACAGTATAAATTGTAGATCAGCACATGGACTATGAGAAATTGTTTCAGGAATCAAATTATTACAATGTAGGATTCGTACGTTTGTTTTTAGCTCGAATCTTCGAATCCTAGTCCATATAAATTGACTGTACGTCTTGCTTAGTTGTTCAACCCGCGCTTCATCTGAAATTTTGCTAATTTCATGTATTATTCATTAACACTGGAAATGCGCAGGAAATTTAGTTGAATTAGTATGATAGGCAAAACATAGTGATTACTGATTACTGTGAATCCTCTTTTATATAGTTTGACTTCGAACCAACCAATCTTAATCCACTCTGCATCTGCAGTTATTGTATTCTTGAGCTTGATTTGTCATTTGTTCATTAGCACTGGAACTTGATTTGTTGACCTGGCTTGGTTCTTCAACTCTTTTTTTTCATGTTTGTCCCTTGACTTACCTTGAGTTTGTTATACGTGGTTTGCATGCAGCTGATGGAACTTATGCTATGAAGAAAGTTTTGATTCAGAACAAGGAGCAATTGGAATTGGTGCGGGAGGAGATCCGTGTTTCATCATTGTTCAATCATCCTAATTTGCTTCCACTTCTTGATCATGCCATTATTTCTGTTAAGGTAGATAAACTCCGGTCTGAACTTTCATTGGGTGGATGCTTTTTGAGCATTTTGCTATTTTAGTTTCTAATTTTCTCGTGTAAGTCCAGTTCAGAAAGTGTGTTGCTTTTGATTGGTTAGGACGGTCAAGAGGGAGCTTGGAAACACGAAGCCTTCTTGCTATTTCCTGTTCACTTGGATGGGACCTTGCTGGATAATTTCACATTGATGAAGGCTAAAAAGGATATATTCTCAACAACTGATGTTTTGCACATATTCCGTCAGGTAACAAACTCTTTCCCACTTTGATCCATCTTTGATTTCTTTTTATTTCTTTTTTAACTGTTGTTTTCTGCAACTCTATTCTTCTTTTGCTACTGACTGGTATGTTTAGTTTACTGAGAACCATGTGAGTTATTGTATGAATAGTCATAAATTGCAAGTCTTTTGATTTTCCACTACAGCTTTGTGATGGACTCAAACACATGCACTCGCTGGAGCCACCATATGCTCACAATGATGTCAAACCTGGAAACGTGCTTTTAACGCGTAGAAAAGGACAGCCTCCGCTTGCTATATTGATGGACTTTGGAAGTGCTCGCCCTTCACGGAAGCAGATCCGCTCCCGTCAAGAGGCCTTACAGTTACAGGTTCTATATCCATCCGCTTTTTATATGCTATCACAAGCTTTCGAGATCTCACCACTCCATATTGTCCATCAAATTATCGACATTCTCTTTCCTATGAGAATAACTATTTACTCCTATTGATCATGAACTTATGTTATAGGAATGGACATCTGAACATTGTTCAGCACCGTTTCGAGCTCCCGAGCTCTGGGATTGCCCAAGCCATGCAGATATCGATGAGAGAACAGATATCTGGTCACTAGGCTGCACATTATACGCAATAATGTAATACAATAGTGATTGGTTTCCTTGTAAGAATAAACAATTTCATATACTTAAATTCACTCCAAGGTCTTTTATTTGCAGGTACGGTGTGTCTCCATTCGAATATGCGCTTGGAGAATCCGGTGGAAGTCTTCAGCTAGCAATTGTGAACGCTCAGATCAAATGGCCAAACACTGGACCAAAGGCTTCTTATCCAGAAGCTCTTCACCAGTTCGTAACTTGGATGCTGCAACCACAGGCTGCTGTTCGACCTCGCATTGACGATATCATCATCCACGTCGACAAATTGATCGCTAAATTCACAAAATGATTCCCTAATTATATCGTGGTTTTCAAAAGAAAAGGTGAAAGGAAAAAAGAAAAGAAAAGAAACTCTTTATACATTGTTTGTCGCTTTTATATATGCGTAGCTGTTTTAAAAAAAAAATCCCATATTAGATACATATTTTATAGTATTGGTTACATTGCTCTTCTTAATGTATTTTGAACTACTAGGATTCGGGACTTTCTTTTTTGACTATGGGAACCAATAAATTTACTTAAGGACAATATTATCTGTTTTAAATATTTGCAGTTTGTCCTAATTCTGGTTCTAATTATTTCTCTCCTTGTCTGTATATTGTTTATATTTGTTTGATTTCTGCTTTTCATGTCTAAAAATCAGCAGCATATGTCAGGATGATTCGGTTTTAAATTTGTGCTTATTTTTTGAAAATATTTTTTTTTCGGACATGACTGATTGTTGTGCATTTAACTACACTAAACGGATGTTTGTAAATTTTGATGATAAAACTCTTCTGAGTTCTGACATCAAATCTCATTTTCAAAATTCATCTTAACAACTAGAATCTGTATTAGTGCAAAAAAAATTATGTACAAATTTATGATATTCTGGACTAATTATATTATTTTGTAAGTCTTAACACTTCTGTTACCTTTCTGTATAGATCACTTTCCCTATATATGACTTTTTTCTCATAAGTTTTTGAAGAGTTATCAACCAATGTGGGGGTATCAAAAATTCACAACTTGATATTTTGTTGTCAAGTTGATTGACATATGTATACAACTTGTAAGGTATAGAAAGTACATCTTTTTAGATCTGTATAAAGGAATTGTTCACTAGGTACAGTGGTACACATAAATACATATCCGTAGATACCCATAACATGTTGTTGAAAAAGAAGTTATTATTTATTTATTTTTGTAAAATGAAAAAAAATGAACTTTAAAATATGAAAAATCCACATGCATATAAGCTCCTATGTATTCGTGTGTGTACGACCTTTAACTTTTACGGATTTGAGTCACTTCAAACAAGCAAAAGAAATAAATTACGTAAGTTACGTAAGTCAATTTCTGGAAGATAGATAGATGTCTGATCACTATTTATTTCACTCTCAGTATTATTTTAAACTTCACTTCTCAAACTTGAAAAAAAGAAAAAAAAAAAAAAAACAGATCTACAGTTCCCCTACCTCCAAATTAAGATCATGCCTATACCTCTCTATATATTTCCATTTTAAGAAGTTTTTATTTTTGTAAAAATTATAAGTTAGAATAATTTCCTGAATTTTGAACATATAATGTATTCATATATCAACACTTACACTCCTCGGACTAGAATAGCTAGTAACGTTACAAAAGCAGTTTTAACATTCAAGAATTATTGTCGTACGTTAGAAACATTCCACAATTATTTAGCAGTGTTTTAGTGACTAGAAACTGTATAGTAGTACCCAAAGTAATCTACTCAAATAATGAGATCTTGAAAATGATCATGCAGTTTTCAATATCGTCGTTCTCATATCAAGTTCATACATATAAAGTCCATATAATTAGCGTTTCTACACCACGGCACGATCCTGAACTGAAATTTATAGCCCGTCAGTGGCATGTGAAGAGAATATAAGTGAATAAAAATCCTGATATAGGTAAAAGAAACACAAAATATAGATGATGCATGTTAAAATAAAATCATATTAAATTGTTATGTTGTGACAAAGGAAGCGAGAGATGTTTGAACTTTTTGAGGAAAGGACTTAACAACAGCAGTAAATATTAAAGAAAGACAGAACAGCACAACAAACAAGTCCACAGAGGGATGATAGTATAATTTTTGGGGATGGTACTTGTTAGTTCTCCTACTTAACTCCTTATTTATTGTTCTCTTTACACATTTTCCAATATTTTCTCCCTCAGTTTTTTTTCTTAAAGAAAAATATTCTTCCCCCAACCATACTGATGATTATTCAATTTGGATCAATTCGCAAATGTATAAATTTTGGAAAACATTCTTTCCATTGCACTTTATTTCGTTATAAGTGTTTTGTCTACAAGATAACATTGATTAATAATCGTACATTGTATATTATATAGTATATGCTATCTATAGGATGCAATTTAATTACTTACACTCCTTATCGAGTTGTTTTTGGTGCCGTAACGATTTTAACTCGACTAGAAAACCAAACCCTAACGGCACCGACATTACAAACTATTCACATGATTACACCTCTTCCAACCAAATAAATCTTTTCTTAATATTTTCTTGGTGTTATCATAGAGACATAAATTTTATTCATGCACTTTACAAATATATAATGATTCTATATATTTTTTGTGGAGAAGAAGAAGGGATATGAATGAATAATTCGTCAGTTATTTTCACGTCAAAGTAAATTAGTTGATTAATAAACCTATTGTGGTCGACAAATCTCTTTAATTACATCTTCTTTCCTACATGTTTAAAACGCTTAATTAGCATATAACAAACGCAATGACACCTAAAACTATATATTTAATGAGAAATAGTATGTTTAAAGTTATTGCATTCAATTAAAAGATGCTACTAGCTACTACGAGATAAGAGATTTCACTTTCTCTCCTTCACGGCTTCTAGCTGGACTCTTGCTGTTCTCATCAACTCTCTCCATTTATGGCTCTCTCCTCTCTCTTTCTCTTTCTCTCATTTTGTTTTCGGAATGCAATTTTATTTACGTGTTTTGTTGTTGTTGTTAAACTCTAATTTTTTTTGTTTTTTTACTACCTAGCTAACTAGACATATGATCATGGGTATATATATGTACATCTCAAATATCCAAAACCTCACTTTAATACTGTTAGCTAGTGAACATTGCTATGTTTTTTGGTTTTTTATCTCCTGTGTTTTGGCAATATTTCAAAGAGAATACGCGATAGATAACCATCTTATTTGTAAAAAACAACGATTGTAAATAAGTACAATGTTCGTTTGTCGGGTTTTTAAAAAATAAGATGAAATTCATGCATGCGACTCTTTTTAATAAACATCATGTTATATCTTCAAACTAAAATATCTTATATGATATCACACTACTATATTTCCTAAATCACACACGGAAAATACATTGTTTTATATTTCTTCTTTGTTTTTGCTAAAATGTGATTTCTTACAAACAAAAAAAGGTTTCCTAGTTTTAAATTTATTTTTAAAATAAAGTATTGGATGGGTATGTTTGTCTTTGTATTATTAAATTTTTATACATAAATATAGGTAAGTGAGCTGTTCTTTGGTCAGAAAGAAGATGAGAGATAAATAGCAATTCTCAGGTGTTTTAAATACAACCTCTTCTCCATCTCTATCTCTTCCACCCAACCCTCTTCTTCCCCCTTATCTTTTTTAAAAGTCAGCCTCTCTAATTATCTTTTTAATTTCCCAAAAAAAACAAAAACCAAAATAAAAATTCCATTTCTTTGCTCTCTCTTTTTGACAGAATATTCCATTTCTTCCCAAAGTATTAACTCTTAAATGTTATTGAATTGAATTTTGAGTTTTATATTATTATTTTTTAAAGAAAAACCTCTTATTTTGTCTTTTATCACCTAATGCATACATATACATACACTGATACACACACGTTCACATATTATATATACGCGCTTACATACATACACTGAGGAATTGCGCATATATACTACTTTCTTGTTGGATTGTTTGTTTACTTAATATCTCAGCTTCTTCTTGTGTGTTACTGTCTCACTTTAGGGTTTTTTTTTAATTTTTGTTGGTCTCTTTGTTTAGGGTGATCTCTCATCTTGGTTTAATTTCTTCTTCTGTTTATTTATTTTATATCATATAGAGAGGCACAAAGAAATAAAAAAAAGAGAGTTAATAATTAATTATAAAGGCAATATATGGAGTCTGCAAACATGTTTGGATCCGATGAGGATTCTCGCAGCTGTGAATCTGGATGGACGATGTATTTAGCCTCCCAGTCTTGTGATCATGACGACGGCTGTTACTATGATGTTGATGATAATGATGAAGAAGAAGAAGATAGCGACGGTGGTGATTCAATGGATTCTGATGCATCTTCTGGTCCTATGGAAGCCACCTCATGTCTCAAACTTGCTCAAGAGATTGAGGAGCAGAACTCTGCGGTAATGAAGAAGAAGAAGAAAAAGACTAGTGAAGAGATGGTTTTGGTGGAGGCTACTAGGGTTCACAACAACATCAATGATGATGATGATGATGACGATGATGATGGAGATGATCATGATTATGATGATGGTAACGATAGCTACAGTGTAGTTCATAACTACGTTGGTTCGGTTAGGCATAAAGGGTTAGTTTGATTTTTATAGATTGATGACTTCGTGTCTATTTTTATTCGAGTTATGTTCCAATTCCAATGTTTATTTTTCTTACATGATCTCAAATGTTATAATGTCCTTGTGTCATTACGTTTTTTTTTGTTATAATTATGAAAAATATCTCAATGATTGATTTGCTAATTATTATGTAGCCTATATTTGATTAATCATCGCTATGTTAGAGACGCGTGTGAGTAATTAAAACGATATCATAGTACAGATACAGTGATATACGAAGAAGATGATGATGATGATGCATGATAGCTTGGGCCTCTTCATGAGGTGTACATCAATGCATTCCATCATGGGTTTATTTATGGTCACCATAGTACCCCATTACGGAATACAGATATGTCATCTTAATTTACTTACTTATTTACAGATTTTAATTAATGTATGTTATTCATTTCATATACTAATACGCCACTACTATAACTAGTTATGATTTCTGCCAACAAATCGGGTTACTGATTTGACACAGGTAATATATTATATAAGCTCGTTAAGGCTAATTAGTTTCAGCGTATGGTGTATCAACGCAGTAGTATTTTATACTCATCACCGCAATTTTGAAGGAAATTTTCATCACATTAGTGAGAATTTAACCTTAATTGTGTATTTTAGCTATTTTAAACTAATAAATCAATATACAATACCCATAACCACAAATTGTAAGGATTATAATCTTATCATCAATAAACCAATTTGATAAGTAGTCGAAAAAAGACTTATATTCTCTATATACTAATGTTAATTAAGTCATCTAATTCACTGTTCATAGAGAATCAACATTTTAACACAAATCTATATGCAAACTACCAGAACTTCCATAAATAAACTCCACACACCTCTACTGAATATAAAGGATATATGATCATATTTCGTCTAATAACATGGTTAAGAAGCTCATCACAAGTTGCACAATACATAACACAGCAACAACAACAAAATTGGATTAATCTTTGTTTAGTAAAAACTACGATACTGATTTGATTGAACAATAAAAGAGATTTTTATATACTTACAAGAAAATATATAATGTAGATGATGAACATTTAGAACTTTTTTTTTTTTAAGAGAAATAATGGTTGCATAGATTTGGTTTGGGAATGACACACACGTGCACACAGTATGAGTTGTATATAATTGAGAATGGAGACAATAAAATAAGAACCCATCATCTTTGGTTGTATCTTTAGTACAGACAGGGAAACATGTTTTGTGACCATAGGGGACATATCTCTTCTGCACGTGTATCTCTCTCTCTCTCTCTGCTATTCTTTCTATCTTTTCTTTTGTCCTTTTACCCCCCAAATTTTTATTTTATTTTTTACATTTGTTCACATGCACCCTTCACTTCAGTAACTACGCAAATTGATCTTATATAGTTCGATACACTAACGTCGAACCAGTTCTGACTATACGTACGCCAACCCCAAGATTTGCATGCCCAGATTGTTTTATTTGTTTTGACTAGGATTGGATCCGATCGATGAGTGTTTAGAAGAAAAAAAAAGGGCTATGGATGGATTCCACATGGGCTTTAATCCAGTGAAGTATAGTTAAAAAAGTGGAAGTTTCGTTGACTCAATGACTCGATCGATGATATAGACGCACTAGCTAATTTAAAAAGACTTAACATAATTATGGGTATGGATGGTTTCATACAAATAGTTTAAGGTTATATATGGACTTGAGAGATTTTAGAGATACTACCCCTTATAGTTTCAACTGAGTTTACTTACCATAGTCTTCGATAACAACACGGATATGTCAATTTTGTAGATAGTTTGTGACAACAAAATTTTGTCGTCATCACTCATCAATCCAAATTTTTTTTGTCGTCATGTATTAGTCTTAGACATGTTGTTCGCCAAGTATTATACGTGTGGCTCCGTGATATCTTTTCTTATTTATATTTGTGTATGCCATGATTTTGTTTCTTTTGGAACAAGTTTTTTACGATAGCTTTTTCTCCTTAACAGCAATGTTTATTTTTTTAGTCACCAGATCATCTCAGCTATAGCATCAAAGTTATTGGATTATTGTTTTGTGGTCGTAAAATTTCATAAAACCAAGCCCTAGAATACGATGATGAATTCCTCCACAATGTTTATGTTATGATGAATTCCTTGATTAATATTTCATTAAATTTATAACCAAGTTAACATCAAACCTTTGAGATAATGTACTTTTGATTTATTTGGACATCTTATCTGTGTACTTATCTCGTCATTTGTTGTTAAAGGTTAAAAAAACAAAAACAATAAAAAAGAAGACAAATGACATAAATTGTAGATTCCTACAATCTCTTTATTTCTCACGCATACTTTTCTTTTCTTCAAACTACGGAAGGAGCTTTTAGAATCCATGGGAAAGTAGAAATCAAAGGGTAGAAGAAACGAGAGAGGCATTAAGAGATTCATGAAGCAATATATAGACAATTATTCGATCTATATAGATATAATCCTCTCATTAATTAATAATAGGGAATATAAGCTAGCAAATAACATTTGAAGCATTGGATCGTAGGAATAGGATATAACCTTTTCAGGCATACGAGTTTAATATGGTTGATCCAGAGATTGTAGGTTTAAATCAAAATCATTGATGTTTGCTGGCATATGATCATCATCGCGTTTTCCATAACATAAAGTAGTGTAGTATTCTTGGAATGAAGAGAGTGCCTTTTTGAGCTGTGAGTTCTCTAGCAGGATCTGGTGACTGAGCTCCAACAGGCTAACATACTTGTCAGACAAGAACTGATTGGAAGCCATGACTTGTTCTACTTGCGTTTTCAACCGTTCCATCTTCATCTTCCCCTGCATCCGTGATCTTCTTGCCGATTCTCGATTACACGTCATTCTCCTTAACCTCTTCTCTTGATCCGTCACAACACTCGGTTGGTCATGATTTTCGACATGATGGTCGTGAACATGGAAGCAGTCTTCATCATGTGGGTTTTGTAGGTACATCGAGATCGAGTTGGTGTTGAAGTTACTGTTTGGAGATGGATTTCCTTCGGAAAAATTGAAATAATGAGAGGGGTCTGGAGAAAGTGAGCTTCCATGTTGATCTTCCATGTTTGGTTTTTCAGATGATGGATTTTGAGAAAGGAAATAGAGAAAGGGAGAGAGTTATACTTTATTTTATTGGATTACAATAATATAATCTTTTAGATTAGAGAAGGAACATATATATAGAGAAGGAACATATATATATATATATCGTGTCTTGTAGCTGAAGTTTACGTAAACCATCTCACATAATAACCAAAAATAAAGAAAAGTTTAGGTTCTTTAATCAATGAAATAAATAAATATAATTGCATTGAGTCGTAATTAAGCATTCAACAGTAATTTGTTCTTAATTGGGGTTTTCTTGTTCTGATGTTCAGTCTTTCTTTATGCATTTGGAAAATTTTCATCAACTAGTTCTAGTCACTAGTGACATCTTTTGACAAATTGTCACTTGTAGTTTCACATCTTTGTCAAGGTTAATTTTAATTAAATTAAAAACGAAAGAAAAAAACATAGAACCAAGAGTTAAAAGAATAATGTATTATTTAAATATTATGTGACTAGTATTTGATGATTCTCACGAGCTCTCTAGTTCCTTTAAAGCTTTTGGTTTTACGTCCATTACTTTTGTAACTTTCACTACAGCCAAATATACGCGAAAACTCTACACTTGTAAGTTCGTCTGTTGTAAGTTCAATGTTTCTGTGTTGTCAGAATTTTAAATATGGCTCTGTATAAAATGTTTGTTTTTCAACGCAACGCAAAGTAACCTTTAAATAAAAACATTAGTGCGCCATAGCAAAGCGAGAGTCATTGGATGATAACAGCTTGCTTGCACATTCATGTCTACTGCATTATAAATGGACAAAAAAAGAGAAGAAAAAGGAGATTGCGATGTGTAACAGAATACAAATTAGTATGATTAGAGTTTACCAAACGGCAACCCTGGTTTCCACAAACGGATTAATCCAACTCCTTTTAACACAGAAGCTATCTCGAGCCACATAAATTGAAAACCAGGCTTGTTTATATCGTAGCTCAGACTAGTTATTCTTCACAAATATCAGATCCAGAATTGATTGATTCACTTCAACAAAACATATGTATATATAGGTCAATAAAATGAGATCAAACCAAACATCACAATTCATATATATGTTCTTCTATGTAAAGCTGGCCTCCTAATGCCTACACTATCACATGGGTCACACAATGAGGCGGAGGAACACTAGATAAAAAGAAACAATAACAACGTCGCTTAACACAATCCAAACATCCAATATATACTTAACTACTCGAGACAAAAATCTTACATATTGAGGATGATGTGTACCATTTACAGAACCATGCCAAACGTATTTGTTGTTCTTCGGATCTTCCTTTGCTCATACTCTGCATCATCTGTAGGCAACTCATGGCGACAAACAGGACAAGTGTTCCTAACTTTTAGCCACGGGACAATGCATTCACTATGGTACTTATGATTACAAGGCAATTGAACCGCTTCGTTTCCGATATTCATCTCATCTTTACAAACTGCACAGACCACACTATCACCATCGTTCTCACCTTCCAGTCGAACCATTGGGAGGTTCTTGAGAAAAGATTTCGAAGCTGGAGGTGAACCGAGAACGGAGATTTCAGCATCACTAAACTGTTCAAACAACATTTCATACTCTGTTGTTTGAATATCATCGTCATGATCACCAACGATATACAGCTCTCTGCTTTCCACATCAAAGTTGATCTCTAGAGTATGATTCAGCAAAACTTCCCACCCAAGATTTCCCTCTGCTTGGTCCCTTGTCACTAAATTCTCTAAGGAGGTAATAGGCGAGACAGAAATCGAAACTGAACTTTCGTCATTGATATCAACTTCTGCAAAACCGCTCCGTATCTCTATCTCATCCCCCACAGCAAGACCACCACCATCAACTTCCTCCCAATCAAATTCATCAGCAGTTACTCCACGATCATCTAATTGGAGTGAATCCCAACAAAGAGGAATCGTCACACTAACATCATCATCATCTTCTTCATCTTCATCATCATCATCATTCGCATATACATCTTCTTCATCCAAATCAATCCCCCATATCTCCCTCTCATTCTCAAGATCATCACCATCAGAACCCGAATCGACGGTAATTAAACGGATATTACTCCCCATGGATACAATATCGCGAAACTCAGGTCCAAAATCCCTCTGCTCAACAAAGAAATCGTCTTCATCAGATTCATCAAAATCATTACTGACATCAATATCACTATCACCTAAATTCTCAACAGCACCACTACCACCAGATTCCAAACCTAATTCAATAACCATGCCGCAATCTCCTCCCTCTATCACAACCAAACAAGACTCGGATCGCGATTCCGTGATATCGTTATCAAAATCACCATGGACAGTATCGTCATGAGGAGGAGTTACCTGAGACTGCTCAACGCGTTGGTGAAACAGATCCATGAAAAAAACTATAGAAGATCGGGAGAAACCAAGACGAAATCTGAAGCCAATTGGTTGCCTGAAACAACGGCGGAGGGGGAGGAGGAGGAAGAAGAAGAGTAAATCAGTATCGGACGAAATGTGAGAAATCGACTCGAGGATCCGCGTTACAAACCTTCAAATCCTTGATGTAAAACGCCGTCGCTTCAGTCGCATGAAAATCTCCGAAACTACTATAATGCCCCTCCCATATAAAGCGCAGAAAAGGGCCGGGTCGAACTATTTGTGCACATATTTTTCACCATCTCTCGGGCCTAAACGGCCCATAATTTATCATTGCTTTAATTATTGGACATTAAAATTGTGTCAACATGTATCATGCTTTTTATTTATTTGACTAGAAAAAGGAATTTTTTTTCTTTTTTTTTTTGTAGTGATAGACCTTTGGACCAACAAAAGAGAAAAAGAATAAAATGTAATAAATATATATATATTTCTTTATGGTTGGTCCAAAAGTATCTCGTAATAAAAAAGAAACAGAGGAAACACTTGTCGAGCACCCAATGGGCCGCGTCTTAATCGAAATCGCCATCCAAGTAAGAAGAATAATGAATATTTTTTTTAAAGGAGAAGCCACAACAAATCCGAAGCACGTGAGAGAGAGAGCCACGGAAGGGGGGGGGGGAAAAAAACAGAGTGGGAACAGAACAAAAGAAAACACATCTTGCTCTTTTTTGCAAATCGGAGTCTCTCTCTCTCTCTCTTGGGTTCTCTTCTGTGTATTAGAGAGAGTGTGGTGTGATATTTAAATATATAAAAATCTCTTCTCTCCACAGGTTTCGCTTTCACGTATTATGAATGACCCATAAACCGACAGGTCACTCGAGAAAGGACAGCACATGCCCTCTCCTTCTATTCCCAACATAATTTATCTTATCTTCCTTATTATTATATCGTATCATCAACCATTAAATGGACGTCATTAGAGAATATGTAAAGGAGACAATGATATATGCTAACTAATTACCTAATTTTGTTACAGAGTTATATGGTTTACCGTTTACGTACAACTAATGTGTCTAACTTATTGTTTACAATATTTGAAGAGATATCATCAGTAGAGTTTCATGGTAAAATATGACTTACACAGTAAATTAGTGTTAAACAGGGAAACTTAAAAACGAGAGAGAGAGAGAGAGAGATTCACAAGGGTGTGCTATTTATTCACACAAAGGGACGACTAAAAAAGTAAGGAAATAATGTTGACAAGAAAAAGGACCCACGACACAAAGTTTTAAACTTTACCTCGAGTTGTTGCAGTAGTGTAATACTACTACCTCTATCCTGATATTTATTTTCTTGTCAGAGTTAAAAAGAAAAAAAAAATAAAGGAGGGAGGGAGGACCCAGAGAGGATGAGTAAATTTGGGTCACGTGATACCATCACGAGAAAGTGACCGGTCGCCACCGCTTCTCTCTCTCTCTCTCTTTAGCAAGGCACGTGCCCCTCACGTCTCTTATCTCCCATTTGCCCGTACCCCTCCCCCCAAAAAAATAAAAATCTCAGTAATTTTAACGGAACCGCGCAACGTTTGGAATTAAACGGCGTCAAAAACTGTGAGACCCACCGCACGCGAGACGGAAGGCAAGTGTGCCCTCGTTTTTAGATTAACGGCAGGGCATGGGCACCCCACGTGACCTTCCCTCTCCCAAATCTCTCACTTTCATTTTCACCTTCTCTCTCTTTTTTTTTTTTTTCACTGCCCATCTAATTTATAATTATATCTATGGTTTATTTTCTGATCTTATTTCATTTTCAATCTAATATCGTATTTGAACAACACCACTAGTTTATTAAGTATAAGACCAACTAATCAATCGTGTATATGCATGATGCATCCTATCCTACTAAATGTAAATATAGAGACCAACGTCGTCCTCCTATATAATCCCCTCTTGGCCAAAAGTAATCTTGTTATCAAAGACATTTATACCTGTGATAATTAATCTGGCCAAAAAAAACAAATTTTTTTATAAAGGAGTTGTATAAATGTCAAGTAATTTCAGCTATGTGTACTTACACAATCCATAATACAATATACACAATCCTTTTGGATATCTATGTCAAAAACTCATATACCCGTCAAAAAATTATATCTAATGAGAGTAATTATAATAAATCCAAAAGGTATCTTCTCACAAAAACAACCAACGCATTTGAAGCTGGTAAGCCAATTATAAATGAAATGAATGTGTTAAAATGATCATGGTGTATATATATATATATAAAGTTAAATGTGACTATGCATAAATCTCATTCAAACTTGGCGCGCACACACATGATACTACATGATATAACCAGTATGTGTCATGAACTACGTTCACGAATCAAAGCCAGCCGTAAAATGATCAGATCTCAAAAGTCACTATCACACAATGGTAAGTAAACAAACAGCATGGTAAATATCGACATGCGGCCCGAGGTATACAAGTTTATCATTTCTATTTTTATATATTAAACGGTGCCGATATTTTTAAAAAGTACATTGGGTTTTATGTTCTGGTTTTTATATATATCCATAATTAGAAAACTTAAAATTGTTGTGGAAGGGGAAAAAAAGAAAGAGTGAAAACGGGATAGCGTAAAAAGGAAAGGTGGGACCCGCAATAATGGAGAGGTGTGAGTTGGCCACGTGATAGGATGGGGTAGAGGAGGTTTTAGGCTTCCTAAGCCCCCAAAAGTGTTTCCCCTTATCACGTGATACGGCGCGATTTCCGCGGCGCAACTGCCACGTGTCCTTCCTCCCTAGATCCAAATTGCTTCGTATCCTTGTTTTGTGTGTAATGTAATGTTGTTAAATCAAATGCATAATTTGTGTTTTTTTACCCCTAAGTCACATGTTGTTGTTTTGATTAGATTATACTAAGTCTCTCTCTATTAGTACTATTGTTAACTGATCCCTAAGAGGATTCCTGTGCATTTGTACAGAGGGAATGTCCCCAAATACATTTTTGTATTTTCCTTCAAATTCCAGCTTCTTTCTTACTTAATTCCCCTCTACTTTGTTCCTTTATTTTATTATTAAGATAATCACAATGATTAGAGACAACTAATAGTCCCCTTTACAAGGCAACACACCCAGTAAAGAAGCCAGCTAATTCGGATTAGATGCTCTCCCTCACCACTCTTTTTGTGTAATGAATTATAGAAACTTTCACAATACTACGGTTTTTTTTTAACACTTTAACCAATAACAAATCAAGGTTTATTCTTTTTTTGTATTTAATTTATGAAAAAGGAAGGTTTAATCAAATGTAAGAAATGCAAGTGAAGATCATTGATTAAGATATATTAATATATAAATATATGTTTGATTAAAAATATATATAAATGAAAGAATGATTATACATTGTTCACTCTTATGAAATATCAAATCTAGATTTTAAAATAGTTGTTTGCGTGTGCATGAACCTGGTGAGTTGTGATGAGATCTCACGTTGATTTTTATTTTTTCGAATTTGATCTAGGTATTCTAAATAATATTATGATTATTGATTGAAACTATATATGTGTTTTAGAGATCTTGCGATTCCGTGAATGATTTTCTCCTAAGTATACTTTATTTTCGTGGATATTTATATACGTAGGAAAATAAATAAATTATTATATCATATGGATGCTTTATATAACTTAAACCTTATCACCTAAAAACTACTCTATCATGCTTTTAAGTAGGGTATGCATTATACGGCAAAAATTGTTAAATCGTAATTGTTAAATACATCTCATTCTCACCAAAATATGCAAATTTAGTCGAATGTCTTTGCGGTTGCTAAATAGAATTATTAAGATTTTTACTAACTCTAACTAGCTAGTTGAATATAGAAATGGCAAATTAATAATATTTTAACTTAACAACTAAATTATGATAGACGACGAGGAGTTAGCAACTTAGCATGATTGTGGCCAACAGAAAGACGACGAATGGTTAAGGAGACATGGACATATCCGTCTCGGTTTTGTGTCATATTAATCCCGATCCCTATCAATTAATTTAAACAGTTTCCTAAGTCAAGAAGTCGGATTTACTAAATTGTCCTTTGATCTCAAATGTTTTCGCAAAATCTATATTTATGTCCTGAGAGAGATACAACAACAGTGTTTTTCTCACGTGAGTTGCAGAGTCAGTTCACGTGGCCCACATCACAAACCATGACAACGACATCACACTAACCTCTTCTTCTTCTTCTTCTTTTCACTTGAATTGACCATTTCGTTTTTATTTTACTTTCCTTTCTTTCTATAATAAACGTGTAAAAATTTCTTAATAATTCCATTTGTTTTTTTTCTTTGTAAATGTATCAAACCCATTTCTTGTGCGTTAGGGAAAAAAATCGAATCTCGAATACAATAATACATACACATCAAAGAACTATATATCAGATTGCGAGTGGTTTTGATGATCATTATAATACAATTCATGTTTTTCTAATTATATACTTAAAAAGCGTGTTTAAGCACAACCTAACAACTCACGAGACAAAGTGGAGGGCATGTGGGGATGTGTTATTGTTTTTTGCTCTTTCCCTATTTTGTACTATTTTCCTCTTCATGTGATCCAACACACTACTATTTTGCTATTGTTCCTCACCTCTTCTATTTTCGTATTAAATCTACAACAAATAAGTAATGGGCGTAAATTAATGTCTCTGGCTTGTACTCATTAGAGGCTACCCTTGAGGTAAGATACATAAGATACTTTATTATGTTAATTTTACCTCTAAAATATCTTTGTCAAGGGTGATCTTAGGGGAAATTAATTTTCTTCCTATGGACTTATGAAATTACGATCCATAATTTTAAAGTTTGAATAAGGTTCATTTGTGGGTCAGAATCATATGCTCTTATGGGGATGATCAATAACTAACAGAATATTTTGAATTCATGAGTACTTTATAATCTAGCTAACAATATGAGGTTAATGTGATATATGCTAAATTTGTTTTCGTTTTTTCTAATTAATTTTGAAATGTTTTTTTCACAAACTTAAAAGTTGTTTCGAAAGAGGCATAGTACTCTATTTCGATGTTTGCTTTAATATAAATTGTAAGACAATTAACTACTGGAAATTAATTATAGTCGTTAATTATGTACTATGAGAAAACTTGATATCAATATACTTACAAGACTTTGTTCAGTAAGAATATTAAATTATACTCCTCTCAGTTCAAATGAAATATAATTATTTGATTATATTTGGTTTAAGAAATATCTTTCTTAATACCTAACTCAAATCCGTCTTCATACGCTAGCTCGACATATGTAAGTTTAGTAATACTAGCTAAACTTTTATATATGTATTGTAAGTCGTCTATCTGGTTTACTTAATTAGTTTCGAATAGTTAATTAATTAGTGTTGCAACTCGTAACAAGTGGCATTCAACTAAATATAATATGGGTTTAGCTCACATGATCAGGGTCTTGATCATTATGGTTTTTTTTTTTTTTGACAATTGTTAATGGCATTGTACAAGCTGTCTTTGTTCCACCTAATGTCACATACATATATCCCCCACTCACGCAAACACATAGACGCATACACGTACAAAATCATACTTGTCCCCCTATATACCATCATTTTTATTGCAACTACTACAACGAAATTTTATTAAGTATCATTGCACTGATAGATATTACTCAGCTCTAAAATCGCTAACCATTTCCAGCTAACTTATCTATAAGCTATGCATTATGATTGTTCCGGGCAAACTTCTCTAAAATGAGTAAATGCAGAAGCAGTTTAAACTTTCACATGGTTTCATCGAGATTATTCGTTTGGTTCATTTAAGTTTTGGTGGTATTAAATTTAATTATGAAAAACTACAAGAATATAAGAGAGGACTTGATCAATACTTGTCTCCCTATATTTAATTAGCTCACTGAATTTTCTTTTATATGGTTGCATTTACATCTACGAGTATTGTATAATTCGACGTAATTAATTTTGTACTATAGTAAAAAATAAATAAATAGAGTGCGTTGACACGCCAAAGCATTATTTATAGAGAGAAAACGTCAACAACAACTACAAGCTGGTTAATTGGACTTGGAGTAATAAATATTATGAATCCGTGAAGATTTAATGTTCGATGATTGTAGTAGTATACATGATATGAACATATTTTTCGTATGCATGCCTCTCAAAAAAGAAAATGAAAGGGGGATTTATTAATAGCGTGCATGTGAGTTTCAATTGCCGACAACGAATATTGAAAAATGACCATTAATTTGGTAGAGTCAATGAATATAAATGTCACATAATTATAAAGAAAAATAAATGAGTAAAAAAAAGAAGAAGTGATGTTAGCAAATTATTTTTATGTAGATTCCTCGACGATGTGATTTCATTAAACAATTTTTTATAGAAGAAACTTAAAAACTTTGATTGATTATATAGAAAACAAAAATTTAGAAATTTTTGCGAGATGAATGAATTATGAATAGTATGTACTATAGGAGAAACCAAATAATTTAAATATCGTAGAAGTACATAGCGAGCAATAATTGATTATAGCAGTAACTTGTAGAAATAATAATATTACTAGTATTATAAAAAAATAGTAGGAACAAATTAATGGGGATCGTCGAACACGATAAAAACAAAAGCGTAGAAGTAAGTAAGGAAGTACACACATCGATTAAACCAAAACGAAACAAAGCAATAAATAAATTGGTGCGTGTGTTTTTATTATTTTTGTTACTTGGAAAATAAAAATAAAAAAATTATAGCGCCGCTAAACGGATAAACCCACTCTGTTTACCTTACACTAGAAAGCAACTAACTAGAGAACATCCACCACGTGACTCCGTTAGATTAACGTCGTCTAAACGGACTGCTTTAACGAAGTGTGTTATTGCGAGTGTATAAAACATTTCCGGCTTCTCAAGACATTTCCTTCTCTCTCAAAACAGAGAAAGAAAGAGAGACGAAGCTAGAGGGAGAGAGAGAGAGAGAGAGAGAGAGAGAGAGAGAGAGAGAGAGAGAGTGAGATAAGCTCTCTGGCTGATCTTATTTTTTCCCCCGATCAGATCGAAGAGTTTTATCTCGGAATTCAAACTTTTTTTGTCTGGTTTCCTCTGCCTAAAGAGATCCAAGCTTCACACAATTGTGTGTGGTTGATTAAGGTACGCTTCATAGCTTCTCTAATTCTAATCAGTTTCGTTTCATTTAAGTTTCAATTTTGACTTGGAATCCAGTTTTTGCATCTCCATACTCATGTGTTGACTTGAATTATGCGAAATTGAGTTGGTTTGAGTTAGTAGTTGTTCTGAATTATGGTTTACCTTGTGTTTTTCTATTCAATTCTGATGACAGATCTATCGAATCCACCGATTTGGTGTTCTCCGGCGATTCTTCCGGTTGAATTCTCGAGGAAAAGTTGCAGAGGAGGCCGATTTTGGTTAAATCGACCAAAATTCGACTAGTTTTTATCGGCAAAAAGCATAATTCAGCAGCTTCTGAGCTCAATTCCGCTTCTTTGACCTTCGGAAAAGACAACATCTGTTGAATTTGCTGCTATAACTCGCAGATCTGAGTTGCTAGCTACATAATTCCCTCGAATTTCAGACCGATTTTTGCCAAGAATTGTCAAATTCCCGCGCTCAGATTATAATATTTTTGAAAAAAATAAAATTCAGAGAATTGTGGAAGCTTGCTGTTCATGGAGCTTCCTCAACCTCGTCCCTTCAAAACCGAAGGTAAACACTATTTAATCAGATACTATTTATATTACCAAAATTGTTTTGTACTTATAAAAAGGAGAGTTTAGTTTCTTCAAGATTTATTATTTTATATTTTGTGTTTTTTTTTTTGGGGTTTTTTAATTTTGATTTTTAGAAGAATTTCCACAGGGAGAAAACCAACACATGATTTTTTATCGCTCTGCAGTCATTCAACCGTCCATCCAGATCCAACAAAGCTAACACCACCTTCTTCTCAAGGTATATATTACCCATTTTACCCTTTTTATTAAAAAAATATTATTATTTAGATTCTCTTTAAGGCGTCACGTTTTTTTCGCCTGTGCCGCGCGTGCATCTGATCTGACTTTAAGACGAATCATGGATCAAAATTGTTGCTCTTTCATTGGGTCCTTATGGGCCCAACTCTGTTTAAAGCCCACAAAAATATGGGGACCGTTTATGGGGGGATACACATGTCGTAAAAGCTCGAAATTCGAATCAGTTCTGTAAATAAAAATATCTTTCAAATTTCATCTTGTGATGTGATGTCGATGCTTGCATTCTGAGAGCATACTTACATACATATTGGGATTTGAAAGAGTTTACAGCATCTCTAATTGAATAAAGGGGTGAGTTTTTTAAAATGATTCACATATTGAGTTGTAATTTGAGAATTTTATTGTACATTGATCAGGTAGTCACTTGAAAACCCATGATTTTCTTCAACCTTTGGAATGTGTTGGTGCTAAAGAAGAGATAACTAGGATTAACACTACCACTACAGCGTCCGAGAAGCCACCGCCCCCTGCACCCCCACCACCGCTGCAGCACGTTCTTCCCGGTGGTATAGGGACTTACACAATAAGCCCCATTCCTTACTTCCATCATCATCATCAGAGGGTTCCTAAGCCGGAGTTGTCACCGCCAATGATGTTCACTACTGCTGCGCAAGCAACTGGTGGTAATGAGAGAATTGCTGTGGACGACAATTCAAACTCTAATTGCAGCTCGTATGCTGCTGCGGCAAGCGGATTCACTCTCTGGGATGAATCTGCTTCTGGGATGAAGGGACAGACAAGGAAGGAGAATAATGTTGGGGAGAGAGCAAACATGAGAGGTAACAATAAAAATTGAATCTTGTGTTAGTTATTCTAGTTTACTAGTGTTTAGAAATCACATAAAACTGATGAGATAAGTTTTTTTTTTTGAATTTATAGCTGATGTTGCAACAACTGTGGGACAATGGCCAGTGGTGGAACGACGGTCCCAATCGTTGACAAATAACCATATGAGCGGTTTCAGTTCTCGCTCTTCCTCTCAGTCAGTCTCATATCATCTCTTTTTCTATTACTTCTGTCTACCGACTTAAAAGGGTGATCAACTCATGTTTTACTTTGGTTGCAGAGGGTCTGGACTTAAGAGCCAGAGCTTCATGGACATGATAAGGTCAGCAAAAGGAAGTTCCCAGGACGATGATTTAGATGATGAAGAAGATTTTATCATGAAGAAAGAAAGCTCCTCGACTAGCCAGAGCCATCGAGGTTTGTATTTTTGAGATGTCAGCTTTACCTTTTCTAAACCGTTACAGCTTAAGATCTGACTGGTTCATCCTTTACAGTGGATTTGAGGGTAAAAGCAGATGTGAGAGGCTCTGGTAACGATCAAAAGCTGAACACGCCAAGGTCTAAACATTCTGCTACAGAGCAACGAAGAAGGAGCAAGATCAATGATAGGTACGTCTTGAATATGTACTCAAAGATATGATATGTAGCAAAAGCGGAGTTGGTTATAGAGTACAGCAGAGAGGCGAGACTAATCAAACATTGTTAATGGATCCTTATTGTAGGTTTCAAATGTTGAGACAGCTTATACCTAATAGTGACCAAAAGCGGGACAAGGCCTCCTTCTTACTAGAGGTATAACTATAATCTTCCGCCAAAGTTTATGTGAGAAGATGCAGTCTCATCATTTGCTAATCTCCAAAATATTCTCTTTGAAACTTCATACAGGTTATCGAGTATATACAATTCTTACAGGAGAAAGCAGACAAGTATGAAACATCTTACCAAGGATGGAATCACGAACCTGCAAAGCTATTGAATTGGGTAAATACAATCTCACATTTTCCAACCATAACTCATTCTCTTTCTATCGGGTTGGAAGCTGAAAACAAACAAACCACATAATGTTAATCTGTTTGATCCATTTGCATTACAGCAGAGAAACAATCAACAGCTAGTACCAGAAGGAACCGTTGCTTTTGCTCCAAAATTGGAAGAAGAGAAGAATAACGTTCCGGTTCCAGTACTTGCAACAGCACAAGGCGTTGCAATCGATCATCTAATAACTGCAACGACCTCTCCATTTCCATTGTCGATTCAAAACAACAGTTTTTTCTCTCCTGTGATTGCGGGTAATCCTGTACCTCAGTTCCACACAAGAGTCGCATCATCAGAGGCCGTAGAGCCAAACCCGAGTTCTCGGAGTCAAACTCAGCCATTGAAAGAAGAAGAAGAAGTAGAAGATGAGGAAATTCTTGAGGGTAACATCAGTATATCAAGTGTTTACTCACAAGGGTAAACTAAAACCTCTCTTTTGATCTTGAAACAGTTAAAGAAGTAAAAAAAAAAAAAAATTAATTAACCTTTTTTTATTTTTACTTTGTTGTGGAGCAGATTAGTGAAAACACTAAGAGAAGCATTGGAGAATTCAGGGGTGGACTTAACGAAAGCAAGCATCTCTGTTGAAATCGAGCTTGCTAAACAATCATCGTCTTCCTTCAAGGTTTCTTTTTCTTTCTTTACGTTCGATTCAATTCAAACACATTTTGTTTTTGGGGTTGGACCTTGATAGTTATTAGTCTTGGTTTACTACTGATAGGATCATGAAGTCCGTGGACCGGTATCTCGAACCAGAAACGAGGATGTCAAGCAAACTCGGAAACCAAAACGGCTCAAGACGGGACAATAGAAGTTTATAAAAACAGAAACCAAACACACAATCTGGTAAAAACACCAAAGTTGATTCCTCTGTTCTTTTATCTCAAAAAGGGATTATAATTTATTATTCTTAGTTATATCTTCTTGATTTTTTTTTTCCTTTTGTACATTCGAAAGTCATGTTTTTATCTCGTGGGTCCATAATCTCTTGAGACCTAAGAAGACTAGTGCGACCCGGTTGTGCTAACCGCATTTTAGAACATAATCTCAAATATTCTTTGGGGTTTTGTCTTTTTTTTTTCTTTCTTTCTTTCGAGGAACATATTGTTAAAGGGAAGGCTTCCAATGTTTTGGAGAAGCTTCTTATCTTATGCTAAATCATTTGTTACCCTTTCTCTCTCTCTCTATATATATATATATCATCTTCTCACACTCTTTGGAGATCTCCGTTTTCGATGCAATACTATATTTTTATTAGAGGTTATTGTAATCGTAAAGAAAACTAATCATTGTTACTGGTTATTGTAATGGGAATTTTATATTCTGTGGCACTTTTAAAACTCAAAAAATTAAAACTGCCACTTTCTGTTAAATATTTTATGCAATGCCATAATATGTATTCAAAAAGACAGAATTGCCCTTATCCATTTACTAGAGATTTTGTTTTTAGTTTAAAAATAAATAAAAGGGATGAGATATTTTATCTGACAGCAAAAAGTAGCATTTAATGGGGTTAATGTATGTTAATATCCAGAGGATAATTTTTAATGGGTGATATAGGTCTGAGATTTAATGGAAAACAAGTAAAAAACAGATTTCGATGAGTATTAATGGAGGACAAGTAACAGAGATTTTCTGGAAGTGGTCGGTGCTGAAAAATGAGAAAAACACATTTTTGCTTGTCCATTGCTATGTTGTCCTCTGCTATGTTGTGTCGTCATATAGAGATCCTAAAGATCAAAATTTGTCCATCAATAAAAACATAAACTGGACGAATGTAGAACATCTCACAAAAATATAAATCGTCCATCTCATAGTTTACTTGGTCTGACGAGGATTGTCTATTGAACTAACTAATGGACAACTTTGTTCTGTTGATTCGATGAACAATCTATAGAATAAATATCAACAGACGACTTACGATGGACAAAAAAAACTCATGGACATAATTTGGTATAGATCTGGTCTATAAAAATATACATTCACGGTGTCCGATGGACAACTCCACCTGCGTTATTCGAGAAACTCGGCCGGAAACGAAGAAATTCTGGCGTGTGGTGATTCAGGACTGTCGCCTCCATGTTCACCGATGTCGATTGGAAACGCTGCAGGATGTGGTCAAGCATCCATGAGATCTGAAGTAGAAGGGGGTAGGATTAATTTGTGTGCAAATAACAAAGGTTTGGAAAAAGATGAACTTGAGCTGAGGTTTAGAAGAAGATGAACTTGAACTGAGCTTTGGAAGAACAGAGGCTTGGAAGAAGATGAATCGTACACAAAAAAAAAAATATTTTTAATTGTATAAAGGCAAAAACTTTTTGTCAGACATCAACAATATCTCATCAGCTTTAACAAATTTAAGATGTTGACTGCTGAGGATAAAACTGTCATTTAATATTGCCTTTGTGGCATGTGAGAAAACAAAACAGCAGATGTGGCATTGGGAAAAAGTTTTGACACTGTTCATGTCATTGGCTATAATTTTCTCTATTGTAATCGTGATAAAAAAAGAAACAAAGCAATGACTAAGAGATGAGTGAATGGTGAGTTGTGGGAGGAAGAGAAACACACTCTCATCAAGAAGATAGATAGTTTAAGAGGGGGGAAAAAGTCATCGGGCAAAGTTTGAGTCTTCCCTCCTATCCTCACACCGCAATTTGATCAATCGTTAGATGTGGCTTCACCCTCCTGTCCTGGAATCACACCATTAAAAGTTACGTGCAATTTGACATCCCGATCAGTAGTAGTATTAGTTGCTGCACGTGACTGCCTTATCTCCTCATCAAGAGCTTTGAGATTGTAATAGTGTGAATGAGGGAGACGAGGACATGGAAGCTCCTCCTCACAATCCGGATTAGAAAGGAAGGCTTTGATCATATCGTCGTTAGAAAGCCCATTCACTCTTCCGGAGACAGAAGAGGATTCGACTCCATCTTTCCCCTTGCCCTTATAACTACATATCGCTTCACCCTCCGGTCCTTCACCTAGAACCACACCATTAAAAGTTACACGCAATTTGACATCCCGATCGATAGTAGTATTAGAAGATGCACGTGACTGCCTTATCTCCTCATCAAGGGCTTTGAGATTGTAATAGTGTGAATGAGGGAGACGAGGACATGGAAGCTCCTCCTCACGATCCGGATTAGAAAGGAAGGCTTTGATCATATCGTCGTTAGAAAGCCCATTCACTCCTCCGGAAAACGAAAAGGATTCGATTCCGTCTTTCCCATTCCCCTTATTATGAGGATTCGTCCAACCGAAGACAGGTCTATGTCTATCTTCTACTTTCCAACCGAAGACAGGTCTATGTCTATCTTCTACTCCATCTTCATCCCCGCGGTCGTCGTTCCAGCGCAGCCCGTAATTTCTAAGACGGTTACTTTCCATGATCTCTATCTCTCTTGTTATTAGGGCTTTCACAGTTAGGGTTCGAAACTTTTGATCGCAATTACAGCTAAATCGTGTTTGTATTTTCGAGTGTATGTTATATTATATTACAGGAATGTACTAGCAAAAATAACATTTTGTAGGAGTTACCTCGTGTACTCTTTTTTTAATGTGGGGCCCTTTAAATAAAGGAAACTATATCAATAGTAACATTTGTTTTTGGGCTCTCGTTCGGGCCTTGTATACATTACTAAGATTTACAACTATGGTGCCTACCGCTCCTATATTTCATTTCCTATCAGAATTAATTACCCTGTACATTCTAATCCATCAGTATGATTTGTGTGACCTCTACTGTTACTGGTGATGGAAAATATTAAATTGAAATCTCTAATACATGATTATAATTTCCGAATTTCCAAACTTAAAAACAAAGCATAATGTTAAATTTAAAAGAACCTTAAAAGAAGGAAAAGATGGTTTAAAAAGGAAAGATTTCAAAATGTCATAGGTCAGTCCAGAAAAAGTATTGGGAAAGAAGATGAGGGTAAATTAGTAATCTTAAGTTGGTAGTTTCAGATGAACGTTGGAATAAAAAAGATTGGAGATCCGAAAAAAAGCTCAGACTTGACGAATGAAACCATTTTGAATAAAAATCAAGTCTTATCTATTTTGTTCTCTCTGCTCAGAGTCTCGGGTTGTTGAGGACTAATCACTGAAGCAGATCTATATACCGAGAGGCTATAGAAGATGTACGAGCAGCAGCAGCAGCAGCAACATTTCGTGGATTTGCAAAGCGATTCTGGATTTGGGGATGATAGCTCATGGCTCGCCGGCGATGACGATCTCCGACTGTCTCCTCGCCAATCTGCTTCCGCGACCAACTCCGGCAATGAGAATCTGGATCGTCGTCTTTTAAAAGACCTCGTTGAGATGGTTCCCCTTATCGAGCATTACATGGTAATTTTTTTTCATTTCTAACCCTCTTTGCCTTTGTTGAGTGGCCAGAGCTCAATATATTTTGGGTTCGAGGGGATTGCTGATTCGGTGATAGATTCATTTGGGGGATTTCGAAACTATATCAGTGTTTTGGACGGAATGGGTTTCTTAATTTTGAAAAATTTGCAGCAATTTTGGAACTTTTTTGACGGATTCATTCGGGGGAATGTGAGAGAAATTGATGGTTGTTTGAACTTAAAAGTCTGAAATATCTGAAAGAGAAAGATTGTAGATTTCAATGTTTAGGTCGAAATTTAATGACTTTCTTCTAAATGAACGCTATTAGGAACATAAAGAAAGGAGTTCGTTTAAGCGGCGTGGTTCCATGATCTACACTAAGATGCCTTCCAAAGAATCCTTGTCCAGAAGGGTAAGATGTCAATCTTCTTGTCCTGTTGATCTATATCATCTCTTTATGGCATTTTTTAATAAACATTATCCATACGCTGTTTCTTGGTTGTGTAGGTTTAAGTAAGTCTTTTTTAACACTACAAGTAGTTACTTAGATAATTGATTTCAGTGTGTTATCTTTTCCTTTTGGATTATGAGCTGATATTAGCTTGGCTGATCAAAATTTGTATATCCATAAGCAGTAGATCAGTAGATTGTTGTAACGATGAATATCTGTTTTTGGAGCACTGGTATCTTCAAACTTGTTCAATGGGTGGTTTCAGGTTTTACTTCTCCTAGCCAAATGTTGCCTTTCTTAGATGTTGCTCAATGTTTTTATTCAATATTTTAGCTATGCTCGGCTGAATAACTTATTCGCTTGTATTTGCATGTATCCGATCCAAAGGGAAGGAATGCTTCTCAAACAGTCCCAGGGAGAAAGAAGAGAGATCCTGAGGACAATGGCGATGATATGAACAATTCTTTGGAAGATGGTGAAAACACGAAGGCTTTGGCTGGTGCCGAAAAGGAAGAACTGAGTAGACTAAGAGAGCAAGTGAGTGATTTGCAGACCAAATTATCGGAGAAAGAAGAGGCTTTAAAGTCAATGGAAATGTCAAAGAATCAGGTAAACGAGACCCAAGAAAAGCTTGAAGCAACAAAACGATTGGTTTCTGAGAAGGAGATGTTGATCAAGTCTATGCAGTTACAATTATCGGACACAAAGGTAAACCATTCTCAATTAAGTCTATGCAGTGATAATTATCGGACACAAAGATTTCTCCTTTGTGATTACTATGAATCTGGTTTTAACATACATAATGGAGTACTTGTTTGCTTCTGCACATATCTCACTTGTTAATAGCTTCCTTTCGCTGTCTTCCCCAGATCAAACTTGCAGACAAGCAAGCTGCCCTTGAGAAGACTCAATGGGAAGCAAAAACAACAGGGGCGAGGGAAATCAAGCTGCAAGAACAGCTAGAAACTCTTGAAGGAGAAATCTCTGCATTCACTCAGGTATTCAAAACTCTGGCGAAACCCGATTCCAAAAACCCCGACAGGGATTATGATGCAGCACCATATGAATTTGATCCTCTTCCATATCTTGTAAGTCAAAGCCACACAACGATCATTTCTCTTCTTTTTTTTTCCCTTGAACCGGGGTCATATCTCATATCTAAAGCTGTTGTGAGAATACGTTAATAACAGGACGATGTAGATGAAACTGAATTGAGGAAATTGGAAGAAGCAAGATTAGCTTATATTGCAGCAGTGACAACGGCAAAGGAACGAGAGGATGAAGAATCTCTGGCTATGGCTGCTAAAGCACGAGCGTATCTGCAATCACTAGCCTTTACATATTAATCATCTTGAGGTACTTTCTTATAGGATTTTTCTCTCCTTGGTTTGTTTTAGGTGTATGTAGATTTGTACCATGAAAAAATTGGAGAAGAAAAGCTAATGCGAGAAACACAAAGTTATGTTTTCCCCTAAAACAATGAACGCTACTCGAGTTTTTGTTCTTCAAATTGAGCGAGCTTGTATGATGTATCTATTTGGTCTTCTATATTTTCGGAACATAATATCATATCGTATAATGTACCGTTTTTTTTTAATATAGTTTTTACTTAGATACACCCTTACCATATAAAAAAAATCTATAAACTTTTGGACTCTAATGCTTGAAAAGAGTGCATAATTGTTTGTTTCAAACTTGAAAATATTTATAAATCGTGTATAATGAAATTGGGCATATCTAGACAACAAAATAGTTTTATAATAGCCGACTAAAAAAAAAAATATAGTTTTATAATAAAATAAGGTCTTACTAGGATATAGGCCTGCGCATAAAATCCGAATCCGAAAATCCGAACCGAACCGAACCGAAAAAATTGGATTAAAACCGAACCGATATTGGAAAAATAACCGATCGGTTGTTAGCTTTCATTATTTTTGGATATCGGATTAAACCCGATCCGAACCGATATCCAATAGATATCCATATATAACCGAACTTATAATATATACTTTAATATCTTTATGATATATACGTTTACCGCATATCGGATTAAAAGTTATTTTTAATTAATTTTAGGATGTTACTGAATTTTGCTACTTTTTCATTAGGAATTTATGGTTTAATTTGGTTTATTTAAATCTCTTATGCATCGACACAGTTTTATGCTTCACTTTTATATATTGGTACGGTATTATGTTAGTTGGTTCTTTGAACTTGTCATTTGCCTCATTTCTATTTTTTATATATACTTGGATAGCATGGATTATTTAAGAATAATTGGATTTAAAAATATCCGAATAAAACCGAATCCAATAAATTTTGGTTAAAATTTAATTATCACAATTATATCCAAACCGAACCGAAATCCGAAATATCCAAACCGAAACCGAACCGAATTTTATAAATATCCGAATGGATATTAGAATCAATATCCAAAAAATCCGAAAACCGAAAAATCCGAACCGAACCCGATCCGATATCCGAACGCTCAGGCCTACTAGGATATACTATTACTATTTTAAATTTAATATGGTTCGCACGTGCCGAATCACTCACCTGTGTCACAAATTCCGCGCCATAGCCCACCAATACGGTGTCGTTTGGAGCCCAAGAAAGTTTTAAAACTTATATTATAAATAAAAACCCTTTCTTTGTTAATGGAAGGAAAAAAAGTAAAATTCGGTAATGGCGAACGTGAGATGCAGCGGCGGAGACACTATTGCGATCTGTGTCCGGAGCATTAACGGCGAATCGACGACCATTCACGTTTCCTCCGACGAGACAATTCATGACCTTAAGGTTGCCCTAAAATCCTCTTTCCCTCCCGCTTCTTCTTCTCCCATATTCCATCTGTATTTCAAGGTAATGCTTATGATTCACTACACTCGTTAGATATTTTGATTTCATGTTTCGTTTTGGATCAATTCATCTTCCTTTGTATTGTTTCAGTTTACTAATTTCTCTTTTTGTAGGGCAAGAAATTGAGTTTGAACACTAGAGTGGCTGCTATTAGTACCAATGACGGTGATATCGTGAGTTTGATTCCGTTTACTAAGAAGGAACGTCCACAAACTCCAAAACCGGAGTTACCAAAACCTTCCTTGAGTTCTGAGGCGACTCGAAGGTACTCATCCTTGAAAGATGAAAACGCTAAAGCAGCTGAGAACCATTGTGTTGGGGAGAAACGAAAACGGGATCAAGAAGCCTGTCCGTATGGATTCTTTAATGGTGTTTTGGAGTCTGACTGTAAAGATGCATTTAAGGGTCAGAACATAGAAAAGCTTGCTGCGGTTTTGAAGTCTAGTAATTGCTTGACATCTCCACGTTCTACAAAATGCTTGATGTCATGGGATACAACAAGTAGCTCTTTGTGTTCTTGTCCAGATTGGGTGAAGTTGTGTATGGAAACATTCGCTTTTTTGAATCTTTTTTCATCTCTTATTCAATCACTTGGAGAAAAGTTGTATATATCCCGCTTGAAGGAATCTCTTTCCCGGTTAGCCATGTCTGGAGTTCGTGTTGGTATACAAGACGTAAAGAATCTCTCACTTATATGCCCCAAGGTGATTTTTTTCGATATCTGTTTAAGTATAGTTACTTATTTTGTGACAAAATGTTTTTATATGTAACCGTAATGGTTGTTGTAGGTTGTAAAGGTTATCACTGATGACTTTGAGGCTGTGAACCATGAGAATGCTATAGTGATAGCTGATTATCCTGAGACTGATAAAAAGCCAAGATTTAAGAAAACTCCACTTGCAAAAGCCTTTAGTGCCATGAAAAAACGGGAGACTTCCTTTAAGTCTGAATTGTGGGAGTCCATCAAATCGCTACTGGTAAAGAATACAGGTGAGAGTGGCATAGCTATTTCCTTTGAGGACATGCTTAAATTTTCCACTGAAGGTAGAGCTTTAGGTGGAAACAAAGCTAGACAGGCTGGGAAAGGCAGTTGTTCTTTCTCTGGTTCTCGTAAACCCCAGACTTTGTGTCATGACACAAATTCACTGCTACCATCGGAGATGGTTGAACATCTCAGGCATGGTATTGGATCTAAAGGACAGGTAGTTCACGTTGAAGTTATCAATGCTAGAAAAGCTGCCTGCGCCGAAATGTCAGAAAAGCTCTCAGAAACAACCAAATCTGCCTTGAAACGAATTGGACTCCATACATTATACAGCCATCAGGCTGAAGCAATTTCAGCAGCTTTGTCTGGGAAGAATGTTGTGGTTGCAACTATGACCTCCAGTGGAAAATCTCTCTGCTACAATGTGCCAGTCTTTGAGGAACTGTGTAAAGACACAGATGCTTGTGCCTTATACTTATTTCCGACCAAGGTTACACAGATTTTCTCCTTTTCTTTCGAGTTTTTTTATGCTTAAGAGATCCCAAAACTTTTTAAAACTGCTACAATAGAAAGAGTTTTTCTGTTTGTTTGTATAGGCCTTAGCTCAGGATCAATTAAGAGCATTGTCTGATTTGATAAAAGGATACGAAGAAAGCATAAACATGGGAGTGTACGATGGTGATACACTTTATAAGGATAGAACAAGGCTGAGGAGTAATGCTAGACTGGTAATTTCTTACTGTCCTTTTCCCCCAATATTCATTCACTCAGTCTCATTTGAATTTCAGAATACATATTTCTCTAACTAACATTGTTGGAATTTATGCTTGTAGCTGATCACAAATCCTGATATGTTGCATATGTCAATTATGCCTCTCCATGGACAATTCAGCCGGATTTTATCTAACCTTAGGTAACACATCTTCCTTTTAAGGTTATGTCTTCTCTCATTTTAAGTTTGACTAATTTCATTAGAATCATTGTGAACTGGTTCAGAGAGGAACAAACCCCCCTAATAAATCATGACTAAAGTCAAGCCGAAGTTGAATATTTTCAGGTATGTTGTGATCGATGAAGCCCATACTTACAAGGGACCATTTGGCTGCCACACAGCCCTTATATTGAGAAGACTTCGCCGCCTGTGTTCCCATGGTGCAATACTGATCCCATAGTTAAACCAATATAGTCTTCATTATTAATTTCGTGCATTTAGATTTTGAATTGATCGAACACATCTTACTTTCCAGTTTATGGATCCAATCCTTCTTTCATTTTTTGCACTGCAACATCTGCTAATCCTCGAGAACATTGCATGGTAGGCCTACATTACCAATTATCTGGATAATTGATTCGCTTATTCAAATCTATCAAACTGGATCAAAACTTGATTTTCTGCTGATGTAGGAGCTTGCAAACCTATCTGAGCTCGAGCTGATAGAAAAGGATGGAAGTCCTTCCTCTGAAAAGCTTTTTGTCCTGTGGAATCCATCAGTTCTTCCAACAAGTGTATTATTCAGTTCCCTTTTATTGTTTTTCTGGAACCAATTCTGAAATATTATTTACTCATTGTTCCCTTAATCTATTGTGTCACAGAAACCTGAAGAAAGTTTGAAAGTCGTTGGTAGTAGTGAAGGTGCTGCTGCAGATAAACCATCTGGAGTTGCTGCTATTACACCATCAAGGTATTTTTAGGCATTTTTCTTGCTTACTAGAAAAAAAATTTATTGTTATTTATAGCTAACATGAGATATCATTTCATTTATTTACAGCCCTGCTTCTGAAGTTTCACACCTCTTCGCAGAGATGGTTCAGCATGGCCTACGTTGCATTGCTTTTTGTCCATCTCGCAAACTCTGTGAACTTGTTTTGTGTTTGACGTATGTCCTCTTGTTAATCGCTGTTAGTAAAAAAAAGTTTCACTAGAGTATTTGATTAAAATAATGCTGATGGAGTTTGACATCCTTTAAATGTGCCCCAGACGTGAAATTCTAGCAAAGACTGCCCCTCATTTGGTTGAAGCCATATCCTCATATCGTGGAGGCTACATTGCTGAGGTACATTTTCATTTTTTATGTATCGGAACTCTAGTGTTGTTGGTAGATGAATTGCATTTAGTAGATCAATTTTTTCGATATTTTGCAGGACCGGAGGAAAATAGAGAGCGATTTATTTGGTGGAAAACTTTGTGGTATTGCTGCAACAAACGCACTTGAGTTGGGAATTGATGTTGGTCACATCGATGTAACTCTTCATTTAGGTTTTCCCGGCAGTATTGCCAGGTAAATCAGTTTAATTGACTCTTTTCTTTTCCCTCTTAGAACTGAAATTCCATAAGGCGCAGCTGACAATGACTGATCACTTTTGAGTTTCAGTCTTTGGCAGCAAGCCGGTCGATCTGGAAGACGACAACGGCCTTCTCTTGCCGTATATGTTGCCTTCGCCGGTCCGCTTGACCAATACTTCATGAAATTCCCGGACAAACTCTTTCGTAGCTCCATTGAGTGCTGCGTTATTGATTCTCAAAATGAGCAGGTTTAATAGTATACTGTTTGGATTCTTGTACCAACTTTTAATAACCAAGCTGATATTATACTGACTTGCTTTGATACTTTTATTACTGTAGGTCCTTGTGCAGCATTTGGCTTGTGCTGCTATTGAGCATCCATTGAGCTTGCAGTATGATGAACAACACTTTGGTTCTGGCATAAGTGACGCTCTTGGGTCGCTCAGGAATAGAGGATATTTGAGTTTTGATCCATCCCGTGATTCTTCTTCTAGAATATGGACCTATATTGGTCGAGAGGTATATATCTGAGCAATCACTTTAAAAAATACAACCCGAAACCGAGTTTCCTTGCTCTAAATACCTTTGATGGTCAACATTTTCTCAGAAAAAGCCTACGAAGAAAGTCTCTATCCGGGCCATAGAGACAGTAAGATACAGAGTCATGGAAAAAAGAAGTGAAGATCTTCTAGATGAAATCGAGGAAAGCAAAGCATTTTTCCAGGTATATGACGGAGCTATTTATATGAACCAAGGAAGGACCTATCTGGTCACGAGTCTGGATATAAAAGAAAAGATAGCTTGGTGTGAATTAGTAGACGTGGATTACTACACCAGGACTCGGGATTACACTAATATCAATGTAACTGGTGGTAACACTGTAAGTAAAAACTGTGGTCTCTCTTGTGTGATAGTTGTGAATGTTTGTGTAGATATTCATTACTAAGTTCATTTTTCAGGCTTACGAATTAAAGGCTCCTAAGAACCGTCTTAATAAGACAACAGCTCAAACACATGCATGTATTGTAACAACAAAGTGGGATGGATTTCTTCGTATCCGAAGAAGAAACGATGAAGTAATTGATGATGTTGAGCTGACACTCCCAGGTTACTCTTACCAATCACAGGTTTGTCTTTAACTTGCAACCTGATGCGCGCGGACACACACACACACACTCTTTCTGTTTCCACTGTGATTTTAATTATGGTTTATGGATAATATAGGCTGTTTGGATTCAAGTTCCTGTGTTAGTAAAATCAGAAGTGGAGGAGGAAAAGTTGTCATTCGGTGCTGGTTTACACGCCGCTTGTCACGCTCTTCTCCACGTTGTTCCACTATTTGTGCGCTGCAACTATTCAGACTTAGCTCCAGAATGTCCAAATACGAAAGAGCAGTATTTCCCAACAAGAATCTTACTATATGATCGTCATCCCGGAGGAACTGGCATCTCCGCCAAGGTAAAATACGAAACGAAATTGTGAAAGTAAATCTCAAAGATAAATATTTGTTGAATTTGGTTGGATAAATAAATCGTGAACATTTTGGGCTCTGCATGCAGATCCGTCCACTATTCACAGAGCTTCTAGAAGCTGCTCTTGATCTCTTAAAGTCTTGCCGCTGCTCAGCTGAAACCGGTTGCCCCAGTTGCGTTCAGAATTTTGGTTGCCAAGGGTACAATGAGCTCATACATAAGGAAGCAGCCATCATGATCATACAGGTAAAATAAACACTACTTGGTTTCCCAGCAAGAATCTTTACGATAGTTTCACATAAAAAGCCTGATCATTAGTATCTCTAATAATATGTATTGCGTTTAGGGCGTTTTGGAGTCGGAGAAATTATATTTCGAAGACCAAGATGATTGATTCATCATGATTCATGAGACGACGTCTCAACAAGGCTCTTGTTCGGATTGGAGTTTACACGTTACAGTAGCTGATTTTTTTAAATTAAATTCATTAAAAATAGATTTGATAGGCAAACAAACTACTAAACAACACGAGAAAAAAACTTGCGTGATTCTTTTCTCTTTTGTTCATAGTATATAATACAACAAGTCTAATTCTTTTTAATTAAATAAAAAAGAAAAAGCTTTTTCCCACAGAGCATTATTTTATATGAAAGAATCTCTACTGGGATCTTCTGATGTCTGAAAGAAGGCGTTAAAAGCAAGTTTGGGAAAGTGAGCCAACGTGTTTTTTTAAGTTATCCGGCGGGCGATGGTGGGGTGGGCTATAGCGCTACACGGCGGCGCTGGAGACATCCCGATCGATCTCCCCGACGAGCGACGTATTCCTCGTGAGACCGCCCTTCGTCACTGCCTCGATCTTGGCGTCTCCGCCCTCAAATCCGGCAAGCCTCCCTTGGACGTTGCCGAACTCGTCGTATGCCTCTCTTTGATCCCTTGTGTTTACTTTGTTGAATTCAGGCACTTAAATATTAACTAATTTTAGAATTATAAAAGCTCACTCTAGACTCTCTAGTAGTAATCATCTGAAAGTCAACTAGTCCCAAAATTAATACGATCGCCATTTCTGGAATTACCTATTTTTTACTTATGCGTTTGAGAATCGTCGTCATTCTATGAATGATCTGATCGTCACTACTTCCTTCTCAAAAGGAGTCTTACTTATACACGTCTCTTGGTTAATTTACTCTGAAAATGTCAAGGTTCGTGAACTTGAGAACCACCCGGACTTCAATGCCGGTAAAGGATCTGTCTTAACTACACAAGGCACTGTTGAAATGGAAGCTTCCATAATGGAAGGTAATACCAAAAGATGTGGAGCTGTCTCCGGCTTGACCACTGTTGTTAATCCCATCTCTTTAGCTCGACTCGTCATGGAGAAAACTCCTCATATATATCTTGCATTTGATGCTGCTGAAGCTTTCGCAAGAGCACATGTCAGTCACTGTGACCCTGATTTTCTACTCTACCTTTTTGGTCCTTACTCCACTCTAAAGCTTTCTCTGGATTTTATTTTTTCTAGGGCGTTGAGACGGTCGATCCTAGCCATTTCATAACTCCTGAAAACATTGCAAGGCTAAAGCAGGCCAAAGAATTCAATCGAGTCCAGGTTACTATGTTTATCCTCCAAGTTTTGAGGCTTGTGTTCATGTAATGAGATATAGTCTGTTGCCTCATCAAAAATTACCCTTTTCGAGTACTTCTTAAAGATTCTTTTAATTCCTTCCAAACAGTTGGATTATACAGCCCCTACTCCTCCGAAAGAACTTGAAAATTCTGGTGACAGCCAAATAGGAACAGTTGGATGTGTAGCCGTAGACAGCGCCGGAAATCTAGCTTCGGCCACATCAACGGGCGGTTATGTCAACAAGATGGTTGGCAGAATTGGGGATACGCCAGTCATTGGCGCAGGAACTTATGCTAACCACCTGTGTGCAGTCTCAGCCACAGGTAAAGGAGAAGAGATCATCCGTGGAACCGTGGCTAGAGACGTGGCTGCACTCATGGAGTATAAAGGCTTGTCTTTGACCGAGGCAGCGGCTTATGTTGTTCACCAATCCGTTCCTAGAGGAAGCTGTGGACTCGTTGCTGTGTCTGCCAAAGGTGAAGTCACAATGCCGTTCAACACCACCGGAATGTTCAGGGCTTGTGCCACTGAAGATGGTCACTCTGAGATCGCAATCTGGCCAAACAATTAAAATCACGAATGGATTTGTCTACCAACTCTGTTTCATTTTCGTCTTCAGTATCAGTTTATAGCTTTCATATGCCTAGTCTTCCAGTATTGTGCTTCACTGCTTCTTATTAGTTCTTTGGAATTGGTTTTTTATTTTCAGTCTAAATTTAAATGGAAAAGAAATAAATTAATGGTTCTATTTGGGCTTTCATTTTCTTCGGGCCCGTGGACTATAATTTGGCCCCTTATCCAAGAAGTAGCGTGTAAACAACGCTCAATACACGTCATAATACATACGTGTCTAGTTCTGGTTGGCTTTGACTTCACCGCCTTAACCTCCTCGTGGCCGAGTCGTCCTTATCCTTTTTCATATAAACTATTTAACACCCGACAACCTCTTCGTCTCTTTCACAATTCAGCTTGCAATTTCTAAAATCCAATAATAGTCTCTCTCTCAAATCTCTCAATCGTGATCAAGGTAAAATTTCTTATCTCTAATACGATTGCTTGCTTATGCCGATCGCAATTGAGTCTCTGCTTTTTGAATTTTGAGATTCTGTTAATTTTTTTTGTTAGCCAAATATTTGAGTTTCACCGATAGATCTCGATTAGGGTTTACTTCTTTTTGAATTTGATTTCGATTTTCTCAAACAAAGTTGAGTTTTGTATCGATTAATAACGTCTTGATTACGCTTTGATCCGTGATCTCTATCCAGATCTGGTTTTTCATTTATTTTTTCTTATCGTATCTGATTCCTGTGTGGATTCGATCTGGTGTCTAATCTCGTTTTCTGAATTACAGATGCAGATCTTTGTTAAGACTCTCACCGGGAAGACTATCACCCTCGAGGTGGAAAGCTCTGACACAATCGACAACGTTAAGGCCAAGATCCAGGACAAGGAAGGTATCCCTCCGGATCAGCAAAGGCTTATCTTTGCCGGAAAGCAGCTCGAAGATGGCCGTACCTTGGCTGACTACAACATTCAGAAGGAATCCACCCTCCACTTGGTCCTCAGGCTTCGTGGTGGTATGCAAATCTTCGTCAAGACGCTGACCGGAAAGACTATCACTTTGGAGGTGGAGAGTTCTGACACCATCGACAACGTTAAGGCCAAGATCCAGGATAAGGAGGGAATCCCCCCGGACCAGCAGAGGCTGATCTTCGCCGGAAAGCAACTCGAGGACGGCAGGACTTTGGCTGACTACAACATCCAGAAGGAGTCGACCCTTCATCTTGTTCTCAGGCTCCGTGGTGGTATGCAGATCTTCGTCAAAACCCTTACTGGAAAGACTATTACTTTGGAGGTGGAGAGCTCTGACACCATCGACAATGTCAAAGCTAAAATTCAAGATAAGGAGGGAATCCCACCAGACCAGCAGAGATTGATCTTCGCTGGAAAGCAACTTGAAGACGGCAGGACTTTGGCTGACTATAACATCCAGAAGGAGTCTACACTTCATCTTGTTCTCAGGCTCCGTGGAGGTATGCAGATTTTTGTCAAGACTCTCACCGGCAAGACAATAACCTTGGAGGTTGAGAGCTCAGACACCATTGATAACGTGAAGGCCAAGATCCAGGACAAGGAAGGAATCCCTCCGGACCAGCAGAGGCTCATCTTCGCTGGCAAACAGCTTGAGGATGGTCGCACATTGGCTGACTACAACATCCAGAAGGAGTCGACCCTTCATCTTGTTCTCAGGCTCCGTGGTGGTATGCAGATTTTTGTGAAGACGTTGACCGGGAAGACCATCACCCTTGAGGTTGAGAGCTCCGACACCATTGACAACGTGAAGGCCAAGATCCAGGATAAGGAAGGCATCCCTCCGGACCAGCAGCGTCTCATCTTCGCTGGAAAGCAGCTTGAGGACGGTCGCACACTGGCAGACTACAACATTCAGAAGGAATCGACCCTTCACTTGGTCCTCCGTCTCCGTGGTGGTTTTTAAACTCTGTTATGGTTTCTTTTACAACTTGTGCTTTGGGGCTTTGTAAAGCCCTCAACTAAATAATTTGATGAACTATGTTATCTCTCTCCTTTGTTTCTAAAGACAAATCGAATTATTGGAATTATATCCTTATTTCTCTTTATCACTCGTGTGCCTATGCTTTATATAATTTATACGTGCTTTGTTTGTTTTTGATAAGCTTGAAAAGTGGCTTCTACTCTTAAGGATGGTTACGTGTTAATGAGTTGGGTAAAAACTTTTGGGTTTTTCACATTGATTGTTGCTTATTAGGTGAAACGTTTGCGGTTGATAAAAATACCCTGCGGTTTAGAAGCTACATAAGCAATTTCCTCTCAGACAGTACATGAGATGTTTGAGAGAACACGGCAAATATGTTTAAATCGACAGTCGATAAGCTATTTCTAGCTGTGAAGGAATGACTGAAATTTTAGATGATGAGCACAAGCCTTTATAAATATGAAAGGGGGGATGTTCTCCACAATCATGTCTGTTTGGTAAAACTTAAAAGTACAAAGAATAACACTTAAGTAATTGATCGAACCTCCTGAATTACTTTCCCATCAACTATGTGTTCGTAGCATTTTCCAAATCTGCATTTTCCCAAGCAATTCCAGGATCCCCAAAAGCCATCACTTATGTTAATAAATGTTGAATATCAATCAATCTCAGCTTCTTTCGTTTTGTCATCCGCAGAAATCGTTACAGTTGCTGCAATCACAAAGAAACTGAGAATAACCCCGGAACATTTATATTAGCTTTACCAATGACCATGAACAGTTGCTTTTACCAAATTTCACTGGCTTCTTGTTTCCTTACCAGTTTCAGATTACTCACAAGTCACAACAGTCAACAGCCAACAGCGGTCTGAAGTTAATCAATTGTCTGTCTACAAAACACATATCCTTTGAGCCAAAACTAATATGAAAGATGAAAATATTTTATACTGTATATGCTTTTTTCTATTTTCTCTGCCATATAAATGCAAACACACAACATAACAACTGAAATTATCAATTAAAAATTCCTTTAAATCCACGTGAAATTGGGGTGCACAATGAAAAGAGAAAATTGGTTTGTTTCCAGTTAAAAGAATATAGAATTTTGTTGTTTCTTGGTAAAAAACACACACACATCATAAACAAAACACTCCCTCACTCAAAGCCGTGCATAAGGTTTTTTCTTTTTTTTGTACATTCTCTGATTTCCTCAAGCACTCTTGTTTTTCCAAGGTTTGAGAACACCAACAACAATGACTGCAACCACAATAAGGAGGATAATAATTGCAATGCACATCCATTTCCTTGAGTTCTTCTGTAAGCTTTTTGCTCTTTGAAGAGCCGTGTTTCCTGATTGCACGTGATCTACTGCACTTGACACCTATATTTGCCAAAAAGTACTCAAAATCATTGTTTACTATTGCAATGCCTCTAAAGGTCAATTATTCATTGTAATTTTGAACCCTTCTAATTTCATATCAACACTCCTAAATACCAAATTACCTGAGATTCTATGTTGTCAAGCATTTCTCCTTGTGCGTCTACCAAAACTGCCATATCCAAGAAAATCTGCAGAAAAGGGGGGAACCTGTTAGTCAGTCTTTACGCGAATGACCTCATACAATGAGTTGAGTTCTCAGCCAAACAAAAAATCCAACATACTTGTTGTAAGTCAAGAAGTTTCTTTTCTAAGTCTCTGACAGCATCATGACGTTCTTGGATTTCCGCCAAGGTATCCATTACCTGGGAGGGAACATTTAACATAATTCAAGATTAAATGTTGGATTATTTCAATAGACTTGACACCTAATAAAATGTCCAAAGCATTTCTCCTTAATTAAAAGGAAAAACTCGAACCTGTCCTCTTCCTTGCTCCTGAATCGCTTTTTGGAAGATCTGTTCGCTGTTTCCAGTTTCAATTAATTCATCAATAGTCTGAAAAAAACAAGAAACGATAAGGCATGAGTTTTATTCAAACTTCTGAGACCATAATACCAGAATTTACTTTACTTACATCTTCATCCGCCCGCTGACCAGTTACTAACTCAAGGAAAACACAAATTAATAAGTGAGAAGAAAACGTAGAAAAGAATAATTAAAGCAATCACATAACATCGACGTACATACCTGTATAAATTCGCCTATCAACAACATCGCGATACTCTTGTTGAATGTTCGCTCGTAGAACCTAAAACAACTTGCAATCTTAGTCTAAAGTAACAGTTTCCATATAATTTTTGAAAAGATATATTTTTCTTCCTACCTGAAACTCAGCCATCTTGTCTTTCAACTTCTTCTTTAAGGAACTGTAGCACATAATGAAAGCTCATAAAGGTCATAATACACATTATATTTACAGCATCTGTTTGCCCGGTTCTACACTATTTCATTTGAATAACAGCTGAAACTTATCCTATAAACAAGGGGGTCAGAATAAAAATCTATTGAAAGGGAAGAAAGCTCACAGTGTCGTTGCTGTTCTTGATCGATCTACACCAGATCCTTTTCCACATCCAGGTTTTTGTCTATTTGCCAAGTTCTACAACATTTAAATAAGTATCAATACAAGTTCAGCAATTCAAAAAGTAGAAGATAAAGAGCCAGCGACCCTACCTCTCTGTCCAACTCCTCGAGTTTCCCCTTTATAAAACGGGCAATACTTCCAACTTCATCAACATCCTTTTCCATCTTCTTCTTTATTGCTGTGCATTACATAAGGAGCAACACACCAAAACAAAATTATAAGTTTGTGTATGGTAAACCATAAACACTAACCCAAACGCTAAAGTTTCAGGCACATGACTACCAAGACTGTAGCTGCTTGAAATTAATCTCAGTTAGGTTCCACCCGTTTCCGACTACGAATTATTCGTCTTTCGAGACATATAAATAGTCTAACTCGAATGTTCGGACATGTATGTTTAGTATTGGTGCTTGTTTCTAAGTTCTAGTGGAACACATGCCAAAGCTAAAGTCCATTATGTTCAAAAATTTAAATCTGCTAGTGCAACAACCCTATACAATTTCCAATCTCCCGAACAATGGCATGACTAAAAGATGTACAAAGTAAACAAATTTACCCTTCATGGCAGGAGCCTTGGTCACAGCCTTTGACTCCTCATGGGCTGCCTATAGGGTTTAGCGAAAGCAACCTCGTCAGTAAAGTTGAACAGTCAAAACGGAAACAAATGACTTTGCATAAAAGTAACACAGAGCAAGTAAGAAACCACAGAATCAAATTAGTTTTGAAAGAAAGCCAACAATTATTGTAGACCAACTGCAATGAAAATCTCTCACTCTTATTTTGATAAGCTGTACACATTCATACTATATATACCATCACATTTTTATGAGGATAAAAGCAGACAGAAAATAGAAAGGTAAGGAAGTCATTGGTTTGTACCTGAAGTTTCTTTAGAAGCTTGTCTAGCTTTTCATACTGTTTCTCAATCTCTTGAACCTAAGAAAACAAAGAGAAAACATTTAGGTAGAGCAAAGTTGGTAGGGTAATATAGCCCTCACATATATAAAGAATTACCTTTTTGAAGAAATCTTCTAATCCTTGATCTCCACCTTGTTGTTCTCCTAGTTCAACATCCGCTTCTCTAGAAGATTGGCCTCGGGGAAGCTCAAACGAACCCTATAAACAAAAAGAAGCCATTAAAATTGAAGAAAATTTTAACAAATTACAAGTCCCTGCTCCTTTGAAAGTTCAGAATTTAGAGATAAAAGAGTTTCTCTAATTGAAACTAAACCAATTCAGCATTCAAATTCATGCTCAAAGTGAATGTATACGATGGTCAAACTCAAACAATACGAATTTCAATAGAAGTCGGTATTCATAATTTATCACAACAGCAATGTAAGATGAAAACCTCAAGAACAACAAACAAACAGATAAACATAAAAAAAATAAAAATAAGAAGTCCCAATTTTGGAAAGCAATCCACATTATATGATCAACCCTAAATTTAATACAAGGAGCAAAAGCAAACAAAATCATGCAATATAACTCTCACCTTAAGAAGATCGTTCATCGTTACGGAGACGAGAGACTGAGTTTTGGTTTCGATTAACACACCAAGAACTAAAAAGAACCACGACTTTGGGATGGTGAGAAGGCGAGAAGGAGACGTGGGATTGTTTGTTTCTAAGAGAAGAAGGCGAGCCGGGATAAGTGTCGATCTTCAAAGAATTGAGTGAAGGCAAGATCAAGAGACGAAGTTGAGGAGAAACGGATCTGTGGCTCAAGCACGAGAGCATAAGAGAGGAGAGAAGAAGAGTTGTATGTAAGTAAATCTAGGGATTTTAATTTGTCCAAACCGATCGGTTTATTGTTTGAAATCTAACTAAACCGCAAATCGAATACAATTTGTAGACAGTTAATACCTATAAACCGACCGGTTCGGTTTGGTAACGTTAAAAAAAAAAAAAAGAGAATTTTTTCCGACATGCCGTCCTTGTCCAGCTAAAGACAACTCTCCTTTCGGTGCCCGGAAAAAAAAAAAAGTATTAAAAGAAAGGGTAATTGTATCATGTGTGACGCATGTGCACTGACGCCAATACACCTAAGGAATGTGAGCAGTCGATTCGGTATCTCTAGTGTGGATCTTATTTGAATCAACGGCGGATATTCTCGAAAATGTTTTTAATAAATAAATTAATGTGTAAGGGAGTGTAAGCAATAGAATGGGGGTGTAGCTCATATGGTAGAGCGCTCGCTTCGCATGCGAGAGGCACGGGGTTCGATTCCCCGCACCTCCATTTTTTTTTTTTAATCAATTAGTTGCTGACCAATTATGTGTAAAGGTTACATGTCTATGCTAATTAAATTTTTATGCGATCTCTTACCAAAACGGTACACCATAGAATGAAAATAATTAATAACTGGATACATTATGTATTTATTTTCTTGCTTTTTGGTTTTATTAAGATGAAAACTCAGTGATAAGTTTCTACGTATAGCTTTAGTCATTATAATAACAATATTAATTTACTTATTTAATAGTTATTTTGGAAAAACAAAATCAGGTGTGAGCTAGGTGTTAAAACCAAAAACAAGAGTATATCTTGACCATTTTTACTAGTATTAGAAATTGTATAGAGGATGTCGAAGTTTTCTCAATAACTTATGGATGATATAAACACAGAAACTTCTTTTAACATCATATCATGGAACCATTTCATAGAACGTAATTAACATTAATATCTTCTTATAACGCATAGTAACAGATATCTTTCGGTAGACTATTGTTCCCTATAAATTAAGGTAAAAATGGATGTGACTGAAGCAATTCATTCTCAATGTCTAAATATGTATAACTTGACGACAGAAAAAAAAAATGTATAACTTATTTTTAATCTACGAAAAATTAACAGGGGAAAATTCGAAAGTTTGAATGAATGAATATGAGTTTTATATTTTATATATGAAAATGATATATAACAACTGGTTTGGTTGATATTTTCCGAATTTGATATGAATAGCAACAAGGAAGCTAGAGAGGATATAGGTTGGAAAGGAAATCAAAAAGGGAGAAACAAAAGAAAAGAAAGAAGTTGCATGCCTAAGCTAATTGTAAGTGAGTGAATGTGAAAATGAAACAACGTGTGACTACTTTTTGTGTCTACATATAATAATAATTTTGCTTGCTCCTCCCGCAAATTTAAGGCATGCCAGTGAGGAAAGCTAATTTTGTAGTCACATCACATGGACCATTTATATAATTTGATAATACAGTACATATTATCTTACTATTCAAAGATTCTACAAGAATAAGGTATCGGAGTCTCTCAAGCATGCGCGAGAAAACAATCCAAGGCATTAATTCATTTATAAAACTAATACACACATTTGTGGTTCGTCACTGATCATGAGTCTTAAAACCGTTTAACAATGGAAACCGAAAGAGTCAACAATACGCAGTTCTATTGAAATCATGAACTGTCTACGAATTATTGGCATACGGCGTACAGTGCATATTATACAGCAGAAGAAGTTAATTAATTGTAGCCAACTAGCTATAGTAGCAATCATGCATCTTAATCGTTGTCGGTTGAAATTTTTAAAACGCAAAGAGAAGAATCCAAAGGAAAAGTTTAGTGTATATTTTATTCATATATACCATATATGGTTTTTAGGCGTGAGAGATTGAGAGAGAAATTATAATGGAAAAACAAGAATAAAACGAGGAGACAAAAGAGAGAAAAGAAGTAAGAGTTAAAAGAAGATATATAGGGATCAGAGCTTGACTTGACTGCCAAACTCAGTTGCTGTCTTCACTGCCTCATATTCTTCTCATTTTCCTTCTCTCTCATTCTCCAATCCCAAGACTTACAAGTTACACAACCAAATAAAATCATAATATACTCCACTTGTACAATGTATGTATATATATCACTTTAGACTAACCCAACAGGTTAAAATCCTACACCAAATCATTGTGAAGATAGAACATTTTCATCGTCGTAAATACTTGGAAGAGATTGCGACATTTATATATATGGTTTCGAATTAACTTGAAGTAAAAATAAAATAAAAAATGAAAAAACAACAACAAGATTTTAAACTGGTTTGATTGGATTCTATTTATAATATGCTAGCTAGCTAAGCCCTACTGTAGGATGTATTATGTCTCATATTATGTATATACACATGCATGTTGTGATGATGTTGTGATGAACAAGCTAGGCCGTTTGGCATGGAATGCAGCGAAGCCAGTTTTTCATAGGCAGTACAAACATTAATCTAAATTCTATACATTCTCGTAACACGAAATATTATCTCTCACAAGAAGCTTTTGATATAATATTCTAAATATTACAAAAATTACGAAATTTATTATACTGATAGATATCCCACCAACTCTATATATCGTATCATGAATACGTGTATCTATTACACGCATATATTAATATGATGACTACTCAATCCAACAATAACCCATTAAACCATATAAATGTATCTATGTATATGTAGTAATAAATACCATCCATGACTAACAAAAATCATCAACTTATGAAAGAGTACTCTGGAGACCAGAGCTGTAATATTACTCCACATGATCCCTTTGGTTGGACGAGTTCGAGTTTTCGTTAAAGAGCTGAAGCTGATGACCACCACCGAGAAACGAAGGATACCTTGGAAATAGAGAATTCATAGTTTCCGCAAGAGGCGGATTGAGATTACTGTTAGTGGAAAACGCCACAGTAACATTACCAGATTGGTCCAACAGTGACTGTTGGAGATGTCCAATGTTGTAGTGATAAGAGCTGCTAGCCGAAGTAGTAGTACTAGTAGGGAAATAAAGCTTGTTGCTTTGGATTGAATTCGAGAAATGATGATGATCGATGTCGAACCCGTGATCAAGACTAGTGTTATGATCGAATCTAGCCCATTTTCTTTGGTCAAGATCCATGTTGTCTCTGTTGGAGCAGCTTCCAAGATCGAAGACCCCAGGGAAAGATTCTCCCATTTGACTGAGATTAGGGTTAACTTGATGAAACGACCCAGGTGGGAACTGCAAAGGAGGAAGCAATTCGACGTCGTTTTTGGCTGCTTCTAAAAGCCAATCAATGACTTTGCTAGGCTGACTCAGCCCTAGTCGTTCTTGAAGGTCGTAGACCTGAATTGCTGTCATCACCGACAACCTTATCCTCCTGTCTCGGAGACCACGAACTGTAAACACTTTACTATGTCTGTCTTTGCCTCCGAATGTTTTCGAAACTCGTACGATCCTCGGATTGTTCCATCGTTGCCTCAACAAGGACAAAGAACTCGGTTGGTTATGATCATCAGCAACTTCTTGTTTAAATCTGATGTCCTCTATCGAAGAGTTCAATCCCATCTCCATTGATTAATTGTATAATATTTTATCCACCTGAATACAAAACAAAAATAAAAACAGAATAAAAATAATTAGTATAATCACAGATTGTGGTAATTTGTAGGTTTTAGGAAGAATGATCATCACATGAAATGAACAGCATCTTCAAACCTACAAACATTTCGATATTTTTAAGATGGTCAAGAGAAAAGTATGGAAGAAAAACAAATGCTATTGGCTGATTATTACTAAGATTGGACATAAACTATTTTCCTAATTAGATTATGTTGCTACTTACAATAAATAGAATTGAGGTGGTTGAAATCGAAATAGACAATTGAAATAATCGGAAAAGCTGAGGAATCCAAAGAGGAAACCAAGGTTACAAAATAAATTACTCCAAGAACCAAAAACTAGATGATGCATCTTACACAGAAAAAGACCGAGCAATAAGCTTGATGAAGTCGTTGGGTTTAGACAGATCGAGTTAGTCGTCTTCGTGCTAGCTAGGTTGAAGACAAGGTGATAATTAAGAAGCTATAGATGATGATGAACACTTGTAATTTGGTTTCTCTCCTCATCTATCAAACTAAATCAAAGAACAAGAAATTATACCCCCTACATATATATATATATATACTCCAATCCCTAGGGTTTTAGTTGGGTATGAAAGGAATTTATACGACGTATAAAACCAAAAAAGGAGCATTTTATGTAGTGTGTAGGTACTATAGACAATTAGACACTCTTATGTCCACTTTTTTTTTTTGAAAATTCACAGAAAGAAAGACGATGCTATGGGTTCACTCACCTATTTATGAATATTAAATTAAAATATACATATATACTATATAAATCAAATTTTTTGTATGTACATAATTAAATCTAATATTTTTTTTTCTTTACGTCACTTTTATTGAGACCGCAAGTTCGTATTTCTTCTGTCTTGATGATGCAGTTAACGATCATTCTTTTTTATACATATTTGACTCCGTTCAATAGCAAATACTAATTGCATTTTCATTACACAGTAGTATCTTATATATATCATTCGTAGATTGACGACAAAAAAAAAAAAATATATATATCATTCGTAGTAAATCACTAAGAACCAACTCAATCATCAGGAACAAAGGAATTGATCAAGTCAATTAATATATATATATATGTAAAGCAGTAAATGCTGAGATCCAAAACTAGTCAAAATTAGGGTTTTGCCTTTTGATTATATTCCTTAGATGATCCCAATTAAGTTCTACACGGATAGATATTGTTAGGCATTTAGATTGACAGCTAGAATGGTCGATCGGTCTTCGATGGAGCCATGGAGGATGGACCAAAAGGTTCAAGCGTACACGTTTTTTATTATTATAAAAAAAACATTTTAGATTATATAATTTATGCTTAATTAAATACAGATTCACGGACCACTATGTGCATGGCAGCGATATCTTAATTTAGTTTTTTTTTTTTGTTGGTGCAGTAATGTATAAGATATTCAACATTATTAGTCTTTAGGTCTATGATCACAATATCCACATTTCACAGCAGAAAGATAAATTATTCATATATATACACAGGCGCGTATACTTTTCAGCACAATGTCTCAAGAAAGTGATTTTTTTGTAAAAGTTATTTTAAGCAACAAAATTAATTAATTAGGGTTCCGTGTGCGAATGTAAGTTTCAGGCGAAATGTTTTCTAATATGTACTATATAATATGCTTTGCTAGTTAAATTTCAACGTACGTATAGCTAATTACAACTGTTTTGCCTATTTCGGACCACAATTTATGAATTTATCATTATTAGCTGCATATGAACAGATCTCTGCGTATGTGTATCATGAGTCTGCGAAGTTTGTCTGGTCGGGACCTAGCTAAGATCAGTTGAATTAAGTTGTTGTTGTCGATGATGATGATGATGAAAGATGATGGGACGACTTCAGTTTCTGTTTCGGAATTTATTTAACTTTGAGTCCGTTGGATTATGTGATATATAAGAAAAATACAGTTTTGGACCTCTATTCCTAGCTAGAAATTTGGTAATTATTTCATACTACTAGCGTTAGATAGAACACGCAATAGTGGTTGCGTCGAAGATATAGTGAACCATTTATTCAGTTAAAATAATTGAACTGGATTTTAAGGAAACCGATTTGAGCTGAATCGAATGGATTTACGAACTGGTTTAAAGTAAACCGTTTCTTTTACGATTTTTCATAGGCGGACACCGTCAAAGAAACTTCTTAGAGTTACGTCACGCCGATGAGTCCCATTTAGACCAAAAGTTGGAATACGTGCAACATGATGAACGTATGCATGTCACATACACAGACATTTTTGGACCCAAATTGCTTAACACGGTACTCTTTTTTATTTTGTTCCTGAGCCGTCGTTCTCTGTCTGTACGGCAGTAAATGCAAAAGGCTCATGCCGAGAGAGTGACATGTCCTTGCAATAGACAAAAGCAAAAGAGGTAAAGGAACAGTAGTTTGGGGTAAGATTCATAAAAACACAACATGCATTGATGGAGATTGCCAGTTTGGTAGTATAATGGCTTTTCGCAGTTTTCTGCTGCTTCTTCTTCTTCTTCTTCTCTTAGTCACTGCTGCAAGAAATATTAAAGGGTCCCCGAAAGCACAGAGACTACTAACTCTCTGTGTTACATTTATAACCATTTCCAAATCACTTAAACTTGAAACAATCACGGGTTCATCATAAACATAGGGAATACGACTGAACAACAATCTTGTTCTTGTGAAGGCAAATGAAGTGTTTTGTAGTTTATAAAGCTACTAGAAATTTTATTAGATAAGGCAAACAAGGGAGAGGTTTTTTTTATCGGAAGTAACGAAATATCACACGCAGTCTTTCGCCTATCACGAGATTACAAGAGAAAGACGAGATGAAAGAAACCCTGCAAAAAAGAAAACATATTCAGTCAGGATATATATGGGAAACTCAAATGATAGTTTTAAGAGACAGAATATTGTTCTGCTTTTACACAATAAAGTGAATACAACATGAATCATCTGAAGTACTAAACTGTCGCAGCAAGTATTAAAGTGTAGGCTGAAGCACAAAAGGAGACATTATCTTAGCTGCTTAGGTCTTAGCTGCTAGCTGATTCAGTACGTTATGACTGCCTAATTTCCCATTTCTTCATACTACTACACAAATATTTCAGCATTATTACAACTATGAGCATTACAAAGTTCATCTAATCAAAGACCTCCACAACCCAATGCTAACTCTAAATCTATTGCAGCAAATTGTGCAGGACCTAACTGGAGAACACAAAAATCTTCCTTACACAAATAATGTCCCAAAGGAAATCCACTAGTCCATTAGCATATGACCACAATTTTCACTCAGCGGCACCCTACTCGAAAAGTCATTCAGTCACTTGATAAAGCAGTGTACATCAAAGCAGAAGCCAATACTGCAATTAACCATATAAGAAAGACTTAACCATATAATTTCAAGTATTAGTTTAAAGACTTACACGGGTAAGCAATCACAACATCACACTAAAGCCTAATAGTATTTTTTTTTTTTTGCAGGAAACAAGATTCAAGAAACTTAAACTGCAACAAAGCTAGAATCAAAAATTCCTAAACTAATTGTTATCTTAGTAGCCTTGAAATTAGATACAAACTCTAAAGCTAAAGTCGAAATTCCAATGCCATTAACAAGAAACTAGATCAATTACACACACCACAAGGTCCAAAGTCCAAACCTATACCACGAAACTTCATAAAATTTTAATGAAATGAATCCGAACAACATAAACCTCACATTTGATAATTCTCATGCGGCCAATCACCTGTTTATTTGACGTAGCCTCCGCCACGCGTGTCCAAATCCTCTTCGACTGTGGTAGTCAGGTAAACGTTAGGGAAGTCCGAGACGTCGAACGTCTTCTTCTCATTCATCATCTGAACAACGTTGTCCTTCTTCAATAGGTAGCGCCGGATCGGTGGGCGGTTTCGGCGCTGATCTCGGCCGTGGTATACGATGTTGTACACGGTCTCGGGATCCGAGGTGGGCACGATCGCCTCTCCATCAGTCGTTGCGGGGCATCGGAGACGATACTCCGTCGCCTTGGGCACAGCTTCGAGATATTCCGGGTGAGCGCAAGGTCCAGTGATCTGCCATGGCTTCTTAATGTATCGCCTAAGGTTTTGCACAAGCGAGGAAGCCGCCGTCGCCGCTGATTTCGCCATGGATGAGAGAGCTTCGCTTCTTGGAGAAAGGCAGATTTGGGCAAACGAGATGAAAACACAAAAAAAAAAAAAAGACTCTGAAATCGAAGAATTATTAAACCGGTCTCAGATTTTACATCTAACCGAGATTTAACCACTAAGTCAGTTAACCGAGATTTAACCTCCCACTCTCCCAGTACTGGTTTGGTTCGTCAATCATTTTAATATTTTGTCACGATGTTTGTTTGTTTATTAAGTAGTAGGCACAAACCAAGAACTGAATCCCATGTATGTAGATGTTGTTGCCAGTTAAATGTAATGGGTTGTTCTTTTCTCTGTTTTGTTTTCACATCTTATTGGCTGATCAGGGTGCAAATCTACAGCTGCTCTGTTTTCACATATGGCATAACCCATCCGTAAAACATGTTCATAGATTAGCAAAGTTAAAAAAACAAACATATTGCTAGCTTTCAGTCAAACAAAAGGTGACAAAAGCCTTTGAACATATATACATACTCTTAACAAATGGTTATGTTGATGGTAGGTAGGTGTTACAGATATAAACTACTTATGTCCGTGCAATCAGATTCTTCCATCAATCTACTTAAAGTTGTTGAAATTCAAAACGTTTATCTTTGGTTCTATATATGAAACCATTTACATAGCAAATACAGAAATGAGTTGAAAATATTAAGATCAAATACATGAGAATCCCATCATAAAGTTTTCCATCTTAATTGCAGAAAAAGCCTCATTTAAGTACCAAAAAAAAAACTGACGGGTTAATCACAACCAAAGAACCAAGGCTAATCAGATTTCTGCAAATTAGAGACAAAACCCGAAGCAGCGAAAGCAGCAGAGCCACCAAGAACAGAGAGCAGGGCAACAAGAACCTGAACCACCACTTCCCATGTGTAATCTTCAGGGACCAAGTAGGCACAAACGGGTCCGAGAAGGAGCAAACCGAGGCTCAAAGTGAATAGCGTCCCAGGCGTTTCAGGGTTAGTGGCGGCAGACAAAACGCCGAATTCCTCAGCTTTGGTTAGCAAACCAAGACGCTCGATGGTCGATAGAGAGAAACCTGATTTCTCTGCTAAAGACAAAAGTCCAGCTTTCTCGGCTTTGGTCAGAAGCTTAAGCTGCTCAACTCTTGTCAGTAGTTTCACCTGCGGAGTCGCTGTACTCTAGTCACACCCACCAAAAAAACACAAAACTCAATTAGAATTGGGAAAGATATATGATATAAAAAGAGGGATCAAATCAATTTCTGAATTGTGTGTAACGTTTACCTTCTTTGAGGATATGGTTCTTGTTACAGACGGTGAAGGCTTCTTGCTCGCCATTGAATGCACTGTGAAAGACGAACATATTATTTTCGCCGCCATTTTCTATAACTCTCTCTCTCTCTCTCTCTTTCTGTGTCACTTACTCTGGTTTTGTCGAAGCTTTTTCTTCAGTGGAGGAAGAACCACCAAGAGACCTTGTAGATCAGACGAGTTTTGAGATTGGTAAGATTGTGTTGTACACGTGTCCTTATATGCTTGGTTTAACTCTTCCCCGGTTGAAATCAATCCAAATCACACCCTTTTTAACCGGTTAGTATTAGTAGAGGTTAGTTTCGTAATTTACAGAGCCCTAAACCCTTGATAGATTAGTTATTGGAAGTGACCGACTAATAATTTAGTCCCGATCCCAAATCGACGTTTTTAAAAGCCCTAGCTTCTCTTGCTTGTCCTCCGAGACCAGACGATCGAAGTTTCGATTTTCTAGCAACAATGGCGAACAATGTTATCTCAATCGACAAGCTTAAAGCTTTCTGGCACTCTGAGGTTCACGACGAACAAAAATGGGCCGTTAACATGGTAAATCTTATCTTTACCTTTTCTCGTTTAGGTCTCTCTTTTGTTTGATTGATACTCGATTGAGCCATCCAAGTCGATTCTCTTGTATGTTTGTTTACTAGACTATGCGATTTTGATTGAAGAGTTGATCAGTTGAATGGTTGTTTAGGGTTTCCGAATTGATTCAGTTGAGCCTGAAATTTTGATGCTTTTGTATGTTCCGAATTAGCTGTGAGCTGATCTTATCTCTGTGTCTTTTATGAAACTTTTGTGTTTGGATCAGAATTTGGGGGTGTTAGGTCTTTAAGAGATTTATAAGTTCATGTTTGGATCAAAATCTGTGTCTTGGAGACAATTCTCATAGGATTATTTTTTTGTTTGGGTGCAGAAACTTGTCCGAGCACTTGGGATATTTGCAGGAGGAGTATTCCTCATGCGTAGCTATGGTGATCTCATGGCAGTTTGAGAAGAATGGAGGAGTCTCTCTTAGTTTACAATTTCTCAGCTCTTGTATTTCTCTATAATTTGGCCTTCTCGTTACTGATTTCATCAATGTGATAAGATTCAAGATTTTGGTCTTGTGTTTCAATGTCTGGGATTTTACAATATGCTAAAGTTCATTTACTGTACAACAACTTAGAATTGCTTATTATCATCGATAATTTCATTTAACCAGAGAGGTTTGACTAAGTAGTCTTGTCACGATCGACAAGCCATTGAATCCTAGCAGGTATATACGTAGTTAACAAAGGATAAAAATAAAAATAAGAACACACATACTGTCTTTGCAATTCAAATCTGCAACTAAATTGCATTGTTCTCTACTTACCTTTACTCTGCATCTTATATCATATATCACCTAGTTAAGTTTATCATATCTCTGTGAATAGAATATTCTTTCAAACAACGTAATGCTGCAAACGAAACAAGAGTTTATTATCTTCTAATTATTAGATATCTTAGTGGGATATTCTTATGCCGATTAGTTTGTTGCGATTTTTTTGGTCTATCTATATAATGTTGGATGCATACAGTTTGGTAGTTGGAGGAGTTGTCAGTTCAATTCAGTCATCAATTCAGTCATGGGCTTCAAGAGTAAGTGTATCTCCAATATGATAGAGAGATTAGAAAGCATAGTTCTTGGCGTTTTAGCTAAACTTGGATTGTTTCTATGTTTAAAGATTTCAAATTTTGATTCTTCGTTTAAGCAATTTTTGTTATACTTTTGCAGTTCTTCTACCATTGCTTTTACTGTCGTTGTTGGTTGCTGAGTGTACCTCAAGGCCATTGTATCGTCTCCCAAGTGAAGCAAAACATGCAACCAAGAAACCCCTTCAGACTTTTCGTCCATATAACCTTGCACACAGAGGATCAAACGGAGAGCTCCCTGAAGAAACTGCCCCTGCATATATGGTACTGGATCTATACAAAAGTTTCTACCTTTACACACTACTTTTGGCCCGGTTTCACAAGGTTGCTTTTTTTAATTGCAGAGAGCTATTGAGGAGGGTGCAGACTTCATAGAAACAGATATTTTATCTACAAAAGACGGTGTTCTGATATGTCATCACGATGTTAATCTCGATGATACAACCGATGTTGCAGACCATAAGGAGTTTGCAGACCGTAAAAGAACTTATGAAGTCCAAGGAATGAACATGACTGGCTTCTTCACTGGTAACTAAAAACACTACAGCAAAACTCCAATAACATTTATTTGGTTTAATACATTTCTTCAGGTTTATTTACATCAAATTTTAACGATGAGGCTGGAAATTTCCGATAACAGTTGATTTTACTCTCAAAGAACTGAAAACACTTGGGGCAAAGCAGAGATATCCTTTCAGGGATCAGCAGTACAATGGTAATATCTTTTCTGTTGTTTACACACTTTGAGATTTACTGTTGGACAATGAATTCTAAACGAGTTATTTGGTATGTCAGGTAAATTTCCAATTATTACCTTCGAGGAGTATATTTCGATAGCACTGGATGCACCTAGAGTTGTTGGGATATATCCAGAGATAAAAAAATCCGGTTTTCATGAATCAGCAAGTAAGCAAAACATAACGTTCGTCACTGATGATAACTATAGAGATTGCTATATGGTTGTTTGAAACTTCTGCAGGTGAAATGGGCGGATGGTAAAAAATATGAGGATAAATTTGTGGAAACTCTGGAGAAATATGGATACAAAGGCTCATATATGTCTGAAGATTGGTTAAAACAGCCAATATTTATTCAGTCTTTTGCAGCAACTTCGCTTGTGTACATTTCAAACATGACTGACTCACCAAAACTGTTCTTGATCGACGATGTCACTATCCTAACCGAAGACACCAATAAGGTCTTTTACATGCTTACATTCTTCCTCTCTAATTTTGTTTTTAAAGCAATCAAAATGGCTTATAGATATAAGATAAATGGATGTTAATGCAGACATATGATGAGATCACATCAGACGCATATTTAGATTACATTAAGCCATATGTAATTGGGATTGGTCCATGGAAAGACACAATTGTTCCTGCGAACAATAACCATCTCATGACACCAACAGATTTAGTTGCAAGAGCTCATTCGCGCAATCTTCAGGTTTGTGTGTAGGACTTAAACTTCTCTCTATACTCTCTACTCTAGCATAATCATTGATTTGTCGCACTGAACTTTACGTGAATAATGTTTTTGCTAGGTCCATCCATACACATACCGTAACGAGAACCAGTTTCTGCATTTAGAGTTCAATCAAGACCCATATCTGGAGTATGATTATTGGCTCAACAAGATCGGCGTTGATGGTTTGTTCACTGATTTCACCGGAAGTCTACACAATTACCAGGAATTGAGGTCTCCTTTGCCTCAGCAACAGTGACTCTCCAGTTGGAATTTGGTTATTTCTTTGCATTCTTAGTTTATTTTCTGTTAGGAAATTTTGTAGATACCTTGGAGCATTCCATTTTTCTTCAAATTTATAATAAATTGCTTCTACTTTTTCCAAATGGCTGTCTGAATTGATCGTCGGAACACTTGCAATGATTTTTAAGTCAATTCTCTAATGACATGAACTAATTTAACCGAGTGCAGACAAACTTACAAACTTTGGGACTCTTTAATTCAACAAAAGCCAGACAAACATATTAAACATTAGAATTACTGAGATGTCTTGTTCTTGGAAATGTCTTGAAGCAATAATCTTGTTTCAGCAGCAAAGTCAATCGGAGAAACACCTCTTACAGTTGTCCTCTGTCTCTTCTCACCGTTATACTCTTGCTGAGAAACACTGATCCTGAAGAGATGTGATGACCAAGTAGCTTCTTTCAGTTTTGTCTGAAACTCATTCACTTCACCTTCCTGGAGAAAGCCAAAATAATCGTATCATATATCAGAACCTGAAGAATTAGGAATGTGTTCTTAAAGGTTTTGAATGGTTTTAGATTTCTTACCTCTGATTTTAGTATATTGAGTTCATCGGCTGTGCAGCCAATAATCTTCTCTGCTTCATCATTGAATGCAGAAAACCAAGTTTCCCCCATTGAGTCAGAGACTTTCACCGCCATTATGTACCTGATCCAACAAAAAGTACACATGATTAAGGAGGAACACAATATAAAGAAGATCTAATGTTTGTTCTTGAATAGGATTTTTATGAATCTCACTGTCATCCTACCTTAAACTGCATTCTTGATCCTTTTTCTGACAACCTTCACACCAATAACCAGAGTCCATTGCTTCAGTAACTTTCTTGTTACAGGTCTTGCAAGCACGGTACCACATTGTCTGGTCTGGCTTGATGAAGCTTATGTAAGCTCTAGTACTGAAGAATACAGGCTGCAGTATATATCAGGACACATAAATCAACTTCTGTCTCCCGGATCTTTAAAATGTAAATAATATGTAAAAGTGTTTTAAGTACCTTCTCCTCGCCTAAAGATGGGTTGCTATTGATGTGAGAAAGAGAAACTCTGTCAGAATACATGGATCTTGATCCATTGTTGGCAGAAGAACTCATCCCAGAGCCAATGGTAGACATAGATGTCTCTTTACCTTCAGAATCATACCAAGATTTCAACTTTGTAGCTTCTGGAGAATCAGGATTTATCACCACACTGCTTCTGCTGATCGTAGACAATGAAACACCTAGCAAAATAGGTTTACGTCAGCACCTAGTTAAACAAAGTGCCTATTTAGAATAAAAGTCAATAAATACCTTGAAAATCTCCAACTTTGAGAGACTTAATAGCGATAACAGGGTGATTATCAGCCATGTCTAGCAGCTCTTGGCCTATGCCAGTAGCTAGATCATTCCAAAGGGACACAACAACAGTTTTCTTTGTCTCATCAGCTAAAGTTATATCCCTCTTTGGGATCATCTCATTGTCATTTTTCCTTCTAATGCTCATGGTAGGAGAAACACTTTGAACAACACCAATAACATCTGGAAAGGAAATAACATTAAAGTCCCTAAATATCATTATAGACAAAATTTTACCAACAAGAAGAGTTCTATACAGGAAACAGCTCTTACCAATGAGGTCTTTCTGATTTACGTATGTACCCAACTCATCAATGGGTACAAAGTTGAATTTTATTTCAGGGGTAAACATTTCTTCGTTACTAGCTTCTTCAACCTCTGAATTCTCATTTAGAGTCATCTCATAATCATTCTGAACCGTCTTGAACTGCTTATTAGCAAGCTTGAGCGATCCTCGAGATATATAGTAAACCTTTCCCTGCTCGAATCTGTCATAAAACTTCTTTGCAGCTGCGTTAAACATGGTTGCCTGAATCTGTGTTCCCTGGATTTCCATACAACAAATAATATCAGTGAAACCACATAAAGTCTAAGACAGTAATCAGAAAGCATAGAATTCATGAAAGCAGCCATACTTCCTCATCAGTCAGTTCCACATTAAACACACATCCTTCTCCTCTAGCGTTATTGTAGGTTCTCATGACTCCTTTGTTTGTGACACGGACTTTAATGGTCCAACTTCCTTGATAAGGGTTCAAGGACACAAGAGGATGAACCCTCCTGGTCATGGCCATTCTTGCAGCTGGTGCAGCACTAAAAAAACCACAGAGGTTGGTGTTAAGCAACATTCATAACAATTCAGAAAAATAATATGAAGTCCAAGAAATTGACAAAACTTCGCTTACTTTCCCCTTTGCTCATTGATAATCTGTGAAGCTGATTTGGCAAGAAACTCCTGCTTAGGTTTCAACACTATGCCTGTGGAAGCTTTAAAGTCGGACTTAATCTCTGAGTCAAGCGCAGAAGCAACAGCCTCACATTTTGTTATAAGCATATATCTGAAGGAGGAAACAGAGAAGACAAAGATTGGCTTTTGTTTACTTAACAATCTTGGATCATCAAAGAAGCTGTAAGAGATAAATTAAACTTACTTTTCTTCTGATTTGCCAGGAATATCATTAACGGTATAATCAAGGAGACGAATGAGACCCAAACTCTGAATCTTTCCAGAGATGATATCAGATGTCAACGACGCTGGTAACATTGCTTTAATTTTCGTCTTCCCGTCATTGGCACTAAACCTGAAAAACGCAAAATCACATGTCAAGCAAGATAGACGGAAATTAAGATTGAAATTGATAAATCCAAAAATAGATCTCTCATAGCTAACTCATGAATTGGCAAGTCTCTAACAAAACCCAGATCTCAAAACCTAATCTATGGCTACAAGTTTCAGGATAAATAATTCAGAAGAACCCAGATTGATTATATACAAAATCTAGAGAGGTATATATAAAGGAGGTAAGAAACGTACGTATATCGATTTCCAACAGCCTTAAGATCTACGACTTGGACGACGATTTGGGGTCGAACCGAGGATGAATCAACGGATCCATTCGATAACACTGTCGCGATACCGTCTTGTGTCACTGCTGAGTTCTCCATCTCCATCTCTCTCTCTATCTCTATCTTTCTCGAATAAATTAATTCAGGGGAAAGGAAGCAGAATGAGAGTGGTTTTGTAAAATAGAAGATTTGCGCGGGAGCTAATAGATTTTTTGGTTAATTGTTCCCGCCGATTTGACTTCTCTTGCTTTCCAAACCTTACCGCCTCTTCTTGCCTCGTTTTTGCTTTTTTTTTTTGGCGCCTCGTATCAAACCCTCTCGCTTCGTTAGAAGGTTCGGCAGAACTTTGTATATCTGTCACTGTGTTTTAGGCTTTTACTTTTAGCTTTGAGACTTGTTATTTCTTCAGATAGATACATTGAATTGGACAAAAATACTTTTTTTCTTCTTCCCTTTTTCCAGTTTGTTTGGATCTGACATCATAAGTTGTACCAATCTTTTACATATATACACATACACACACCAACTAACTAGAGACGTGTATAATTTCCACAGAAACAATGAGAATTTGAAGTATGCTTTATTTTGTCTATCGATGCTGTTCTATATCTTCCATGAGAAACAGCATCTTCTGGGCATTGAACACAGCAGAAGACCCTTGTTTTGTTTTCTCAACAATCTGTTTTATCAGATGCTTCTCTATCTCATCTTCTTCTTCTTCTTCTTCGTCGCTCACACCAAGTAGATCTTGCAGCCTGGAGAAATTCACATCCTCTGAAGTTCTTGAGGAACCCTTTCTGTAATCTTTATGGCTCCAAGGTGAGCTTTTGCTTGTCAAAGACAGTTCCTCTTGTCGCTCAGTCTCCTGCATCTCACATTGTAAATCATCTTCTTCTAAATAATCGTTTATATCCATCAGTTCCTCGTAAGATTCGTTGAATGCATCAAGTGCTCCCCCTGCTAAATTCATAACCAGAGGTTGGATTTCTGCAGGACTATGCTTCTTCTCTCCACAAACTGGAATATTCGAGTCTCTCTTGTAATTCATCACTTCATGGCTTTCCCAAGTCCTTATCAATGGTCTCTTCTTTTCCTCTGCTTCCATGACCAGCTGTTCCAATTTCCTCTCGCTCTCTTGTAAAGCAATCTCAAGTTCTTTTATCCGTCTTTCATACCGTGAATTGATAACTCCGAGCAGACGCAAACTTAACTCCCGAGGTGAGACAATATAGTTTCCTGATGCAGGTGTGGAGTTGCCACTCCATTCCTGGTTGGTCTCAGTTTCACCAAAACACTGCCTTTCAACCAGATCATCTCTCAGCTCGCCCTGCGCAAATTCTTCTTCAAAATCTGGCTCCAGCTGCAGAATCGCGAAACTTTTTACAAGCTGAACAATGGCTACTCTATAGATGATTAAACAATGGCTACTCTTAAGATCAAATATCTGCTTAGCTAAAATTTCATATATTGGTGAAAACCAGCATTTTTAGTGCAGCCAGATAACTTCCAGAATGAACAGACATGATGGACCAAAATGGGACAAAGATTCCGGTAAAGCAGAAGGAAAGAGCAAAAGTTAAGAGTAAAAAGCTCACCTCAAAGATATCTGAGAATTTTGTCTCAATGTTGGAAGTACTTATGTTGATCTCCAGCCTTTCAAGTTCAGCTTCAAGTTCTGCTTCAATTTTACTTATAGATTCTGATTTCTCTGCTGTCTTTCCATCACCACTGTGTAAATCATCTTTCACTGTCAATGAGTCTTTTGTCTCAAGCTCATCTTCTAAATCCTTTACCAAATTATCTGTCCGCTTTGACTCTACTCTGACCTTGTTTAGTTCGGTTTGGTTTGCTACAAATGCTGACATTATCCCAATTGAAATCCCAACGCATAGCAGCATCACTGCATCATCTGATCCTGAAGAAAACATATAACATATTAAGTCTTCTCCTTTGTCAGTACAAACAAATCTTACATTCTAAAAAGATAGCAAGAACTAAGAAGTTTACCAATCCCATAATCCGATCTTCTACTAGCACTTTTTGCATTTCCAACTCCCCTCTTAGCATAAAGAACTGAAGATTCCAACTTCCTAAGCTGAGGAATCCCGCATTCCGGAACATGCTGGCTAATAGAATCTTTAGTGTTGTTGCTAATCACTTTTCTACCATCAGTAACAAGCAAGGGCCTCAAAACTGAACCACAAGGTGATGGAAACGAGCTATGCATATATTCCTCCACGGAGAATTTCTCTCTATGTAACCGAGACATTACGGTCTTCTCCATAGAAAAAGGCTTGATATGACGCTGATTTCTCCTAAGAAACGCTCTGTTCCCAAAAGAACCTGTCGGAATCTTATCATTACTTCCAAAATACTCCTCATTACTCGAAGCTACTTGCACTTCAAATACATTGCCACATTCAGAAATATCCAAAGTTTCCCCATTTAGGCAAGCCTCAAAGTTTTCTTCGTTTGATTCCTTGACTCTTGCCAATTGACTAGCCAAACTTCTCGGAGATTCTAGCTTCACATTAGTCAAATCTTTAGAAGACGATTCACCTTTTGATACATTTTGCAAATGTTTGGTTACATATCCTGTAGCAGCAGTAGCTGCGATTAACCATAGATCCATTTTCTTCTCTCTTTGTCGTCAACAATCAAGAGAGCACTTGGATCCTATCCAATCCAGCTCCACAAAGATTCGACCTCATCGAAAACATTTCATACGAATCAAACGGACTCACTCCAGCTTTAGAAGAAAATGCTGAGCCTTTCGATTACGAAGAAAGACGCTATAATAAACATAACAGCTACCACACCTATAAGAGAAGAAACCCAAATTCTCAAACTTCCACAGGAAAACTCAGAAACCCCAAAAGAAAAACCTAATGCGGAAATCGAAGTACTCAGCAATATCAATTGGAGAACCCCAGAAAAAGCATGGAACTTTCCATCAGAGAGAAGGTGATGAGCAGTAATCAAAGAAATAAGGAAGAAAAGAGCAAGTTATTGAAGAATAAACTGGAGGAGATTAAAGGAAGGAAATGATCTTCATAGGCCGGCAAGTTATTGAAGAAGCCGTACGAGCTTCCAAGGGGTACTACAATAGCTAAATTCCCCAAATAATTGAGAAAGAAAAACAAATGTCGTCAAAGACATCCGGTTCATATCGGTTTATTTGGTTTACCGATTTATTAGCTTTCGAAATATACAAACCATATAAATTCTCCATTCGGTTCGGTATAGTTTTCTTTCACGCTGAAATAACCAAGAAACAATTTAAAAGCAAAATAAATAAATACACATTTTACTTAGATAATGATAAGTTGATAACTAACTATGGATATACATTTATGTATGATAAATTTGTAATTAATGTAATTGCGCAAAAGAAATATAAATGTAATTAAGGTTTTATGGGATGGTTTAAGATATTTTGAAAATGAAACCAAACAATATACATATATGAAGTTAAAGTACCACCATATTTACTCAAATGGTAAAGTTAAAATTTATCAACAACTCGACACACCAATAATTATGTAATTTTTTTTTTTTTTGGTCAACGAGGTAGTTATGTAATTTTTAAATTTGCTAAGTGAAGATAAGTTTTGTTTAGTTTTATAATTTAATAAAGAAAAGTAATGGTTAAAAAGAAAATTTAAAATCTGATATACTTTGTTTCTATAGCAAAAATTGATATATTTTTGTGTTGTTGATAGCAAAATATATGATAACAAATTGTAACGGTTATTTTTAAAATTCGCGTGATAATTTAAAAGCCGATTAGATATTATCATTTAAAAATAATATTAAAACCCGCTAAGTTTAAATGTGCAAGTATTTGCGCATATATCAAATGATCTTCTAATTCATAGCAAATCAATCAGCATTGTATTTTGGTAAGTCACATGTTCTACACATCATAGGAGAGCTCACAAATCAAACAATTTTTTCAGCATCAAATATATAAAATATGATGAAATCAAAACAATGAGTTTATAGACCGGATATAAAGTAAGAAAGAAGGAATGTCAATGTGAGCAAGTCACATGTCAGTAAAGTCCAATCTCACCTAGCTTGTAAGTAACTTGAGATCCAAGGAAAATAAGACCCGAAAATCTTAGATACAGATCCAATCACTTAAGCAACTTAAGCAAAGAAGAAGCTCAGGTGAAAACTGTCTTAATCAAACCGTTTAGTTCTTTCAATGTCTTCTTCTACAAAAAGAAACCACATTATAAACAGACACATAAGCACAATCTCATTTACTAACAGAACAACAAGTCGTGGTTCTCACCTGCAAGCCGAAGCGTCGTACGTTTTCTTTTCGGAAAAGGAAAACCCAAAACTCGTGGTCGATGTTTCCTGATTGATAATATATCACTGGATACCAAAGAAGCTATCAAAAACAAAAATTAGGCACCTCATGTAGATTAGTTCAACTGTTCAAGGACTAAGCATTATAGGATCATCCATAATCCTAAACACATTACACTTGAGTAAAATAAAAAGCATAAACTACATATCACCTTTATCAGGACATGAATGTGACAACAACATGAGTCCATTAGAAGTGCTACTTTGAAGGACCGGTGTAGGATTTTCTTCCTCAGCGTTACCAGATAAGTTGTCTTTAAGATCTGATACTTGTAAAACGCAGGGTGGGGATCTGCACACTTGACATAGCCACATGTTGGGGACAGATCGTAAGCAGATGCTTGCGCAGTAGCTGCAGAGACACGGAATAGAAAGATCCATTGAAAAAAAAATCATAATCATGTAAAAGAGTATTATACATTACTGCATGAGTAGACAAGAATTGAAACAGGGGCATACATATGCTCTCTGACTGTTCTGCAATTGTAACAAGTCATGATGTAATCCTTAACGCCAACATCCCCACATACCTGACAAGGCTCCTATGTAACAACAATCGAGTTAAATCTCTGACTTTTAACGATAGTCATGCCTAAAACAACAAGGGCATCCTAATTACATGAGTCAATAAACAGAATCTTGTAGTATTTGATATGACCAGTCATACATGTTTCTCGCTGATTCTCACGTTTTCTTTACTAAAGCAATCAAAAAGTTGTGAAATGTCCTAGGCAGTGATCTTCTTGAAGAGAAAAGACAAATCCAATTGAATTGCAGAAGAATAAAATGTAATCAGAAGATAAATCAAGATTAATTGTATAATAAACTCAGATCACATACTCTTTTTTGTTTTTAGATTTCACAAAAACTCAAAAGACTCGGTGAAAACTAAAGAAAGCCAAAGAAGAAGCATTAGACAAAACACCGCCCGATTAAAAAAAAACAGAACAAGATTTGTTTAAATATATAATTTCTGGGTCCACATAATATTTTGTCTCTCTATTCACACAGTTCTTGAAATTGTTATTCAATCAAAACGAGTGTGAGAATCTTACGGTTGGATTCACCATAGTTTCTTGATCTCTTAAAGATCTCCCAACAGAGATGGTTGGTAGTCTTGAAGTAGAAGTAGAAGACGAAGAAGCGGTTTTCTTCATCTGACTCTTAATCAAATCATCGATCCTTCATATTTTATGTTATACAGAGCGAAACACTCTAACTCGGCCAGAGTGTTTCATAACCACACAAAACCAAACCAAACCAAACCAAATTGAGATGTTTTACCCTTTATTCATAGGCGCACAAAAATGGAATCTAATCAACACTGAATCCTAACCGAACCATAACTTTAACTTTATAGAAAGATAAATATTAAATAATGGGTACAAAACCATTTATAGTAGATTTGGTTTAACATTGAGAACCGTTTTCTTAAACCGGAAATTAAAAACCGAACCGAAATCTGGAATCTAATATAAAATCATCTCTAATACAACAACGATAACATTTTTTCCCCGACTGAAGAGAAAAAGAAGATGGCAATTCGTTCTTCAGAGCATCATCAAGACAGACCACAAGCCGGTGAAGAGAAGGGTGTAGGAGTTATGGAGCGTGAACCCAGAGCTTTCGGTTGAGTAATCCGGGTTTAAACCGGTTCCAGTGGCATCAGTGACATTGCCTCCTAATAATCCGGTTGTTGGTGTGCCAGTGTATGGACTGTTCCCACCGGGAAATGTGTTGATGCTGCTGCTTCCTTTTGGACTGTTTTTGCCTGGCGGCGTCGCTGTGGTACTGCCGCTGCTGCTTCCACTAGAACCACTGTAAAAGAACACAGTCATAACACTCATAATCAACCTATATTACCTAATCCAAAATCCTTTTTTACGAAAAGGTAAAAAAGTTGTATAGTTTTGAAGTTTTTTAAAGAGATGGAAATAGTAGTTTGTATCAATTGGCGCGTTAGTACGTTTATAAAAAAAAAATCATCGTTAGTGTGTGATTTCCAACAAATAAAAAGGTGTCTGGATTCTTATAGAAAAATATAGACCAAAACAGATTAAAGCAGCAGAATGAAAACAATGCTAAGAGAAGCAAGTCAATACACTAATCACAGGTTCCAAACTTTCTAATCCCAAAAGAGGCAATTGAATTGTTGAAGATGTGATCCAATGTTTCGTAATAAATAATAAATAATAAAAGTGCACTTTAAACCCAAATTAAGCTTTTAATCCACTTTTTTCTTTTTCCCACAAATAGTCATTAGAAGTTAAGTTAATCATTCATTAAAGTGTAGTAGTATCAGATATAGTTAATCCACCATTAACACGTGTAGTATCAAGTAGAGATTATATCGTTTTGCTTTGGCTCTGCTTCAATTTCTAGATAAAGCCATTAATGGAATAAATGTGTAGAAGCAAAGAGCCGTACCTAGCACTAGAAGGGAATGCACATCCTGTATAGCCTGTGACAAAACATAGTTCACACACATCAAAGAAAAAATGTCAAAAAGATCTTAAATCTCGTCTGAACTTGAATCTCTAGTATACTCTAACGATCTTTAATACCAGTTCATTTAAGCGTAATTACCAAAAGACCTTGAAATCTTTGTTCTATAACTCCAAAGCTTAACAATATTGGTTTAATATATAGGATCACAAGAGTATCAGATCTGTGAGGAGCTTACTGGGATCAGTGGTGGTAAGAGTGGCAGAACCAGTGAAGTTACAAGAGTCAGAAGCTTGACCTTTCTTTTGAAAGAAGCTATTGACAGCATAGCTACAATGAGCCCTAACATTGTCAGGGTTGAAGCAAGACCCTTTTGGGCGAGTTGGGTTACAGTCAGCTCCATTTCCACAGGCGTAGTCTAATGTCTTTTGTAGCACAGAGTCACTCAGCCCTGTTTTGCACACACACCATGAGGCACCTACCAAAGCAAAAGAAAAATACGAAGAGGAAAGTTATGGTAAGGTCAAGGCTTTGACTGAAACTACGTTCCCATCAATAGACACATTCTAGATAAGACATGGGAAGGAGAGCGAGTGTTCTTACTAGAATGGCCAGCCATGAGGAGACTGAGGAGATAGAGAACCAGAGCAGCCATGGATGGTGTCGATGTATACAAATGCCACTGTTACACTTGTTGAGAGGGAGAGAGAGATAGATCTTGTGATAATGTTGGAGGAGAAGAAGAAAGAGAGGCGTTGCACAAAGTAACGAAGGGAAAAGATAGACAGTGATAGAGAGAGAGAGAGAGAGGCAGTACTGGAGATTGAGAGTGACTACTTGTTCCGTGACTCTTGTTTCTTCTATAGCCCTTCTTGAGTCAGCTTTTCCTAGCTCTCTGTGTGAACACACCGGGCGAACTTGTAAGTACACCTTTTTGAAAATTTTATATTTATCACAAATCTTTTGTTTAGGTTGATGCTTGTAATCCATTTTAAAGTAATTACTAGATTCGGACCCGCGCTACAGCACGGGGGAAATAATTACATATATATAACTTTTAACGGATTAGAATATGTTACATTTTAATTTTGTTACAGTGCAGTCGATTACGGTAAATCATATATTTGTATAATAAGTTTAAATAAAATAATAAAGGAAAAAGCGAGTAAATAATCATATACTAAGTTTTGATACAACTAAAAACACGGTTAAAATTTAACAACACGAAATAATATTTGTCGATAAATTATTTCTTTTGACCATTTTTGTAGTAAAAGTACGAATATACGTAAAAATTACATATTTACAATATATTTTTTGAAAGTCCAACCCGTAACAGAATTTATTTCGTAAAAAACATTATTCGTAACTCGCTTTATCATTATAATTCTGATTTTAACAAACTACCCTTGAATTATCTAAAATTTACACAGTTTGCTATATAATATATTTTATCAATAAAAAATATGTCTCCAAATTACATTTATGTCTTCAAAAAATATTTCAGTACTTTAAATTCTAAAAGTTTTATATATTTGAACTTTTTATTTATAATATTTTGAAACTATTTGAAATTTTAAATATGCTTATGTAACAATGATTTTAATATTGGTCATACTTATAATGATTTTAAACTATTGTCCAAAATATTTTATCGAGTGTAGTTGAGTATTATATATCCGTTTTGAAAAATTCAAATTGCACATATGCAAAAAAAAAGTTAAATTTTTATTAAATATTTATATTATATAGTATAATATTATAAATTAAAAATAATATCAAATAAAAGTGAAAGAAAAATAATATTTTTTAAATAGATTGTATTAAATTAGTTAGAGAAATATTAGTAAATCCTATAATTAATTATGGAAATAATACAATCCTAAATTTAGATTTGGAAAGTATTCGGTGTATGTATCCAAACCCATTAATATATCCAATTTTATAAGATCCAATTACAAATTTTGGGTAATTTTTTGAAATTGACCCGACCCGAAAACACTTTTTGTACTTCTCTTTTACTAATATAGGGATGGACTAAAGAAAATAAAAAAGTCATAATTAAAGATGTAATTTGTAGAGTTTTAGAAAAAAAAAAAAGAGAGGAACACAATTTACTATTAGTAATTTTCTATTGTCTACAAAGATTTTACTATTTATATTACTTATTGGAAAATGCCAAGTGAATGTGTTGCAGAAATGCAGATTTGCAGGTGGTGGTGTTCCACCTATATATGAAATAATAGAAAAAATTCTGATATTGTTGGCCAAAAAATCTAGATTTTTAATTGCATCTGGTACTGTAAAACCTAAAAGATATGTTTTATTTTGCTCGAATGTAAAAAAAAATAGTGTTAAAATTTGTTCCCAAAACAAACATTATTAAGAACTCACAATACTTTGTTCAAAGAAAAAGAAAAAAAAAACTCACAATACTATTTGATTACTTGGTTTAGCGTTACACATTCTTACATAAAAGCTTACTCCGGATCAAATTAAGCCCTATGCCTTGTCGGAGAAGCAAACTTAGATTTTTATCCCGATCTTAGTCCATAAACATTCGGAGCCAACCTTGGCTTAGGATGCACCACCAAAGGAACCGCTCTTTGCAGAGTAAGCCCATACTTCTCTTCCATATTCAGCTTCTCCGGCGTAACTCCTCCGGCCAATTCCCATTCGAATCCGTGAACCAACGTCGCCGTTAGTATCTGAATCGTACGTAACCCTAAACTTAAACCAGCACAGATTCTTCTCCCGGCTCCAAACGGTATAAGCTCGAAATCGCTTCCTTTCACATCGACGCCGGATTTTTCACCACCGGGTAAAAATCTCTCGGGTTTGAACGCTAACGGGTCGGACCATTGATCCGGGTCACGGGCTATGGCCCATATGTTGGTCAAAAGAGTGGATCCTTTCGGGATATGGTAACCGTTGATCTCACAGCTCTCTGATGCGATGTGTGGTAACGAGAGTGGTGTTGGCGGATGTAGCCTAAAATTCTCTTTGATAACCGCCTGATTTTAAAACCAAAACCGGATTCAAATATAGCTCGACAGCAAACAAAATTTAATTCCAAATTCCCGATTTGAGTGAACCGTACCTGAAGGTAAGGAAGCTGAGAAATGTCTGACTCGTTAACGAGCCTGTCACGGCCCACTACGGAATCAAGTTCTTCTTGGGCTTTGGTCATTATATCCGGGTGACGGATAAGTTCAGCTATAGCCCAGTCAACCGTACTTGCGGACGTGTCAGTTCCAGCTGCGAACATGTTCTGTAATAATAATTTTAAAAAAACAATCAATATGGTTTTTGCTTATCATATAAATAAATATTAAGAAATTTAATATAAATACGAATAGGAAGTAGTACGAACCAAGAGCAATGCTTTAATCTCAGTATCCGTTAAGCTTCCTCCATCACCGTCAAAATCAGTTCCTTTAAGCGAGATTAGAGTGCTAAGCATATCCGTATGCTTTTGATCTTGACCGTTCATCTCGTGCTCCTCCAGAATCGAGGATAGAAAAGCGTCAAATCTCTTGTGGAGCCGTTTCATTTTACCAGCGACGCCTTGTAAATCCAACCAGTCGAGTGACGGCACGAAATCTCCGATGTTAAAGACTCCGGCAAGAGCCATCATCTCCGTCACCATCGATCGAAACTCTTCGGCTTTGTGATCGGCGTCGGGGCCGAACAGTCGCCGTCCGATCATTTCTCGTCCGAGTGAGTTGATAACACACATGTTCACCAACTGCCCTAAATTCACGGCTTTCGTGCCTACACGTGCTAGCTCCCCCGAGAGCGTTCCAACCTCTTCCTGTCAAATTTCAGTTTGATTTTTTTCTTTAATCCCAGTTAGATCTTTCCAAGGAAGAATAATTAAAATTATATAAAACGTAATTAAGGATCTTTATAATTTTACTACAAACTATATTAACCCAATAGCTTCACTAAATCTCAATTTGTATAAAATTTCGGTTTTTTTTTTAAAAAAAAAAACATTTCTATTACGAAAACTTGCTATATAATCTAATTAATCTTGACGTATCTTATCATTCATCAATATGTTTTGGCGAAAAATGCAGATAATTTTGAAATAGCATATACATAGTAGTCTCGAAATTCAGAAACTCGTGTGTCACTACCTTTTAAGTAACAATGTGGTCCATACAATTATATAATTTTGGTAAGTATTTTTTGTCGGTATATTCTGAACTCTCCACTATTAGGAATTCTCAATTTTTCTCTCAGATTATTTTCTTAATTACCAGTTAGTATCACAGTTATATATATATAGAAAGATCAAAACATAGAAACGACATGATTAAAATTTTTACAGGTAAGCTAGCTGCTATAGCGTTAGAAAATGAGAATAACGTTTAATTGTTATGGTTTTACCTGTCGAATATGTTTGAAATCTTCGAGAGCTTTAGCTGAAAAGAGATGAACAGAACTGATTTTTCTCAACATTCTCCATCGTTGTCCGTAGGGCGCAAAGACAAGATCTTGGTAGTTGTAGGCCATATGTTTGGCTCCGGAGTTAGGTGGTCGGCTAGCGAAGTTGGCGTCGTGGGTTTTCAAGAACTGCTCGGCCACGGATTTAGAGGCGGCGACCACGACGTCCACGAACCCTAATCGGAGGTGGAGTATCGGTCCGTAAGTGGTTACCATGGCGGCTAGAGTTTGATGGGGCTTGGTGCCCATGTGAGGGAGGTTTCCGACTATAGGCCATGGATTTGGGCCTGGTGGGAGGCGGTGGTTGCGGCGGAGAGAGAAGAGGAAGAGGAGGCAGAAGAGGACAGTGGCAAGGACTATAGTAAGGAAAAGAGGCGTCATAGAGTGTGGTTGGTTTTGAATGGTAAGTGAAAAAATGAGGCATAACATATATATATATATATAGCTTTATATAAGACTATAGAGTAGTATGTATTTTTTTCTTATATCAAATTATGGGTTTGTCCAAATATATATATATATATATATATATCAAATTCATGCATGTTTTTTGAAAAATTGTAAATTGATTTCTAAGCTTAATTAATCCGATTTCGAACATTTACATTTAGTACGATTTGACTAGCCAAAATGGAAATTTTTTTTATAAAAAGTTTGGGGTTATTTTAGAATTTGGTTTCGATTTATTTAATTTTAAACACACATTTATTGATCAGTAGTAAAGAGAGAGAGACTCGCCAGAGAATAAATTGACGTTTCAAATAATAATATACGTATATGGGATCCTACCACGAATTCAAAGATACAATTTACCAAAAATGATAGTTCCGGTTATTCAGGGCCGCAACGAATGGGAGAGGCTTGAATGGTAGGTGGGATTTTTAGGTCTGGTTCGATATGATCATCGATACATTTGTGAAAGGTGATTGGTTAGTATATATCTCTTATAGAGTGACTCGAAGAACGTAAGTCGAAAATAAAAGTAATTACGAGAACAATCTCATGTTAGGGAGAAGCCACTAATACATGCGAGAACATCTAAAAATAACAAACATACTAAACTAGTAAATTATATGTTATGCAAATTTCGCAAGCTACGTACCAAAATGGAAAGTTAAAATTAAAAATACTATATATATGTATATGTATTCACGGCGTCAATTATATAGTTTATTTTTTTTATATATTAAAAAGGTTGATATGAATGTGCGTATGAAGTGTGAATACTAGCGGATGAAATCGAGAACTGTGGATATATTTGTTCAATAACGGTGGTAGCTAGGATACTCGTGAATGGTAGGTAAGATATGTGGTTTCAAAACGTTGGATGATATGTCATGGTCAGTATACGTAGAAGACAGCTCCGTCCGTCAGTTACACTTCTTTCAGAATATTTTCTTATTATGGCAATTCTTGTTGTTAATGTCTTTCCGCACTGTTCTTTTGTTTCTCTAAGCGGGATCGAGGTTTTGATGATTTTTTACAAATCCAGTATTAACTTGACTATTCTTTGTTAAATAAAAATACGACTATCCTTTCCTTTGGATTTTGTGTGTTGCTGGTCCAAGGCCACGCTTTTTTTATTTTTGGGGGTAATAAAAGGGTTTGCGTAAGGCCACGTTTGTGGATTATAGTCACGCATTTTGATTTCCTTAATAATTAACTCAATTTTTTATGTGTTTTTATTAACGAAGAAGAGTTTTAATAATAATGAATCGGTTAGGTGGCACGAGTGATGGACAGTTGAGCACAATTCACTACAACTAGAGAGAAGGAAATTATATTTATGGACAAAATAAATGTCTCTACATAATTAGACATGTCTAGTACTGCATGTCCTTTATTTGTAAATAACAATCTGTCACTATTTGTTTTTCATTTTTGCCTGTGGGGAAAGGTGGGATCAAAAGTAACGTCCGAGAACAACCCAAACAATATTACTTGCCATATTTGTGTACGAGGGATCATAGGCATGTGGGCATGCGCAACATACATTTTTCTTTTAGTTCGGTTTGGTTCAAGTTTTCGAGTTTTTTTAGGTTTCTTATTAGTTTTGTGAGAAAGGGTTCGATCAAGAAGAACCTGAATATTTTTTCTTTTTAATATATGTTTTTTTTCATGAAACTGTTATTTATAAGTTTCTAACTCTAACCGACCAAAAACCATCACACAATTATTTTTTTTTTATTTTTTTTTAGCATAGAAGCTCAACACTCTTCTCTTGATTTACAGCAATCGACATAGAAATTAACACCATTTATTGTCAAAAAGTCTTAATAGAAATACTCAAACTTTACTTCATTTAACGTAATTAATTAATTGGACAATTATTTTAGTCCGAATAAAGGTAACATACTTAAACATGTGCAAATTTAATGAGTTAACTGTGTAGCTTAAGAATTTAATTACTGTCCTTAATTTCCATTATTTGAGTAAAACACAAATCTGCATGCCAAGGAACCAGAAAATGTCTGTCAAGTTAGTCGACGTTCTTAGTAATTTCATATGCAGTTTTCATATCATAAGAGATTAAGACGAAGCGTGGTCTTCGTCCCCCATGAAGCGTCTAAGCTCTGATGATAGATTCATAATCCTCATCCTCCACAAAACAATAAAAATTGTATCAGAGTTTGATATTCTCTAAAGAGATAGTGTTACTTAAATGTCTAAAGAGGATCTGTTGGTTTAGTTATGGATGGATTGAATCACAAGGAGTCAGGGAATTACATGCTTCATTTTGGCCAAATTGTCTCTCAGAGTTTCCCCAACAAGAATTCTATAGAGCCTCGGCTGGAGCAGATCATCAACAAATCCGTCCTCAAGTAGCTCCATTCAGGTATAGTCAATATGAGGCTTTCAAGAAAGGACTGGTGCAACCTGTGAATGATACAGGGAGATTCACTCTCTTGAAGATAGGAGAGCTATATTCTAACGTTGGGAATTCGATTGATGCACGGTTTAAATTTATGTTCAACCCATTCAAGCAACTAGATACTGCGGATCCTGGTTACGTTGTTCATATGCAGCAAATGTCCACCACACCTGGAGCGGAGACTCTCTCATCTGCCTCATTGCCTCATGGTGCTACTGACCAACTTCTGAGGGTTGATAAACTAAAGAAGCGCAAAATCGCTACATCAGGACTTCTCTCTTGGAATAAAGAAATTATGCAAGGTCCCCAGAGACTCAAGACTCTCGGGTGTGTGGCTTATGAGCATTAGTATATGTGAAAAAATTTGTATCCACTACCGTATCAACTTTCTTAATTTTTTTACAGTGAGGCAGAGGTTGATTGGGCCAGAGGAACTAATCGATATACCGAAAAAAGTGAGTTTCCTCATTACATATTTTCCTGGTGGTCTCTTTGTACAATGTTGTTGAATACTTGATGGCTTAGACCAACATTATTAGGCTAAGATACCCCCAATAATGTTGCCCTTATGTTCTCACAGGTGGAATTTGTGACTTTACTTGAGGATGGCCCACCAATTAGATCAAAGAGAAGGCTTATATATACAACACAACTCATGCAACAACTGTTTTGCCCCCTTCCTGTTAGGATGATCTCTTTAGTTGCTAGCTCAAATTCAGTGACCAGTACATCTCCAAAGCAGCTGAAGATTTCATTAGTAGAACACGGAAACTAGAGACTGAATTTGCAGGGTAAAAACCGTAGCTGTCTCTTGTAATTGATTCTAGTGTTAAATGGGTACTCATTTGCTACCTTGGTCTCATGAGCATCTGGTTCTTCCTGCAGACTAGAGAATGGAGCTACAATTACATACTTGAGAGTCGAAGTTCAGGATCTAGAGAGGTATGCAGTGATCAATCGCTTTGCAAGTTTCCACCAATCATCCCCATCTGTGGACCGGACCGTGAGTTCAGTTAGGTTAAACCCACAAAGATATGCTACCATAGCTCCAATGCCTCAGCACATTCCAGACCGGGTACAATGTCTCTCTTTCTAACACTAGAAAGATCTATATAATTCACGTTTTGGCAAGTGCTCCCCAAAATGTTTCATTTTATGGGTGAGTACGAGTTAGTTGGTCGGACTCCTGAGAACAGTGAAGGCCTCCATCGTCTGGAGGCCGGAGATTTCGTTGTAGACATGTAGCATTACTGTATGCATCATTGCATCATCATGAATATTGTAACTTGTAAGTCATAGTTAGTAAAGAAAGATTGCCCATAACAGAACCCCTACAAGGCATCACCTCCAGTGCAATAATTTGTTTGAACACAGCTAAGATTCTAAAGCTCTCTCTTTCTCTCAAGTCATTGATTGCTGTGTAATTAGTCATTTAAAGCTGAACTTAGTGACAGCTTTCGAGCTTCTGCTCCTGAATTTTAGAAGGTGACCATGCAGAGTGTTAATACTAACCTCTTGAAGCGAAGTTGGCATCATCAGTTAGCAATGGCAGGATGTGATTATATATTTGAGAAGGAAGTTGAAAACACCAGTTAATATTGAGAAGGCTAAGTATGACTTACAAGTTACAATATTCATACAAGAGACTGAGAAACCAAAGACAGTGACACGTTTGCTTGGTTTCCGAAGTGTGGTTATTTGATTGAAGTGAATTGATTTGTTGAACAAAGAGAAAAGTGTAAAAGGGGAGATCAAAAGAGAAAAGTTGGTTTTCACATTCTTTGCATCTGGATCTATAATCTTTAAACCCCCACAAATGAACAAAGAGCTCAGGGTTCTAATTTGTTACTAAAAAGATTAGAGAGTTGAACACAAAAATAAAACACTAGCTCCATTGCGCAATCTCTGGTGTGGAAACAAGAACCAAACAAGTTCGATAAACGACGTCATCAAAAAGCAGAGTACTTCGTTACCCTCTTACACTTGAGGATTATTTCTTGGTGGCGGGTCTATTTGGCCCTAAGTAGTTAGTGACCAATCCCATGATTGCAAACCTGTTTAAATACAAGAAAAAGTGAGTTCAGTATCAACAAAATTATGAATATAAACAATCTCTAGGACTAGTCATTGTGTGCCTAAGAAGAGCTAAAATTACGAAGCATGTCATCATCTATCAATTCATTTATATTTTGGACAAAAGATTGCTGGTCCATCTTCGAACTCAAGTGGGATTTTAACAGCAAGTGGTATTTGCAATGCTTGACTTCATTTTCATATGCATTAGGTTCTCAAACTTAATGAAAAGAAAGAGTGAGATGGAACATACATCATAGCCATGGAGATCTGCTTCAAATCGTTCTCCAAGTTCCTCATGTTGGCCAGAGATTGTGCACAGAATATAATTGCAAGCCACGAGCATATCTTGTACTGAAGACACAAATATATCAAAAATTGAGGATGGAAAAACAATCCCTATTAGACTTGAAGAACCAAATCCACAGTTGATCTCTAATCCACTTCCACTGTGGCTGTCTCTCCCACGAGCTCAAATTTCAACAAGCTCGTATTTATCTCTAGTCTATAAAATCTATGATATGATACAATCACAGTTTTGAATCTGCCCATTTGGGAAACTAAGCTAAACCAAAATCAACACTCAAATCGGAGAGCTAACCAGTCAAATCCGAAACGATCTAAATAACCAAATATACATAAGCATGAACAACCGGAGGGAACCGATTCTACGATATTTTACTTAACAGAGAGCAAAGATCAGAAGAAGATTTGACGAAATTTTACCCTGAACATAACGCCGGAGACGCCGAGGATAACGGCGATGAATCCGGAGTAGTCAACGGGAAGATCCTCCGGCGCAACAGGCTTTGGAGTGTAAGGTTTCGCCGCCGAAGGCTGCCGTGGATCGTTGGCCGACCAAGAGTTCCCGTGACTGTGAGACATCCTCTCTCTCTCTCTCTCTCTCTAGAGCTCCGATGGTAAATCTGATCTACTGTAATTTGCTAATTTCTCTCAGAGATTCCAAACAATTAAATAGCCAAAATTTAATCACGGTTAGAATTTCGTTAAAATAATCCAAGTTAAAAAGCTTTGCGAAAATTACAATTATAACCTTTGCGTATTTTTTCATAAGCCCTAATAAAGTAGGGAGGGAAAGTGAAAATTTTTTAATCGCCGGCGTCTTTACGCCGTTCAACTCCCGGCGAAGTTATAGAGTTTAGGAGTAATCCATAAGCTAATATAATGAGTTTCTCTCTGTTTCCACCGCCTACTTCTCCATCTCCGGCGTCTTCTTCGCGATCGCTGGCTTCTTCATCTCTATCTCCGGCGAGTTCATCATCGTCGATGAGGCTATGGAGACCAGCTGCTCAGCGTAATCTTAGGAACCAGTGGTCAATACTTTCGAATTGTCGCCAACAGTGGATCGCCGCTTGTTCTGCCGGAAGAGCTCACGCCTCTTCGCTCGTCAATTCGTATCTGTCACAAAAGTGTGGAACTTTCCAAACTCTTATGTGCAAATTACTCAGCCAAATCAATATTTTTTCGTTTCACTTTGATGTTCCTAGTGATTTGAACAGTTAGATTCGTTCCTACTTACTGGTTATAGGTATATGCCAATGATGGAGCTTGGCGTGTTGAGTGACATGTTTGATATTAAGAAGAAAGCTTTGAAGAAGCTGTTTGAGCAACAGGTGAATATTTTCATTTCAGAATTATTTTTGACCAGTTTCTCTGTGTTTTTCTAGTTCACGTATTGATCTTTCTATGTCCAGAGTTCCTATCGAATCAAGCTTCTATCGTCGTATAAGGAAATGGTGAGTGTGGCACATACTTCTGAATCTTGTAAATCTGGGAAATTTATCCTTCTGTAATTTGGAATCTTATTAGAAAAATACAGGTAGCTGTTGTTGTTGAGATGGTGATTGCAAGCACATCTCTGAGATGTTATACGAAGCTGAATAGCGGGTCACTTATACAGTTCTCTACCTCTAAGGAAGACTCAAATGATGCTGGAGATTGTGGTAGCGTTCCTGTGTTTAATTTTTGGAATATCTCTGCATTTGGTAAGATCCAGAAACGATAGTTCAATAGCTGTTTAATTTTCTCCGTTTATGTTGCTTTCTCTAAAGTTTGGTACTTGCAATGTTGATATGATCACAGAGAAGATGTCTGAGGAGCTTGTGGAGATGTTTAAACGCGAAATATTGCTAAAGGTATAATCTTCCTAACTCTTTCCGTATATATATATATATATCTTAGGCTCTAGATTAGCTTCTGATATGTTTCTGCATATTAACAGAGATTGCTCATAATGGAACTGATCTCTTTAAGCTCCCAAGTTCCCCAACCCGGCAACAACTGTTGGTCAGATGAGCTTTACCATGGAGAAGTTGATCATCTCACCAAATGTTCTTTATATTCCATGGAAGTATCTGAACCAGTTCTCCCCAGAGTAAAAGAAAATAATATTTGTATTCCTTCTTTATCACATACCAACCAGCCAACTGCAGAAATTTTGCAGGTGTGTGAGATTTGATTTGACTCAAGAAAATGCTTTCTGCTAAAATCATATCGTAAATTTTTAATACTTCTTCTCACTCTACAGATTTACTTGACAACTTGGCTTGCAGAGGTAAACATTGAGACTCATAGGTAAAGTATTAACAGCTTCTCCATTGTCATTCCCGAATTCTACTCTTCTGAGCACATAGTAATTTCTGATGAACCATTGTTGCATATTTGTTACAGGGTGGATGAGATATTTGCTTTGGTAGGGGAAGAAATTAGAGTTGCCTTCTAAACCCAAAGCTGTTCCAGCTTCTAGTTAAGTTTCAGTGACTTTAAAGCATAAATGATTCGACAAAGTACTCAATGACTTAAGAGAGAGGTCTTTAGAATCTTAGCTGTGTCAAACTTTCAACAATTTTGCTATATTGTGTTTACTGGAAAGCATATGTGTTATTACCTAGTCCGGGTACTTTACTGAGCGATGTTTCTTTACTAAAGTATAGAAAGGGATTTGACTTACAATATTTGTGATTATGCATACAGTAATGCTACATATTTCGTAGAAAATCTCTGAGGTTTTAGCAATGGAGGCCTTCACTGTTCTCGGGATTCTGACCAACTAACTCGTACCCACCCAAACAATAGAAAGATTTTGGGGCGAGATATATAAAAGCAATGAAAAGGGAAGATTGGCCAAAAAGTAAATTTATGGATCCATCAATAGTTAGACAGATAGACATTGTACCCTGTCTGGAATATTCTGAGGCAATGGAGCTATGGTAACATATCTTTGAGGGTGTAACCTAAGCGAATTCATGGTCCGGTCAACAGATGAGGCTGGTGGGTGAAACTTCGCAAAACGATTGATCACTGCAAACTTCTCTAGGTCCTGGACTTCAACTCTCAAGTCTGGAATTGTAGTACCATTTTCTAGCCTGCAAGAAGACCAAATCTCCATGAGACCAAGCCAGCCAAATTGAGTACTCAGTTCAAACTGGAATTAATTTACAAGAGAGATCTATGGTTTTTACCCTGCAAACCCAGTCTCTAGTTTCCGCGTTCTACTAATGAAATCTTCAGCTGCTTTGGAGATGTACTGGTCACTGATTTTTTCAGTTTTTCTCGCAGACAACCTACATAAGAGTGGATTGGTTCATTTCAATACTCCTCATCAAGCTTTGGAAAATCTCCAGCATTTCAAGAACAAAAAGAAAATATCCTTACAGATTTGAATCGTTCGGAGGCGAAAAGCGCTCACTCGTGTTAGTACTACTGGAGCTACATGCATCTCCCAACGCAGCTCTTGCAGCAGTATATGCAACAAACTCATAAGCTGAGCTAGCAACCAAAGATATCACCCTAGCTGGAGGCGGGCTAAATAGTTGTTGCATGAGTTGTGTTGAATATATAAGTCTTCTCTTTGATCTGATTGGTGAGCTATCCTCAAGTAAAGTCTCAAATTCCACCTGGGAGAACATAAGCAACTAGTCAACAACTTTGTACAAAGAGCAGCGTAAAACATGTAATGAGGAAACTCACTTTTTCAGCCAATCGATAAGTTGCTCTGGCCCAGTTAATCTCGTTCTCACTGTAAAGAATATATACATATAAAGCTAAATACGGCAATGGATATGAAAAAGAATTAGGAATATCAGTCCTCATTAAGCCACTCACCTGAGTGTCTTAAGCCTCTGGGGATCCTGCATTACTTCTTTATTCCAGGATAAAAATTCTGATGTGGCAGTTTTGCGCTTTTTTGGTTTATCAACATTTAAATGCATGTCAGTAGCATCATGAAGCAATGATTCAGCAGATGAGGGACCCTTTACTCCTGGTGCGGAGCCTGACATTTGCTGCATATTAAATTGCTTTGATGATTGAATAGAATGTGTACCATCAACCAAGCTCCCAACATTAGAAAATTGTTCTCCGATCTTTAAGGGATTTAATCTCCCTTTATCATTCACGGGTTGCACCAGTCCATTCTTGAAAGTACCATATTGACTATACCAGGATGGAGCCATCTGAGGACTGATTTGTGGATGATCTGCTCCAGCCGAGGCTGCATAGTTCTTAGTGGAGGAATTCTGCGAAAGAGTTTGGCCAAGATGGGGAGTGTGGTTCGTTATGTGATTATACCCATCTCTAACTAAACCATCAGACCTTGAAGGTGATTGTTGTTCCCCTTTGGGAGCTACCTTTTGAGAATCAACAGCACTATTCTCAACTCTCTTCATAGTCATCTTGGGTGCATCGCCCTCCCCACTTCCACCCATTTGTTCATCGTGACATAAGCTTACCTTTGGAAGGTTGTTTGAAGGAAGAGAGTGGTCAAAGGATTGATGATTGGCCTGCACTATACTGAAGAACGTCGGATCAACATCAGATGTTTGTTTTGCACCCGTATCTTCACTATGTAACTCATGCATATTCACCATGTCTCTCCCACTTAATGACACGTCTCCTCCATTTTGGGAGGATAATTGATTAGTCTTCTCCTGTCTTGAGAAGCTAACTGCAATGTTGTTGCTGGGCAATGGATGCGGCCGCAAAATATCTGACTGAGGCTTAGATGGCTGGTTCCAAAACCGATGTTGCAGAGCTGAAATACCAGCTGGTGAGTTAGACATAATACCAGAAAAGGAACTTTGTTGAGGCGAACTGGATACAACCGCAGGCTGAGAAGCAGACAGCATAGGAAATCCTTCGGCTAAACCTCCTTTTATGTTGTGGGTTGTAGGATTCATCAGGGAAGGTATTTGTGCTGAAGGTCCACGTTGATCAAAGTCACTACTCTCATCTCTTTCTTTAACTTGAGGGGTAGAAAACTCAGATGATGAATTGACTATTTGATTAGCAGCTGATTGTCGAGTAGCAACAGGCATCTGTTGATTTTGGTTGTACCCTCTGGAATAAGGGAAACCAGAGGTTATGTTGGATCCTCCTAGGATTCCAGGAAATGGTCCCTGATGAGTGGATTGCTGAGGAAAAGATTGATTAGACCCCCATGGAGCAAACCGTGATTGACTTGTTCCTCCTTTTTCAGGGCCATTATGTAACGAATTCAATGGCTGGAAAGAATTCCGAGAAAACTGTACGTTATCAGGTGAGAGAGCTAATTGAGATGGAGGTGCCAGCTGTAGATTAAACCCCTGGGAAGCAGAAGACTGATTATGCCGGAACTGACCACTATAGTCTGCGGAGGTATTTGCTTCTGAAATACCAATAACATTTGTTTCCGATGAATTCTCTGGTGACTGTTCCACCTTGTGAAGAAGCTCAAGCATAGTGTGCCTGCACAGGAAAAAAAAGTTAAGAAAGGCAATTGCAAAGCACGGATTGCAAACAATTAGGGAATAAGAGCTACTTAATGATCAGGGTCGGAGATTACACCTCGACGAAAAGTTACGCGAATATGAGAGTTTAAGGTGACATAACTAGGTAACTCTGTCAGTTACTTGACAAACCATCTAAAAAATGAAGTCATACTAGCTATATAACTTCAAAAATGCGTTCAAAGAGAATAGTGTAAGCAAACATAATTTTGTTTTAAACCTTTTCAACCAAAAGAACAAGTACCTTGACAAAGTACTCTTCACTTGATTATACCTATCAACACTTCTGTCGGCTGAAGCAGATGTACTAGGTGAATTATCTGATCCCCTGCCATTAAAAGCCTCATCTGTGCAATTCAACTTGTTTTGTGAAACATGTCCCTACCATAAAGAAACCAAAAGAATGTTCAGAAAGAATTCAAATTTCTCAAATATAGCATGATTAAAACCAACTGATAAAATTTACCCTGTCTATTTGCATGTTCATAGCCGGCTGACCAAAAGACTTGGACTGCCCAAAATACCCTTGGTTTCCTACAGAACCCTGCTCCAATGTCGGTGACAGATGAGAAATCTTTTCATGACAAGACTCATTAGTGACATCAATATTACCCATGGGATGAAACTGAAATTTATGACTTCTTGACGGCCTACTACCAACGTGGCCAGATTGTGCGTCTCTTCCACTAGGTAACAGAGAAAAATCACGGGCATTCACCTTTTCATTCGATCCACTATTATTACTCGTATATGGCTCAAGAATCTGACTGCCGTCTCTAGATTTCAGTTGAGGGGTATTTCCCTGAACATCCCTCAAAGCATTAGAACTGTTTCCTGCCCCGGCAATGCTGAGTCCGAAGCTTTCCTTTTGAGGTTGTGGATTTTGTGTGGAGTGATACTTAAGTTCAAGCTGAGCAGCTATATTTTGATTAGACGTAGCCTTCCAGATACCAAATCTATCTTCAATGTTCTCATTATTTTGAATAGAACAAGGATTATTCTGTTCATCAGTACCAGAACTAGAAGAATTAAATATATTTCCAGTCATGTGACTAAGTTGAGCCATTGGCTTCTCCAATAGGCCATGATCTGAAAATTTATTTCCCTTCCCAGGCAAATGTTCAACAGCTGCCCGAGTGGAATCACTCTGGAGTCTCTCACTTGGTACGTTTGAAGCCTTTGCAGGCAAATCCTGGGCTCTACTGCCAGTATGAGAATTCGTATGTGTGCCAGTATTGTTGTTAGTCCATCCATGTACTCCTGCGTCATCACTGGATGTTTCTGCTACAGCAGATTGCATAAGAGCACTCCAACTCCCACTTTGCAAGGACGGGCATGCGTCAAAAAGGTCAGAACTACTGGAGATAAGATTTCCTGTCAAGCTCATATCAGTGCTGTTTCCAAATGCCTCCCACAAATTGTCATCCGAACCAAACAGAAACTTTTCTTCAGTGGGATCTAATGTTGAAGACTTCTGCAATGCATTATTTTCAGGCACTTTCATAGATGAATTTTCTAATGTTCCAGAACCCTCCATCTGACCAATTTCCTCCTGCACTGAAATACTCCTCTCGCGGGAATCATCTTGCTGGAAATTTTCGAAATCGGACCTATTATTTGAATCTGGAACTGATGTATGGGAGAATAATACTCTATCCTGGTATGTGGATTTAGGGAGCATATGACTGTCCCGTACATCACCTTGATTCAGAAATGAAGTTGGCTGATTGGTGAGAGAGGAACTCCTGTTTGCAGAACCATGCTGCGCAGCTAACTTGTTCATCTGAACGGAAGAAAGGGCATTCTGAGGTGCATTTGTCCCAGTAACGGGCATACCATACAAGGAAGGTTCAAATTGTTGCGCCTGGCCGTGCTCATGGTTAATCATGACCGTACTGGATGAACCTTGAACAGCTGGCGAGATGCCGCGATGCATCCAGTTTGTATTTCCTGTCATAGTACCAGGCTGCCAACAATTACCAGACGCATCCTGAAGAGGAATGCCATTAATCAACGGATGAGAATGATTATCACTTGAGCGACTTCTGTTGACTGCATTTAAATTCAGAGAATTGAGCTGCCCGGCCTCTAGCTGTTGCTTTTGAAGATGTTGTTGTATTTGATATTCATGCATTTGCTTAGCCATAACTTGCTGCTTTAGTAGTTGCATATCATTGAATGTCATCTGCTGCCTTGGCAAGGGATGGAGCATGCCAGGGAGCTGTGTGCTTAATTGCTGTTGACCACCAAAGAACTCATAATTAACCGGAGATTCTTCCATCTCAAACCTCATAGGACTTTTACGGAGTTCTGGGGTAAAGCCCCTCGCTGATAACCTATCCCTACTAGATTCTACGTCCATTCCCAAAAAATGTGCCCCATTTGGCATTGTCGGCAACCCAAGATTCCCATGCATGTAACCATTTGCGAGTTGTTGGTGTTCTTGCAACAAACTTCTAGAGATCTCGGACCTTACAGGTTGCTGAGTAAAATTCAAACCATGCTGTGAATTTGGTTGACTTCTCTGAGGATCAACTGGAGTAAGAAAGAAAGCGATGTTTAAAAGCTAACAACATATGTAGTTATGAATGAGTAGAAGTTGTGGAATTCCTTGTCATAAGGAAAAAAAATCCATACCAGAATGTTGCGTGTTATAACTCTTCAGATTGGCAATAAGGGATGGGTCTATCTGCCTCTGGTTGCTGACTAAACCATTACTAAAACCGGACCAGCTTCCGTCAACAACCTGAGGCTGGCGCTGGTCTTGGGATAGGCCTTCCTGTCCAAAGAAATTGTGGATCTTCTCCCCAAATTCGTTTCCAGGCATAGATTCAGCTCCTATAAATAATAG